CCCCCCCCCCCCCCCGGATCTTTGCTGCGAATTTTCACCCCAGCTTCATGAATGTTTGTTTACCACAGGAGATTACTTCATGCTTGCCAACTCAACCTACTCAAACCTATTCTCTAAGATCTGATGATTTTACCTGAAGGAACAGCTCAAACGATGCCATTTAGAAGTGTTATTTTTTTCCTAGTGTGTACATGCACACATTTTATTTATGCATTTAATTCTGAGCACAAGTAACCTCCCCCATCGAAATTTTAAAAAGTTGGCAGGTATGTTACTTACATTAAGACTTTCTACAGGAAAGCATTATAGTGGGCGAAGAAAACTTCCTAAAAGTAATAACTATAAGAATAGCATTACAAAAGTTTTAAGAAAAAACCTTCGAAGGACCATTTGTGAAACTGGGATCTGTACGATATTTTATTTTAAAGTAAATTGCTTATGTGACATCACAACTTGTCATGTTCCCGCCTTTTGAGGAGGGAGAATGAAAGGCATATAAGTCTGAAATAGAGACTCCCACACATATATCATTTTTGCTAGAGAGGTTTTTTTGGTTACTGATCGTCAACAATTAATGTTGTGAAAAAGCTTTGTTCCTGGACCAAATATGCAAAAGTTTTGGTAACACAAACTTAAAGCCATGTAGAGCAGTTCATAGCATTTGTTTTTGGTTTAAATGCTGATCACTGACCTTGACTTTTGGCGTTTCAGGTCGTATGAGGACTACAGTCAGGGAAGTGGTGGCCCAGCCAGTACTGACACCCCCTATACCGAGGGAGGAGAGGACTCATTCGAGCAGGACCTACGAGCTTACAGTCACAGTCAACGTGAACGTCGCGAAGCTGGAGGGAGCCAGAGCCCTACCCAGTACACCGACGAAATGTATACAGAATTGTATCGTCGGAACAGTAAAGACGGTCGTTACGCAGAGCGTACATACAAAGACAGATATTCTGTGGATTATCGCAGTGAAAGTCCAGGTAGTGATCGTGCATCTGGCTACCCTGAAGACTTGCGATATGAGTTTGGTGGCAAAGGTCGCGCTGAGGACAAATACTTCAACCAAGAACGGTATATTCCTGGTCGTGAGAAAGACCAAAGTCCATCAGGCGAGTACGGACATTATTCTCCGGAGGGGCGCAGTTGGAGTCGATCCCCCTCATATGGACGACAGCACAAGGAAAACTTTGGTAAACACACTCCACCCACACCGCTGGGGGACGAACTCGAAGACTCTCAGGATCCCGGTCCAATGGATACTGAAGGTTCACAACATCACTCCCTGGATTATAAATCAAAATCAGGGAAAATGGACGATTTCGACATAAGTGAAGCAGACATTCAGGAAATACGTTCTACTTACCCAAACAGAAAAGAACCACTTGTAATACGCTCTGAGGGTAGGCTAGTGAAAAAACGATCTTATGATGACACGTTTCATGGACAATATGACATGAAATTCGATCAACGTCGTGGCCGTACTCATGCAGAATTTAAACGGGACTTATTCCAGAAAGTACAAGAAATAAGTGACAAAATGTCGAGACATAAAGAATCATCGGGCAATCATAACGATAGTAGCCCAAGTTCTTCTGCGAGTACAGAGTCAGAACACGGGTCTCTGACAGAGGGAGAACTTACAAAACTTCAACACGAAAAACTCCAGCTGCTGGAGAAACTTAATCAATTAGAAAATGAGGGCAGTGCTAGTGATAATGAGTCTGCCGATATTGAGGACACACGTAAAGTAGTGACAAAACGTCCCCGCCTCGACCCCTGGCAGGGCAAGACGGGACAACGGCTTGGTAGTGTGATAGTTTCGGCTCGCAAGAGCTCGCATTCGTCGGATTACCAGGATCCATACAAAGTGGACAATACACAAAGTTATAGGAAACAAATGGAAGCCTTCCGTAAAATCGAGGAACAAAATGTGATAGAGGATGGACATGGGCTTAAGGACATTAAAACTGTCAAATCTGTGATAGGATACGACAGTGAAGGCGAGGACACATCAATGCTATTATCTCCCAGAGAAATACCCTCAGCTTTTATCATGAAAAAACGGAAAAAGTACGATGGCCCGGATGAAATCGGTTTAAAAGGACAAAGGTCGTATCGGACAAAACGCGGTGGCGATGAGGACGATCATGTCAGTAGTGATAATGAGGAAGCTGGCAAAGGATTTAATCGGACAGACTCTATTGTGTCGTTACGTAGACTGTCCAGTGGTCACTCCTCGCCGCGAACACCCATTGTGGCACAGTCAATGGACCATTATAGATATAGTGAATCAGACTTGTCAGCAAGCGAAGGTTTGGGACCTTCTTCATCCAGAATGAAAGGTTCTGCAAAGAAATTGTCAGAGTCCGACAGCCAAATTGGTGTCAGTCGGATTCATAAAGAGGAACATCAACTGATCATGATTCCCCTCGGTGATGAGTTATTACCAAATTTAGACTTAAAAGACCCCCGTCAACAGCGCCCCCATGAGGAGGAGCTGATGTTTCTACCTCTACCCCGGTTCGCTAGTTACACACGTCCGCTAATGATTCAACCAATTCATCTAGGTTCACCAAAGTATGTGGATATTAAAAATCAGGATTCGCCATGTTTTTCACCTCCTAGCAGTGGGAGTAAGACTCATTCCCCACAGATGTCCCCTAGTGATTCTAATTCTGGGGAATCGCAAGGACTACCAAAAATAGATGCGAATAATTATTTCCCACCCGAGGAGGAAGTGTCGCAATCAGCAGTTGTGTCAGCTCCGGGGAGCGAAAATGAACAGGAAAAAAGCAAAAAGGAGGATGAGAATTTGTCTGACAGTGATATTTGTCAGGAGGAAGGAACTGTGGTTACGGAAAAAAAATTGGATGATTTATCAATTGAGGAGAGAATTCGGAGGCTAGATGAGAAAATGAGTCGGCCTGCCCCAAATCCTCCTAATAAATTGCCGGATCAATTAACAGCAATTAGTATACCATCTCTGTCAGCTGCTAATGTCCCCGTACCCAATACAGACATGTATTCCAAATATAAGCGCCGTAAAAAGCAGGATTCCACTGGATCAGCGAGTGGTGATTCGAAGTCAGAGCCGTCTGAAATAGTGCGAACTTTGTTGTCACGTAGTAGTATATTTGATCAGGACACTCGCAGACTGGAGCAGATCAATGAAAAATATTGCCCCAAGTCTGTCCTTGTGAACGCGGACGAAAATCCTAAAAGTGGAATGATACGGACCAAGGCGGCAGCAAAGGAAATGCCGCTGTCAACACTGCCACAGTCCCTAGCCGCGAGGCTGGGGTCAGCTGGTGCAGCCTCATTCCCAACTCTATCTGTGAATACCAACATGGCAAACCAGCAAGCATCACATCTTCCATTCATGAGCCCTTCACCCAACTCATCACCTCGGAGTCCGTTTGCCGCGCCCGGTAGCGTTTTATCTGGCGAGGTACCGTCCCCATCCACGACAAACCCGTACGATGGTACACAGACTCCACCGCCCACAGACGATTTGTGTCCTAATGAACTAGACAATTTTGAGGACATGTTTCAGGAATCCTCATCCTGTGTAACCGACTCGCCAAATTTTACTTCGTCCACTTTCCCTCAGTCCCATTCTCTGTCTCACCCGACCATGAGCGAGGACAATAATATCTCGTTGCTAAAGTGTTCAGACAGTCCCAGACTGACCCCTTCATTCATTGGTCAGTCCGGTCCACCTACAAATAATTCCTCGGCAGTCAGTAATTCAATTGAGGAGCCTTCAAAATCACACATTCAAAACAGCTCAGAGAGTCTGTCACATCAACCCTCAACAGATGACATATCTTTAAATGACGTTAATAAATCATCAGATCTCGTTGACTCGAAACCAATTGTGAATGTGAAAGAGGAGAGTGACGTTAAAGAATTTGTCCAAGAACAGCAATCTCAAAATGTACCCAACAGTGATGTAACGAACAGTATAGTTAATGCTGAGGTAAAAGACGACGGTCCGAAACCCGAAACGTCTGTGGCGCAGGCATTGTTTATGACCGATAATAAGCCAGATTTGGCAGCTTTGGGTAAAAGGAAGGCGAATACAGAGGAACCAATGTCTGAAACCGGTGTTAAGGTTGCTGAAATGTCCCTCAAGGTCGAACCAACGATTCAGGATGTTAAAGTGGAGGATACGTCGAAATCTCCAGAAACAAAGAAAGCCAAGATTATTGCCGAGGAAAGTAACTCTCCAGTGAAAAATAAAAATGAGGTTATTACAGATAAGAAAGATAAGGACAAAAAGGATAAAAATAAGGAAAACAAGAAAAAGGAGAGCTCGGATGGGGAAATAAATACTGTCAACCACAACAAAGACAAAAGCGAGAAAAAGGATAAGGATAAGGACAAAGACAAATCAGGGGGCAGTGGCAAGTCCTCAAAGTCTGTGTCGTCCAAGGTCAAGGACAATGCCACAGCATCTGCAAAGAAGGACAAAAATACTGAAACTTCGTCGCACAAACACAAATCTTCCAAAAGTGACAAATCTAAGGATAAACAAAGCAAGGAAGGACATAGTAAGAAAAGCAAAGACCATTCTTCTGTAAAACCCAGCAAGGACGACAAGCCAGCAAATAAGGTGGATAGTACACCCAAGTCCACAGAAACTGACTCGACGAATCAGGAGAAGGCCAAGTCCAAAGACGGCCATAAAGAAAATAATTCTAGTCAACTTAACAAAGACACGCCTGCCGAGAAACCAACTAGTCAGTCCGGACACTCGGCAAAAAAGAAAGACGGTCAAACTGGACATTCCAGTAAGATTACAAAAGATTCAGTGAAGGATTCGGCAAAAGATTTGGCAAAAGATTCAACAAAAGATTCAGTAAAGGATTCGGCAAAAGATTCGGCAAAAGATTCGACAAAAGATTCAGTAAAGGATTCGGCAAAAGATTCGACAAAAGATTCAGTAAAGGATTCGACAAGCTCGGTCAAGGGTAAGGAGAGTGGGGAGCCTACATTGGCGTTGTCTAAAGACTCCAAGCCCAGTCCTGATAAGCAGGCTGGTGCAGACTTATCCAAAACCAAGACTAAAACAGGAGAAGGCTCCAAGCATAAGACATCAGAAACCAAGCACAAGGATAAAACAGGTGGTGAATCGCATAAACACAAAGATAAAACTCCAGGCGACGCGGGTAAGCATAAGGACAAAAGTGCTAGCGGTGATGCGAGCAAGCACAAGGACAAGCCATCTACAGAGGCCAGCAAGCATAAACCTGCTGGTGAAACCAAGCACAAGGACAAAACGCAAATGTCCGAGTCGAAGCACAAGTCTGGAGATAGTTCTAAACACAAAACAAAAACAAAGGACGGGGAACCCAGTCAGGCGAAAGAAAAGCCTGTCACAAAGGAAGTCGAAACCAATAAGGTTAAGGATCAAAGTGCTGCTAAGGAGGGGGACACCGTAAAACCCAAAGAACAATCGACGGCTGCTGAAGGAGAGCAGGCCAAGCACAAGGATAAGACGAAAACATCTAGTCACACAAAAACTAAAAAGGACGAAGGGAAGCCTAAAGCCAGTGCAGTAGACAAGGCCACATGCAAGGAAAAGCCAAGTGGGAACGACAAAGATAAGGACAAAAGTCACAAGGACAAGAATTCAAGTGGTCAGTCTAAAGGGGACAGTAAAGGTAGTGGACATCAGGACGCAAGAGTGGAGAAACAGAAATCCACGGAACACCACAGCTCCAATAAAAACAAACCATCAGAATCCACAGACAAAAGCAAGGATGGGAAAAAGCAGGAAACTGAAAATAAAGGTGACAAGGGAAAGGACGGAAAGTCGTCTGAACAACACGACGATAAAGGGAAAGTGAACGAGTCCATGTCCGATAAAGGTCATAAAAGTACGGAAAAACAACGTCCAGAGAAAAAGTCAAGTGTTAAGGGAAGTAACTCTGATCGTAAGTCTGAAAGTGAAGATTTTGGTTCTGAGAATAAGAAGGAAGGAAAAAAGGAAAAATCTCACAAACTTTCTGTTGGAAAGAAAAATAAGGATAAGAACAACGCTGTAAAACCTGACATGGAAAATAGTAAACCACCCCCTAAATCTGACTCGGACAAACCCAAGAAAAACAAGACACCAAAATCTAAAGAAATTGTGGAAAGTAAGTCGACTGATAAATCTGGTAGCAAGTCGGACAAGTCAGACAAGTCAGACAAGTCGGACAAATCGGACAAATCGGATAAGTGGGATAAATTGGATAAATCGGATAAATCGGATAAGTGGGATAAGTTGGACAAATCGGATAAGTGGGATAAATGTGATAAATCTGATAAATCGGACAAATCAGATAAATCAGACAGATCAGATAAATCAGACAAATCAGACAAGTCTGATAAATCAGCAGAGAAAAAGCCTGTCGAAGAAGTGGATGATTTTAACTGGGCTGAATGGGCAGGTCCTTATGTGTCTATGTATGACAAGGTCAAGCGAAGGTCAAACACCAAGGTCAAGGAGAAGGAAATGGATGACATGAAAAAGAAGATGGATAACTTTAAACAAAGGCGGAAAAAGAGGAATAAACATAGTGATGATTCGGATGATTGTACGTTCACATCAGATGAGGATGATGAACCTGTTATCTCAAGGAAAAATAAAACCTCTTCCAAAGAGTCACGTGGAAAGCGTAAGAATACAATATTTGACAGTTCAATGTCATCCTCGGATAATGAGGAGGAGGAAGATGATCCTCAATTCTTTCTGAAATCTCTACAGAAGTCGGGTCCAAAAGAAGTGAAAGGTCGAGGCTTCCAACAGGGAAAGAAAGCATCCATTTTGGACATTTATTCCTCAGACTCTGAGGAAGACGAACAGTTCTCGGACCCTCCTTATCGGGAAATTGACATCATTTCCAGTTCAAAGAAAGACAAAGAAAATATCAAGAAGAAGGAAATGACAACGGAAAGTTCAGAGGATTTTTCAAGTAAGAAAGTAAAAGTTGTCAAAGCTACCAAAAAAGAGAAACCATCAATGTCTGCTAAAAAGGTCAACACCAAACGAAAGTCTACTCTCAGTTTCACGTCGGATGACAAGGACGAGGACAGTGACTTAAACTTTGACCCCAAACCTAAGAAACCATACGCAAAATTGAAGAGCAAGAAAGATGAGAAAAAATTACCTAAACGTAAGATATTCTCTTCGACATCTGGAAGCGAGATGGATGAAGATTATAGGCCTATGAGTATGTCCAAGCCGATCAACAACAACAAAAAGAGCATAAAGGAGAAGAATAAGGCAAATCAGAAATACAAAAAGGAAAGCAAGATGAATCATCCACTCAGTCTCTTGCAGTCGGACAGCGATGAGGATAATACAGAGGAAACGAAACATACTGGATATATAAACATGGTGAAGGCACAGACTATCTCCGAACTGGATCTCGACGAGGCCAGTTTTAATCAGAAGGAGAAAAGTACAAAGGAGTCTGGGAAAAAAGAAAATATTCTGGTGTCCGAGGGGAAATTAGAAATTGGAAAACAAGCAGAAAAGAAGGAAGAATCTTTTGGATTGTTTGCCAAAATGGAGGATTTTATTAGTGCTCAGTCTGAACTGGCAGATGGTCCAAACAACCTGAAACATGGCGTAAATCGTGAAAAGACTGTCAAAAAGTCAGATCTTGCTGACTTAGCCAAAATCCAGCAGCTGTCGACCGAAAAGGTCAAAGGACACAAGAAAGAAGGAAAGAAGAAGAAAAAAGATAAAAACGAGACCACCAAGAAAGGGAAAGAGAACACATCAGTCCTGGAGAAGAGTTTATCTTTGGAGAGTGTTAGTACTACCAGAGACAGCATTGATACAATCAGGGATGACTTCTCCAAGAAGGATAACTCGGATACGAGCACTGACCAAGCCATCCACTTTTCTGAAACAGAGATCGCTGCAGAGTGTAGTGTGTTGGATGGTTATGATCCCAGCGTTGGTGCGGAAGACAGCATTAGTACTGACCTGAGTTCCACACGCGACACTCGAAAAGAAGTAGGACTGTTCGCAAACTGGCATTCCACCATGGACGATATTACACACCAAGAAACGACTGCTACTGACCCCATAACGGGAGAGTCCATAAAAATGAAGAAGGGTAAAAAGAAGAAGAAAGATAAGAAAGAAGGCTCAGAGTCCAAGAAGAGTAAGAAAGAGAAGAAAGATAAGGGAATGAAAGAGGAGATTAGCCATAAGAAAGAAAAGAAGAAAGCTAATAACGTGTTTGGAAATTTCAACAAATATATCGAGGAGATATCAAATGAGCCAACACATATAACAGCCAGTGAAGAAAAGAGTTCGGTCGTTGATTTTGCTGCAGTCAGTGAGAAAGATCAAAATGAAACACAACAAGCAACCTCTGCCTTGGAGAACATATTTTCTGATTCCAACAGTCACAAGGAGCCACTATTTGCGGCATATCTCAGACAAGAAGCCGCCATAGCTAGCAAGAAAACGCAGGATAAAAGCACAAAGGAAGACCCCAGTCATGTTTCTTCTGCCAAGACAAAGTCTATCTTTGGAAAAGTCATCAACACTCCGGAGAAAACCGATAACACCTGTCGTGATAAAAGCAGTGTGTTCAGTTCACCAGACCATGTTCATCACAATGCTTTGTCGGAGTCGTCCATCCATAAAGGACCCAACAAAATTCATTCCTCAGTGTCCGAGAATATTGACAGCAAAACTGGTCATGATTCATCGAAGTCAAAATCTTCGGACGACATCTTGGGATCAAAGTCGGAAACATGTCTTGCTCCACAAAAGGTTGTTTCCGGGCACAAAGGTCACGCTCCTGCTCCTGCAGCCGACATCTTTGAATTCACAGAAGACGACGACAATTCAGACATCATAACACCTGGTCATTTAAGGAAAAGTCGGTTTGAAGGAGGCGAAAGAAAAAAATCAAACAGTCTGTCATTGTCTTGTTCCGATACGGAAACACAGCTGGCGAAGGAAGCACCGAAACATAAGGAGGACAAACATAAAGAAACGACAGAGATGGGGAAATCCAAAGATTCAGGTTTTGGTAAAGATATGGACTTTGGTTTTAAGGAACTTGGAAGTAGTATAAGCAAGCCAACAGGTCTTAAAGAACTGGAAGGTAGTTTAAGTAAGCCAACAGAGGCAGACATCACCCGGCAGAAGGAAACCGACTATGTGCTGGAAATTATCCGAAAGGAGGAAAAGAAATCAAAGAAGAACAAGACGAAAGACAATCTCTTGAAAGGACATTCAAAGGAGGAAGTTGTAGAAAAAGAGGAAGGAAAGAATATGTCCGAAAAGAATACGCCACATTCTTTCATGAACTCCATCAAATGTGGTGACGAGGTACTGAACTTTGACGAGCCCTTGTTCCCAATAAACACTGCACTGGAGCTGTTTACAGGGATGAAGTCGCCAGACAAAACCGTAGACAGTTTGGATAAACTGGATAAACTGGTGTTATCCTCGCCCATCAACAATGAACTGTCGAAATCAGGGAAGAAGAAACAGAAGCGCAAGAAGAAGGCAAGTGGGGAGCCAGCCGTGGAGAATTTGGAGCACAAATTTGACAATGTAATGAATTCTCCTGAAATCATCAGGCAGAAGCCTTCAGAACCCACTCCTCCTGCCAAAACACTTGATATTTCACCTTCTCCAGTTATCCTACCTCCCCTGAAACCTTTTGCTTCACCAGAGGGTGCTAGTAACAACCCAGTAAAGGCAATTGAACCCAAAACGACCCCCACCGATGATCTCACCAAGGATACAGCTGCCTTGGAAGCACTGGAAACTCTGGAAGCAGTTTCAAGTCTTGAGCATTTGTCTGCAATTGATGAGCCAAGACTGGTCATTGATATTGACGTTCCCGAGTTGGAACCAGTCAAATCAGTGGCTGAAGAACCAGCAGAGCCTGTGACAATTCAGGCAGAGGATGAAACGGCTCAAGCCATTATGTCCATCTTGCCACTGGACGAGAAGACTGGAGAGTTTGTTCAACCGCGTCAAGTAGCCCCCGTCTCGGAAATGGAGATGGCAGCAGCTGTGGAATCATTACTGCCACCACCAGAGATTGAAGTCAGTCAACCTGAACCGGTGATTTTATTCCAACCGGAACCTATCGCCAGGCAGGAATCACAGGAGATAACTGTGACAGAACCAGTGCCCGCACCCGAACCAGTGCCCGCACCCAAACCAGTGCCCGAACCAGTGCCACAATCAACTGTGCCACAATCAACTGTGCCAGAGTCAACTCCTCTTCCATTCCCGGAGTTGCAAGGGTTTACTCCTCTGCATGATACGAGCGCACCTCTGGTCATCGACTCTGGTGACAATGACGGTGCACTGCTCATTGACACAAGTGCAGCAGACAGCATCATCACTACTCCTGGTAAAAAACCCAAAGGGACACGTGCACGCAAGAACAAGGGAACAAAGGCAAACAACAAGGGTTTCAATGCAATGACTGTGCCTCCCCCAGTGGTCGTGGAGCACAACAAGGAAACCATTGGTCAGGCAACAAACCAGGCACTCAGGAACAAGTTGCATGCCCAGAGCCAGGAGAGAAATGAACCAGACCACATTCAAGTCCCTGGGCTGTCAGTAGATCTCATAAATCCACATAGAGAAATGCCCGTTGTAGCACCAACCTTTAACTTGAGTCTACCTATTCCCACACCGCCGCCGCCGCCACCACTACCACCACCACCACCAGTGCAGCCAGTGGAAATTACTCCCACCAAGTCACCAAAAGGTGGGGAGAAACGAGTCACTCGACGGCAACTCAAGCAACAGGCACAGCAGAATGTGGAAACTACCGAGGGTCTGGCTAGCAACCCACAAGTGACGAGCGATGCATCAGAGATATTAAGTACGGTGCAAACAACACCCCAGGCTAGCATTACTGAGGACACCAGTGACCCAGCTGTGCTAGGATTCTCCGACAACAGCCTTGACCTTGACAGAATGGATGACTACGATCCCAACAGACTGGTCATGGATGATCAGAACTATCCAAATGAACCGAAGCGCACTCGTCGAGGAAGAAAGCCCAAGAATTACAAGGAAATGAATTCTGGCGTTTTACCACGAACAACCTCTCCCAGATCAAGGACATCGCCAAGATCACCAAGAAATGTTACATCGCCGAAGCAGTCATCATCACCCAAGTTACAGAATTCACCGGCGGACATTTCTAGTCCTGTAGTTAAAATCGAGAGGCTTCCACTGACTTCAAAAAATGTAAAGAAGGATGGAGAGATCATGGAAATGGGTAAAGACAATAACAAACGATTAGGAAAGACAAATCTTCCTCAAATGATTGATGTATCCGAGTCCGAGTCTAAGGATTTGGAGTCGTCTGCAAGCTCCAACACAGAAGTACAGCCAGCAGACCCGACCCACGTGTTTGACTTTGAGGCTAGTGAGTCGGAGCCGAAGATTGAACCAGTGAGGCGTCGTCCATCACGCAGGAAGCAGAAGGCGGAAAGCAGCGGCCAAGAACAGGAGGATAAGTTCCATCGTGAACATTCTGCCGAGAGTAAAGTGGAGCAGCACAGACCCGAAGAGGCCCGAGTTCGAAGCCTCAGTACAGAGTCTGGTATTAAAATGATCATCAATACTGGTACCACCAGCTCGCTACGTGCTAATAAAGATGCTCGAGCCAGCCGACACAAGGCTGATAAACTGGACACCGACAACCATGTGACAAAATCCAGCAAGAAGTCGCAGGATATTGAAAATACAATAAAACTACCACGGTACCAAGTTGCAGAAAGTCATGATGCTTCGATCCTCAGCAAAGCATTGGAAGATCCGACGCAGAAGCCACCCATTGTGACCACAATCATTACTAAACCTACATTGGTGGAGGAAGCGCCATCTGTGGAGCCGAAAGTGGTGCCACCTGTTCAGGAGACTGTGGCACCCACCACTTCAACCGCACACCCTGTTACTACGCATAGGGGCAAGAAGGCGGACAAGACCGAAGTGGTGCCACCTACAACCAACTCGCCAATCACTCCAGCGACACCTGTCACTCCGATGAGTAATATTGACCGTATTATTGACAATGTGGCAAAGGGAATTTTCGAGTTCGGGGATGTTGAAAATGCTGCCCAACATAACGAACAAATGATGCATGGCAAGAAACGATACCAGGGCCGGAATCATGGGGCTGAGGTGACGCCCAATATGGTGATGGACAGCATGGGGAGACCACTCACAACGGTTAACGCTGGCCATATGGAGGGATTCCAACAAGGTATATAGTCTTACATTCCTCATAAATCTCCTGTAAAGCAGAACCTTCTAAACTTATTCACCCCTGAAATTTCAGACTGAACTATTCCAACTTTTGAATTGGGCGAGTTCAAATGTGTCTTCAGGGGTGAATGAGTTAATCTGCACAATTTTAGCTCTAAAATCATTCTGAACAAAAATTATTTTCCTGGGTCGTTAAATGGGAACGTCTTTCTTGAATAATTTCTCATATTCGATAAATATTCAGAAATCGAATTGATTCGAGAAACAGTGTTGTGATTAGTGAGGTTTTACTTTGATAGTGTGTTCTGTGATATAATGATGTAGGTCTGTAAAAACCTCAGTAAACGTCCCTCACTCCCAACAGTCTGACGTGGCGTAATTTAATTACATTGAAAATTTTCTAAAACTGAATTCCATAGGGACCAAACATTGTGGTGGGAGTGGCTACAAAAACAGGCTACAGAAACATCTTTACACAGATATAAACCTTAGCTGGATACTTACAAGTGTTTGTGGATTTGTACAGTAAATTGTATGTTATTGGTTGATAATGAGTAAGCAAAATGCTGGAAATTTAATCAATGATGTGCAGCCAGAAATACATCGTTTTTGTTGAAACTTGATCATATTTTCTATATCAATCGGAAACCTTTCCCAGATTTTAATCCTAATTTTAGCTTGATGCCACACGATAATTGTCTCTGTTTACGCTCACAATAAAAGGAAAACCCAAACAGGTTCCCCTGGAAAATATTCATGTGTAAAAGTTATTGTCATTAGTATGTTTATCTAAATAACAAATAAATCAAATACTTTTATTTGTAATTAACTTGTTCAATCCTGAAATTTCATAATAGACCTTTGAATTGGAAGAGTTCAAATGTGTATGAGAATCCAATAAGCTAGTGAAACAACATTAATACTAAAAAGTTCCCGTTTCCTCTTTGTCAGGATCCATCGGTGAGCCAACCTTGAACATGCCTTACAGCAGACTCCCTCATTCCAAGGAAGGTTTTCCCACCCCGATCACGGGTCCTCCGAACGCCATTGTCACTTCCTCAATGAAGCCCTCGTACAGTCAGGCGGCAGGTCACGTGACTGAGCTGGGTAGTGGAAAGACTAAGTCTGTTGACATGATGCATGGAACTCGCGTGTCCAATCGTTCGTCAGTGCAGCACAGTCACCACATTGCATTATCGCCCACACCTCATCGACAGGGGGAACATCACGATAAGGCCGACACAGCCAAGCAGGGCAACCCCCAGCACGTGTCGCCTTATCATGTTGTCCCAACGTGCCACCAGGGCTTGTTGTCTGTGTCCCAGGGTGTCATGTCGATGCCAATGTCAACACAGTCCATTTCGACAACCAGCAAGGGGATACCTCATCCAGCAATGACTATGACGCATGCTGGAATGCCTGCACAGGATGGCCTACGTCAGGTACATGACATCATGGCACAGATCAACCGTTCACATCACAACGCAGAACAGGCCACCAAACAGAAGGGATCTCATGCATCTGCCCAAAATGCAGGTTACTTAGCTGAGCAACAGGGTGGAGAAAAGTCTGTAGGGTCAGTTGAGCGGCAGCCAGTCTCGTCTACGCCAAGTTCCACTACGGCATCTGCTCCAACATGCGTAGTCCATCCTATCACAACGTCTGCATTTACGTCTAAACATGACATTCTGAAGCCTCCGGCTGGAATCATTACTGCGGCAAACTCTTCTGGTTCAAGTGTCTTGTCATCAGTCAAAGATCCATTCAAGGTGCAGATGATGAGTCATATGCTCCATGCTCAGGGAAAGGCCCAGGTTGAGGCTACAGTTCAGGATCTAGCTAGCCGCCGTCATGATGGGAAACAGGAAACCTCAGTCCTCAAAACTGCAAGTCGTGCAGGAAATGTTTCGCACCAGGTGGCGGTTACTGCCCATGCTGGTCGCGAGTCCGCCCCTCAGCGTCCTCCCAGTGCGCACTCCCAGATACAAAAGTCTGGTGATCCACAGCCACCCCGACCCTCGAGTGCTCACGAACAGCTGACCCACCACCCTTCTTCATCCATCCACGAACACCTACGTAAACAGCCCTATCCAGCAGGTTTGAAGAATGCATACCCCCACGGACAAGTGCCACCTCACTTGGTGGCCTACTACACCCAAATCCAAATGCTGCAACAGAAGGGAGAGTTTGAGAAGAACGGAGGGGCTGCAATTGATCTGCAGAAAATGCCAATAGGGTCTCGGACTGGGATACCAGCTAGTGCAGCCACGACCCAGGGACCGTCACCACATCCCATGGCCCGTTCACCAGCACTCGCTCAGACAGCTCCCAGTCCACAACAGATCAACCATCCACCATCCAGTCCCTCCCTCCATAAAAAGGTAAGTCAGCAAAAAGTGATGTCATATAGTTGGTTACTTTTCCAGATTAAAAAAAGGAAAAATTTGACTGGAATTGATATTTTGCAATTGGATATAAGAAAAAGTTTGTGCCGTATGAATCAATGAAAATAATATCCCTGTGAAAATAATCAGCTGTACAGAAAAATATGGAACATCTGACTGTATACCATATTATCAATTTCTGCTTACTAAAACCAAATATTAGCATATGAAATATCTACATTATTGAATAAGTTATCAAATCATCATGGATACATTTTCTCGGTTCCATGGAAAACACTGCTGTTTTTTCCATTGAAAAAGCCTCCTGATTTCGTTCTTTCCTGGTATAGTATATAAGAATACCCTTAAAGGGATGATGTTACTTTTGCTTTTATTTCTATAATTGTTGCAAATTTCAGGCTTTGGAGAAGAATGCTCAAGTTTCTTCCAAATGGCCCGAAGACTCCCGGATGCGAGGACCCCACGCTCAGGCTACTGACATTATCCCTGCTAATCAGCGAGAGGCATGGAGTAAGTTTTCTACCGGATTTTAACTTTGTTTAATGACATTCCAATCAGAAGTCAAGAAATTATGAAACGCGAACTGGCTTGAAAATTAACAATGTCACATTTTGATCAAACTGAAATTTAGATCAGACATCAGATCCTTGTGTTACAGGTGTCATATTTATTTAGAAGCTGATTTCTTGCTACATTATCAGCGCATTACAACATCCAAAATCTGTAACACAGAGATTAAAAGAGATTCTGACTTGATTGGAAGATCAATAAAAATGTCTATTAATTATATTTTGTAAATCATTGCTAATTTGTGTGAACAAACATTTATTTTACAGTGTATGGTGTTCAGGGTTTGGCTCCTGCTCATCAGCGATCAGAGCAAGGCATTAATCTGTCGAGGGCTCAGCAACAAAGTCCGTCACCAAGGGAGACTGCTCACGCGCAGCAGGAGCAACAGCAACACAGAATACAACAAGAATTGTCACGGCGCCAGCAACAGGATGCCAAAAACCGCCACCAGGTAGAGCTGCAGTTCCTACAACACCAGCAGTTGCAGCAACAGCAACAGCAGCAGCAACAGCAGCAGCAACAGGAGAAAGAGCAGGAGAGACAAAAACAGGATTGGAAGAAACAACAGCAGAAACAACACCAGCAGGACCTTCAACGACAGCAACAACAACAGCAGGATATGCTGCGTCATCTCCGTGAAGTTTCTGGCCCAGCAGCCCCCGACACTCGTCAGACTGCTCTTGTACACCCACGTTCTACTGTCCCAGTCCCTTCCACCCACACTACCGAAGAGAAAAGTGGAGCGATGGATTCCATTCTTTCGTCAATGCCATTTCCCTCACCTGATTTACGGCGCACTGGGGCACAGAACATCAGTGCATTTACACCACCAGCTAGCAGTTCTGAGTTAACACAGGGTATTGCCACCTCTCACATGTACAACCCTGGGATGGGAATGATCCGTGTGCCTCTTATTGACCCCAGCTTGATGTACTCGCCACACAACAGCCCGGCATTCATTCCTGGTCATATCCCTTACATCCACAGGGGTATGCAACCTGATGGACGCCCATCGCCACACTTGACCCCTCAACCCCTCCACTCTCCATCCCAGCCTGGGCAGGCTCTAACACAGCAGGGCCAGGGCAAACACGGTTCACAGGACAGCATACAGAGCATTCCAGGACGCTGTGTCACGGACACATCACCAGCTGGAGAGGGCAGTCTCCTGTCATTGCTTCAGGTAAGTGGGCAAGCAATCATTTTTGGAACTTTAGTAGCAAGCCAAATGTTCATAATTTGCTTTAGCTGTTCTAATCCTATGCTTTTGGAAAATTTTGCATTCAAACTGAATGTTTTTTTTCAAGATGTGGGCCTGATCGTGTAGTTTTAACCCATTCAACCTTAAAGTCTCATTTGAGCCCTGCCAAATCAAAGACTGGGCAGGTCCAGTTTAAATATATAGGGGTGAACAAATTAACCTTTTTATGTATTTGTGTTATAGAGATACCCAGTAATGTGGCAGGGAGTGTTGGCCCTCAAGAACGACAGTTGTGTCGTCCAGATGCATCTGATCGCAGGATTCCAGCAGCTTGTCAAACTGAGTTTGCCTCAGCAGTCAACTGACGGTACGGTCCAGCCACTCCGAATCGCCCAGAGGATGAGACTAGAGCCTACGCAGCTGGATGGCGTCATCAAACGGATGAATGTAAGAAGCCACTAATCTTTAACCTCGTTAAATAAACACTACTCTAGTTATCTCACTACTGGTATTGTTGGGGACGGGCAAGTCCTTTTTCAGCTCTGACATACATTGTGTAGGGGGTACCGAGGGTTTCATCGGTCCATACAACATCTTGGTCGCTTAACTCCTTTACTCTACAAGTTTAACAGTCATCACACGTCATGTGTTGATAGACCTTGAGAGAGTACCACATTTTATCAAATGTAGGTCACTGTGACCAATATGTATTGCTTTACTGACTTGGTATGACTTTGCACTAATATCTCCATTTGATTTGTAAGAGTGTCGATAAGCTCAGTGTCCATTAAAGCAGAGGCAGGGACATGTGAATGATTTACAGACCTTTTTTGTATTTATTTCAAAACTTTGCAAGAGGCACAGTAACCTAGTGGTAAGGGTTGCGGGTTCGAGTCGGGGCACGGCACTGTGCTGTATCTTTGAACAAGATACTTTACTCCGCTTGTTCCTGTCTACTCGGCTGTAAATGAGTATGTGGTTGGGCAGTGCTAGAATTGTAGTAAACGGGTACGGGGTTGGGCAGTGCTAGAATTGTAGAATGCTAGCTGTGAGTGCCGAAATGGCAGCACTGGCTGTATGCTCCCCAGGGAGTTGAGAAAGATATTGGCTGGTTGCAAAGGCCCTATGACATTGAACAGATAATAAATTATGAACTGCTTTGATACAACATATGAACTAGGTTGTGATAAAGCGGTATATAAGAACCTCAAATTATTTATTATTACAAGTTATCCATTCATCCTAAAATCAGTTCACTTTTGTTGAAAATTAATGTGGCTGGATTATCAAGGCCACTGTATAACTGAATTATTTAGCTTGGAAATTCATTTTCAGCAGATGTAAAAAAAATATCTAGACCATAATTATATTGACAATTAGGCAATGGGACTGTGGTAATTTTATTTTTTTTCGAAGACAGATGAAGATTTTCAAGACGATTTCTATCTGGAAAAGTGTTGGTATGTTTCAAGGAATCTTTGGGAGAAATTTCGTGACATACATGTAGCTTTCTAAAAGAAGTGGTCTGTGATTTTTAAAACTTTATTTCTATTTTACGTAGATGGAGGAGGACTATTGCATGTTGCTGGCCCTGCCGTGTGGAAGGGATCACAGCGACATAATCCAGCAAACACGGGCAATGTCTATGGGGTTTATACAGTACTTACAGCAGAAACAGGCTGCTGGCATCGTCAACGTCGCCGATCAGGGATCTCAACAGGTAAGCTACTGATAACTGACTACATGTTCCGAGATGAATAAACATGTTTTGTTAATATGTCTTTCAAATTGTGGCCCGGCCTGGGGACAGAACCCATTGCCTTCCTCACCTGGGCAAACGCTCAACATACCAAAGCCCTTACAAATTGGTAGTTGTTATTCCCTGCTTAACGTTCAGCATTTAGGGGAATGGACTGGTGCCTCCAGCATGGCATTTCATTGAGATAGCACTGTAAAGTTGGCATCAGATCTGCACTATCACAAGGAGGCAAGAACACCAACATACCCCGTCTCCTGCATACACACAACACAAGCACGTATACACAACACATGGAGACATGTCCTAAATGACCTTAGCTGTTAATAGGACGTTACACAAAATTAAACCAAATCAAACCAATTGTTTCAACTAAAAACATTGTTAACACTTCATTGCACGAAATTCAAATAATTTAGTTGTACTTCATGGTAATGTCTGAAATAATTTGTAACAGGGAAATTCAGGTTTTTTTTCTACCATAGCATTTTTGATACTTTTTGCTGATTATCGTTAGTTCCATCTCTCCTGTTTGAGAAACTAGTAAATTACTTTGAAATAAAAATAACTTTTCAAATAGAAAACTGACAGTAATCTGTGAAGTTAAGATATTTTCAAATATAATTCAAACATTGATCTTTAATATCAGAAAGACATTAATGAGCAGCTAACCTAAGTATGTCTCTGAAATAACAAATGGCAGGAAGATCATTGAAATTTAGATCTACGAAGTACAGATAGAAAGGCATTAATAACATATTGTTTCCCCATATTAATTTTGAATAACCAAAGATCTCTTGAGAAGTCTTGGTTCTAAGTTGACATTTAATTGAATTTAGATACTTCTCTAACTTTTCTGATTTTCTTTGCTTCAGCCGGCCTATGTTGTGCATATCTTTCCACCATGTGAGTTTTCTCACGCCCAGCTCGGCCGACAAGGATTTGATCTGATGCACCAAGTCAAAGATCTGTCCCATCTACTGGTCATCATTACGACGGTGGCCTGAGATTTACTGACCATTTCCTGGATTGACCATCACAAAAGTGACAGCTGGATTTTATTGATTTATTTGTTCATTCTTGGATTTACCTTGCTCGTCTATCGTGGATGGATGTTATATATTCATAAAACGCGATCGGATCTTTACCATCATTTGTCTAACGTTAATGGATCTTACTGGAATGTGACATGTGCCCTCTTGGATTAAGCTGGGAGGTGATTACGATTCAAACACCAGCATGCCCCAAATTAAGGGACATACAGATTATGACAACAATTCATACCCTGGATTTACTTTGTATGAGAATATTTTGTGGAGTTTTGTTATTCCATGTCAACAGTCAAAGGGACATAACTCCAGGTTGTTGTGGATTTATCTTGCAAAATAGCGAGATATATAGTTATATTTGTATCTTCAGTGATTAGTGAATTAGTAAATTAAGGATTACGAGGACGATGGGAAATTCTTAGAGAATTTATTTGTTTTCAAGTTGAATTGAATGGATGACTTAAAAGTGCTACATGTTTTTGTGTTGATCTTATATGTGTGAAAATACTTCACGTTGGAGTGATGTAATTTATATATACCCTCGTCCCTGTGAACAGAAATGGAATGCTCCAGATAAGTGACTGGAAGATGTCATTCTGTGGTTCAGTGAGATAATTAATTTGATGATAGTGTTTGACATCTTAACACGAGGAGAAATGTAGTGACACACGTTGGGGTATACAAAGATGAAGAATTCCAATTAACAACAGATCTGTGCGTGTGCGTTGGCGCTATGTTTTAACGCTAGGAAAATTGGACAGCATATTCTGCTTGTCCTATTGAAAATAGGGCAAGCCTTTTGGTTATTTTTTTAAGAAAAAGTTAACAGAAAAAGACAAAAAAACAAAAAACAAAAAAAATAATGTCCAAATGATTTTATAGGACTTAAGTTGTAAGCACGCAAGATGTTGGCCTGCTGGCCAGCGATTATGGTAGAACTGTTGCTCGTTTAATTAACTATGTGTTGTTATGGTGTTTGTAGTACGTTACGTTGCCACGGAGACAAAGGTTGTATAGACTGGTATGACAGTTGAATTATGAACTTGTGGCAATATGTCGCAGTTCAATTTTTGTGCTAGAATTTCTGCGAAAGAATGAAATATGCTATACATCTATATATATATATATACAAAAACCTTTTTTTTTCTAGCTTAAAGTTATTTTTAATTCTGGTATTTTTTCTTCTTTAGACTGTTACAGATTATCATATTTCAACCCCCTTCGGTACCTGTCTTTTTTCTTGTCAATTTTGAGATAATGTGTTACTTTCTCTTTCTCTCTCTTATTATAGTGATTAGAGAAAACAGGTGTTTGTAGACTTCATGTGTTTCTTAGCATCTTGAAGCCTGATTTAGTGAGTTGCTTTTATTTCTCCTAACTTGTTCTTCATTGTCTTTTATTTTTAATTCTAATGTTTATTGTCATTCTATACTCAGTTTGAACAATATCATTAACTAAGAATCCATACGACAGGTTAGTTACACACCCAAAAAAAATCATTACTAACATTTTTTGTTGTTGAAATGTTTATCTTCAATCTTTAGAAATAATTATGATATATAGATTTGAGAAATTGTTATACGTTTTTTTTGTATATTCTCAGTAAATCAATTTTTTTTTTACCGAATGATGAATTCTGATGAAATTGAAACTGATTTTGCAAATATTATTTAACTTTTTACACATTGATTGATGAAGTGCTATGCTTTTTGCTCTAATGAATTTGTCAAAAAAGCTATCGAGTTATAAAAAAAACCATATATATATTTTTCAATACAATAAGCAGACATATGGAATGAGAGTATGGCTGATCCTTGAGGTTTCAATGTTTCTGGATAATTTTTGTTTCAAATCTGTAATCATATAAAGAGAGGTATGAATTCACGTACATTTATTTGAGAAAATAAAATTGTGCTCTGTGTGAAATGAACCCAGTCTACAGAAGCCCATAGAGATGCTGCAAAGAAAGCAAGCTTAAGTGATTTTGCATGAAAATCTTTCATAACTTCCTAAAAGTCAAAAAGCTGATTTTACTCCAAAGTATTTTCATTTTCCAAATAAGTGTTAGCTAAATATGGCAGTAATCCATGAAATTAGTCTATGGTCAACGAAACCAGTTGTAATGTTGAAATATACTGCAAGCTTACAGAATATAGTAATAGTTAAGCAAATCCACTGGTTGAAAATGCTCAATTTTAGGGTCCAAAATGGGGAGAGTTAGCAAATATGAGATTAACAACTGGGTACAATACAACTTATCAAGACACAGTAAAATGTTTTTAATCTGAGTAACCTGCTTTTCAACTGGTGATTTTTTTTTCAATACTGTGTTCTCTTGGGTGGTTCACTGAGAAAGAGGATCTGGCTGATTGGTCACATGCTATAACATTGTGTCTATATCACGACCTATACCGATTCAGATCAATAACTGGTTTCATGTTGATGAATAGCAGCCTACTTTTGCCAGCAAATGGCTTTTAACTCATTCACCCCTGAAGACACATTTGAACTTTTCCAATTAAAAGGTTGGAATAGTTCATTATGAAGTTTCAGGGGTGAATGAGTTAATGAGAACAATGCAATTGTAACTCAAGTTTGCTTTTACTGTTGCTGTGTTCATGTGATGCTACTTGTAAGACTGGGTTGCGTAAGAATGGAATATGTGTGTCCGTGTACATTAGCGTGTGTGTTAGTGTATACATACATGTGTGTGCGTGTACATTAGCGTGTGTGTTAGTGTATACATACATGTGTGTGTAATAGTAGGTTTATGTTGTTAAAGAGTGTGTGGCTATTTGGTATGTGTTATATTCCACTTGCTGTGATACGACAGATTTTTGCCAGATAACCAGTGTCTGGAGTACGGTTATTATGGCATTGCTTCTGTGCCAAAACAAAGTTATCCTTCTTGTTGTTTCACCCATCGCCATGGAGACTCGCACGTTGATGCTCCATAGCTTTTCGTGAGAATCTTTTTTTTTTCGCTATCATCGGTCGTCACCACATCGTCATTCGCTGAAGAAATGAATTTGCATCAGGGATCAGATACATGAAGCCAGTACGCATCCAATGTTGTTTTTTTTTTCATCGTGGACATTTATAATACGTAGGGATTACTTCCCCTTGCTCACAAAGGTCAGAATCTTGCTGATCAGACATTTGTATCATTCAGAGATATATATATAGTCATGGTAACAAATTATTTTCACATAAATCTTCACTTCCAAGGCAGCTAGATACTTGAAACTTCATTGTAAATACCATTGATGTCTTTTTTGGTCTCGACAACTACTATTGGTGCACAGGTTAAGGATTTTTCTGTTTTTATTATCATTGTGAACCATATTTAGAGGATAATTTAAGCACACTGCTATCACTAAACAAATAGATTGGATTGGAAATTTCCAGGTTTTTTCCTCACTGTTACAGATGTTAGATTTCTAGTTTATTTTTTGTCCTAGTTTAGTTTGTGATATTGTTGCTGTAGCTATGAGTCCAGTTTTAAGGTGTTTTATAGGTTTTGTTTTGCATCTGTATAATTGAGCGAGTTTGGCTTGCCTAAACATCAATAGTAGTTGTCATGAAATGTGCATACCTCCCCATAAAATTTGGCTGGTGAACATCTATCTTGATACCGAAACCACTGAAAGAAGCTACCCGACACTTGTCCACCAGCTATGTACATATAGTAACTCATGCTGGGTTCGGTGTAAAGACTGATGTTATTCTGTTACCATGGTAACAACTTGTTTTGTTTTGTAATATATCTGTGGAGCTTTAGACAAAAGTATTGATAGTGTGCAATGTGAAATGATCTCAATACCTTGAAGAGTTCCCCCCCATGATCGTTCTCTCCACCCCTTCCCCCTCGTGATGTCATGCTGTAGATATTTAACATTGTAAATATGGATGTATATATATAAATGTAAATATTTGTGTACAGACCAGATGTAAATATATGTAATTGGTAGATAACCCCTCCCACTTGTTACATACAGTATATATATATACATGATTGACACCTGCTGCTCTGGCATTAAAGGGGCGTTTCCCTGTTTAAAGGGACGGGGTTCCACTGTATATATTCATATATATATATATTATAAATATATAAATATTGTAAATGTGATACGCCAGACATGAAGAAATGTAAATTACGTCTACCTGTAGAACATAATGTTTGGTGTACACTGTATGTGTGTTTTACAAGTGTACACTGTGTGTTTGCGCTGTATTTATGAATATACGGCTCCAGATATGTATATATGTGTTCCACGGTGAATGTATATTATGGTGTAACAGCTGTTGATGTGTAATTGATGACTGGTGTAAAAATAAGAGTGTAAATTATATATATATATATAAACCCAGTGTGCTGTTGTGTTTACAAATGAGAGCAAATGAGTGCAGAATTTGAATGAATGGTAACTCACAAATTATGGAACTATTTTCTGAGGAGTGACTGTGATGGGTAATTGTGACTTGTAGATGCTACTGTTTTTGGTAGTGGATCAGGTATGGGATAATTTAACATTTTTTTCTCAAAACTGATTTTTTATCTACATATGATTCATATATTGAAAGTTCATTTCAAGTACTTCAGGTAACTCAAACTTATTAATTTATTAGTCACAGATAAAAAGGAAACATAATTTTGGCAAGATTTTATCGTTAACAAAAATGTTTACATAACATCAATATACAAAGATTGTCTGCTATGTACAGCTTGAAGAAGCAGATTTTATAATTACCATACATCAAACCAAGGTTGATACAAAAACAAATCCACATTTTTTTAGAACGAATTTGTTTGAATTCAAATTTATTTCACTTTAAATATAAAAGAGAAAAATGAGTAATATTGGAGCCGAATTCACAACACAACCAGGTCAATCCAGCTTTTTATGCGAGTATGTGCTAAATTGCAAATATTTATGAATTACACATGTAAAACTTACTTATATACATAGTTTCTTCCCCTTCATACTTACAATATATTGAACCCTTATAGACCAAATAAATTACTACAAATTCCTCTTGCTTTCCGGTCGTTGGGGTCTCAGTTTATTTGCTGGAATCCATACCTGGTAGTTTACACCCTGTGTCCCTCATGTCTTGAGCGTCTCCTACGCTCGCGATCGCTACACACAAAGGGAACAATGGGTGATGTGATGGGTGTATGTGTGGTTTATGAATACAAGTGTAAATGGGATGTTTGAGATAAAATGTGATGAATGTTTGAGTGAACAAGTCTTTTTAAAAAAATGTGTGTTTCAGGTTTTTCTGACAAACTCCACTGTTCTTTCTATTTGCCCATCATGGCCAGAAATGTTTTAGCGATATTTGAAAATTTTTTTTTTTTTTTTTTATACAACTCATACAGGTACAGTAACATACAGAAAATGTCCTAAATCTCATATTTAAACATTGTTTCTGAGTACCTTAATGTTTGTCGTGACGAAATGTTATATCCGTTCAATTTTTCAGTTGTAAAAAATCACAAACAAAAAAAAGAAGATAGTTGCACACAGACTTTCCTATGTTTTGGAGTTGTGAAACCTGAAATACACATATTTTTATAAGGACTTGCACAGGTACATGTGTAGTATATATGGAGAATTTGATTGTACAATTTTTTTCGCTTAATATTATTGGCAGCAGTTGTGATGAGGTAGCGAAAAAGGTTCCGTTAGCTGTATTCTGGTAGATATTGTACAGGGGGTCGCTTGTCATGTCAGAGTGCTTCATCATATCACAATATTCTCATGACACGACTGACATTAATTAAATATGAAGCTAATCATACATACACGTCTTTGTCTTCTTTGTTTCTGGAGCTTTGCTTTTGTTTGTACTTCCATCAGAGCAGGGAAAATCCTGGAATTTGAGAGCAGTGGGCCATTTCAGCAATTTTGTTTTGTCAATATCAAAATAAAGAGGACCCATTTGATATAAAATTGAAAGAAAATTGAAACATGGAGGGATCAATTTCATTTTTGAGGGGTCGATGGCCCCTTGGCTCCCTCCAGGATGATCCCTCCCCTGCAGAGAAGTGATACAATGATCATATAAGCCTAGTTCACCTTGACCGAAGTGCCAAGTGAGCATATATATGTGATGGTGCAGCGAACTTCGTCTATGCATCCAGCGCCAACTTTTTATCTCAACTGAGATGTAGACCAATGGATGTATTGGTGGCATTCACCATTTGTTAACTATTTCTCAATAACCACTGGACCCGTATCGGATAATTTTGGAAAAATAAGTATCCCCATGAGATGGGGATTTAGATTTGCAAAGAAAAAAAATCTGGTATCTAAAATTGGCAGTCTAGTTTGTTTAAGCTGAAAACGACTTCTTTTGAAGAACTGAAACACCTAGAAATATTATATTTGACATGCATATTGCATGGAGTGGTATAAACATCTGGGGAAAAAGTAATGAACTTGACCCATATGCAAGATCACAAGTCAAATTTGTTAAACTGCTTGATACCACATATAAAGTATCTGAAGGATAAGTGTTCCAAGGCGTTAAACATTATACGAGTCCTTTCTCATACTGATTGGGGGGCGGACCGTGAAATGCTTTTGCGCCTATACAGATCACTTATTCGAACAAAACTGGATTATGGTTCTATGGTATACGGGTCGGCGCGCAGTTCGTACCTTCAGATGCTAGACCCACTCCATAACCAAGGGCTACGTCTAGCCCTTGGAGCTTTTCGAACAACACCTGTAAAAAGCCTGTACGTGGAAGCAAATGAACCATCCCTTTATGACAGAAGAAAAAAACTTTCATTACAATTTGCAGCTCAATTAAAATCAAACCCTAAAAATCCTGCTTTCAACCAAGTATTCAACCCCAAATACCAAAACATATTTACGCAAAACCAAAAACTTCTGCCAACATTTGGTATCCGAATTTTGAATTTCCTGCAAGAACTCAACATAAAATTGACGGACATAGCTGAATTTAACATATCTGATGTTCCTCCGTGGACCATTCAAACCCCTGATTTTAACTTTACATTACATGAGCGAGGGAAATCAAGTGTTATGCCCGAAGAACACAAATCCTCCTTTCGGGAATGCATTTCGAATTACCCTTCTCATACACAACTTTACACCGATGGCTCCAAAGAAGGTGAGAAAGTGGCAGCAGCCTGCTGTACTGCCAATACTTGCACTTCAGTCCGACTACCAGACGGCGCCTCCATCTTTTCTGCTGAAGCATGCGCCATTGGTTTGGCCCTCGACCATATCGATGAACACCGCATTAAAAAGGCAATTATTTGTTCAGACTCTCTATCTGTCCTACAGAGTTTACAGTTACGAGATCCTAAAAACACAATCGTACAAAACCTTGCTCTTCGAATATCTCGTATATTAAAAAAGTCTAAAATAACTTTACTATGGATTCCGAGCCATGTCGGAATAAAAGGCAACGAATTTGCTGACAGGGAAGCAAAAAATGCATTGAATCTCGAACAAACAAATATCAAACTACCATACACAGATTTTAAACCTACTATTCGTACAGCCATTCAAAATGAATGGCAGAAACGCTGGTCTCTGGAGACCAACAACAAACTTTTTAAGATACAACCGAAACTTAAAACATCTATTCCCAGTCGGAAAGATCGTAGAGAGGAAGTTGTCCTCGCTCGGCTCCGCACTGGGCACACATATCCTACTCATTCGTACCTTTTAAAACGAGAAGATATACCTTCATGCCACGCATGTGACACTCCATTTACAGTGGAACATTTTATAATAGAATGTTCCGATTTTAAACACATTCGTGATAACTACTTTCGAGTCCCGGATATTACCATTTTTGACTTTATATAAATATCGCATATTCCATATCATCTATTCGTTATCTCTTTTATTATTTTAACCCCCTTTTTTATTTTTTATTATCTACACATACAATGCGAATGCTTTTAAAATGAACCATTTTATCTGATTTTATCTTCGCTACTCACATGTTTGTTAAAAAAATAAAATAAATAAATAAATCACCATGCCCCCAACTGACCACAGCCGTCGATGGGCCGTTAAACATAAACAAACAAACAAACAAATGCTTGAAAGAGTCACGATATTTGGCCATCAGCTTGCTTGTATAAGTTAAATTGCTACACAAAAATTTAAAAAGGTAAAACCTTGGTGCATCCACGGTCACTGGTTTGAAATGTTTAATAGCACTTGCACTTGACCAAGTCCAGAAGAACTGGTGGCCTAGTTTTAAGGAATCTGGCTACAGGCTTGCTGGCATTGAGTAATACAAAGTTGAATAAATTATTATAATTTCGAGCTGAAATAGTCCTATATTTCAAAACTAGAGTGATGGTGTTTTATGTTTGTTCGAAAGTATGACCTTGACCCACTAACAAGGTCACATGATTCAAATATGATAAAAACTTTAAAGTACCTGTATTTGGTTTAACAGGGGCATATAAATGAATTATATTTGTATGTAGATATCGATCGATGCGTTGATGTTCTATAAGATTTGTTCAAATAACAGACTTGCTAACTTTGAATTACATATACGACTGAACTATGAAACATAGTCACGGTTGACGTGAACTCTACTCTGATGAAAGACTTAAATATAGCAGATTTGTTCAGAGAAATTGCCTTGACTTACTTAACACGTAAATGCGGTCAAATTAAATAACTTCTTTTGCAGAACAATAAGGTCTGAGGTCATGGTTCTTATCCTGTGCCTTGCTGAGGGTTAAGGGCTTGTACCAATTCAAGCTAGTCATAAGTATAAGCAATATCAAAAATGACTTTGAATGACGTCGTAGAAAAAGCGGGGAAATATACCCATCCAATAAATGACGTCACATTACCAAGTAATTCTGTGCAGAACGTAATCCTTTATTGCATGCACTGAAGCGTGACCGCCGTATTATTGAAGGGTTCGCCGGGTATGTAAGGTCACCGGCTCAATGTGTTTCAGCTTAAACGGTGGATATGAAATAGGATAGATCTGTATTACCACTATAAACTGTATAATACGACCCGTTAAATAGGTCCTCTCGCTCATTCGGCGTCAAACTCTACACGGTTAGCGCGGGTAAAGGGTGCTATATGGACCTATTAGTTAGGTAGGAATAACGGGATAAACGAATAACGAACTAATAATCAATATCTGTTTATCTAACACAGCGAATAGTGTAATAACAAAAATATCCAATCACTCTAAATAATAAACAAAGCAAGTTAATCTTACAAAAACTAATAAACATTTATTAAATTCAAAACACCTAAAACATCTCACTTCCGGTTGATGTAAGAAAGCTGCAACGTATGTGTTCTGACCACGTGCGGGTAGTTCCGTTTACGGACGAGTCTGCCACCCCACAGCAATCTTATGTCTAACCGCTCATATATATGTATACATGAGTACCTACAAAGGATACATATATATGTACCACCGTGGGGCGATGTACAATCTGAAGCGGTACGCCGTTTTTAGACTGTCCAAAGCTTAAACGGTGGATATAAAATAGGATAGGACTGTATTACCACTATAAACTGTATAATACGACCCGTAAAATAGGTCCCCTCGCTCATTCGGCGTCAAACCCTACAAGGTTAGCGCGGGTAAAGGAGGGAGGCCAGTGGTGCTATATGGACCTATTAGTTAGGTAGGAATAACGGGATAAACGAATAATGAACTAATCAATATCTGTTTATCTAACACAGCGAATAGTGTAATAACAAAAATATCCAATCACTCTAAATAATAAACAAAGTAAGTTAATCTAACAAAGACTAATAAACATATATTATATTCAAAACACCTAAAACATCTCACTTCCGGTTGATGTAAGAAAGCTGCGACGTACGTGTTCTGACCACGAGCGGGTAGTTCCGTTTACGGACGAGTCTGCCACCCCACAGCAATCTTATGTCTAATAGAGTAAAATACTATATATATGTGTATACATGATTAAATACACGTAAAAGTAAGCACAACAACCACTAAAATATTCTAACACAAACCAACCAACCAACCAACCAATCAACCTATCCCCCCCCTCCCACAAACCATCCCCAACACCACTCCGGTCCAGACTACCGGCATTTAATATAACCCATAAATCCTTCTACACATCTCTTGACACCCAGCACATCTTTCAACCTCCAGCCCCTCCAGCCCCCATCCAGGTCATAACCCAACTATAACACTAATACCCCCCCCCGTCCTCCACACACCCTCCCCGTTTTTCCTCTTTATCCATACTAATGATCACACTATTCACTAAAAATCATAAATGTCGGAACGATGAACAGAAATAAGTGAAAGACAAGTCGAGGTATATAAGAAAGATGACATTGGTACAAGTATAGTCATGTTTATTCTCAGTGACGAATGATGAGGAGAGGAGTACATGGAACGGACAACAAAAAAAACAGCACATGCATGACACTAACCACTAATATACAGTCCGTCGGATGGGACTATAAATGGTGACCCGTGTGAGAACTGTCCAATCACGCACGGAAAAAATCCCTCTGGGTTTTTCGAAAAAGAGTAGGCGCTTAAACGCCTACACAGAGGATGGTGAAAATTGTATCCAAAATTTTAGGCCGTTAGAACTAGGGTCTCTTTATTTAGACATTTAGATGGACTTCCAAATTTGATACACAAGCCAAATTCATAGAATAGGCAGGGGCTGGTGTGGCTGGAAGCGGCACAGTACCTCACTTCCGGTACTGACTTGGTGATGCTGTACGATGAGTGTTAGGTTAAGGCATTATTAGGCATAAGAGCCGTCTTACAAAAACTAGACTTATACAGTAAATATATATAGGATAGACGGCCCCTTCTCTAACCTATCCCCCTCTTCTACTCTTTTACTCCATACTTTATCCCTTCTACTCATTTTCCTTTCTGTTCTTCGTCTGCTAGATAACCGAACTCGGTAGTGAAGCGGACGTAAAACCTATCAATCAATCAATCAAGCAATGTGTTTCAAAATTTCTGAGTTTTACGGAACTAGGGGGTAGATCGTTGGATCGTATTGTTATTTAGCCTGCTGCGACGTTCAAGGTCAAATATATCATAGAATAAAACATTCAAACGACTTCGTCTATCGAACCACAAAGCATACAGTAATGATATTTGCCATGCAACCTACTGGAATGAAGAATGATCAACCTTGCCTGAAGAACTGGCCGTATATCCACTATGAAAATCAAACATATCAACTTTGGTCAAAGCTTGACATGGAATTTCTTCTATACGACCAGGCAAACGGCAATGCTATAGACTATATCTTATTGGGGTGCAGAAAGTTATCAGCTTTGTTTAGTAAATGAATTAAGTCCATTTTCAATGTCATTGGGTTTTAAAATACGTTCAAAAACTAAGACTGCTACAGTGGCGGATCCAGAGCTTTTTGGGGGGGCTTTCGGAAACCCCCCTACCCTGATAATTTTCTTTAAAAATCATGTATTTTCACCATTTTCCTCAATTTTCCCCCACTTGGAACACCCCACCCCCTGGAAATTTGGACCCCCATGGGGAGATATTAGCCAGGTGGCATAGAACTAGTAGTTGGCGCCTGATAAGGCATTTTCTCAAAATTGTATTAATGGTATATTTATGTATTGTAAAGCGCCTTAGAGCTAGATAGTTTCAACATTTCTGTTTAAAGGGGCGTAACTCTGACAGACATAGTTGGGATCTGTTGCTGTCAATCGTTTGCAAACTTCTTGTTTTTGGAGTCTTCTCAATAAACACTGTGGCCATATCAACTTAATTCGAAAGACAGTGACCCTCGGATGGTGAGGATTCTGATTTAATTAAAGGAGCATATAAATCTCCACAATATATCAATAACGAGAACACAAAATATTGAAAGAAAATGGCGACTCGAAATCAAATATTCGTCATTTCAAAAAGTGATATGTTAGTCTGTTCGTTTTTTTTTTTTTGCGTATACATAAGATGATTTAATAGAAACAGACGATTTACGGGGTTGATTTTTGTTCATTTTATGGATGTAAAATAATCCGGCGTATACTATACTAGTGGAAGAAATAAAATAAATCTCAAACTTAAGTTATCGACATATTTTAAAGGCCTATACTTTTACAAATGAACAGTTTGGTAGCTGTAGAGGTTGCCGCAACCTTTTAGTACCAGGTACTGGCCGTAGGTCGGTGGTTTTTCTCCTGGAACTTTGGCTTTCCTCCGCTACAAAACCTGGCACGTCCTTAAATGACCATAGCTGTTAAAGGGACATCACGTGAAAAGCGATATTTCTTTTAATGAATGTATGTATTGTATGCACTTCCACTACTTATGTTACCTCGCTATCACCATATTCATAGTCCGTTCCAAATGTCCAGTTTGACCACTTGAATTGTTCGGGGAAGCCCTGCTAAAAATAGCGCCGATAATGTCACCTGACTAGCCAGTAAACGGTTTCCAAAGTTGCAGTTGCCTGACGCCCATCTCTGGGGGCCCACCAGAGAGGGGCGTCAGGCAACTGCAACTTCTTACCGCACTATGAAACCAAGTAATATGATTTCTAAGTCCGTATTAAAACCTATTGAACAGTAGTTATTCATCATCAGAAGTCAACTGCACACTTGCCAATATTCAGAATTTAAATATGTTTAGCTTTAAACATATTTGTTGCCAATTAAATTGAACATGGGATGGGGCTCACGTTTTTACAATTTATCACAGCCTACTCCCGTCATACATTTACAATTAAATGTCAACAATGATAATAGGCATAAACATAAAGTATATATATATAAATATATATTGAATTTAGTCATATTAGCCATCACACACACCAAACTGTATGGCAAAACCACTACGTGTACATGTAGAATATGTGTCAAATATGGGACGTGTTGAGATACTTGATAATTATATTTTTTCAATACTTTTCATAGATTAAAGCATTCTTGTCAATGGACCCTTTTTATGTTGAGCCAACTTTTCTTTAATCATTTCATTTTTGTCCGAAACAGAAGCCGTAGTTATCGGCAGCACGCGTCATTTTTACAACGTAAACAAATGTTTCTTCCCCTGTTTTCAATACGTATTCCGATTCTATCTAAAGTCGAAAATTAATTCTTTATAGAGAAAAGGTTACATATGCATACATTCTAAGTCAACAACATATGAAAACATGTACTGTTGAAAAATTACGATTAAAAAAAAAAAGTTACGCGATCCTATTTGCTAGAAGTAGGTTCTCCTTCCTGATCACTTATTCATCCTGGCCCGTCATTTTGACATTTTAATCTAGCTGCGATAATGTAGATTTCTGACGACGAGAGATTTTTTTTTATATATTGCGTCGTCGCGCCAGAGGAAGCAAGGTATTCATGTTTATCTTGTATGTAAAAACACAAAAAAATCGTTTAATTCAGCAATATAATTAAATCATACCATTTAACTGAACCCGGTAATATTATAAATTATGTAAATCTAAAAGCGCACGTATCTCATTTGACCTCGATCACGAGTACCGACAGAATACACGGCGTATTCTGTCTCTGTCGGTACTCGTTAACCCTTAGGGAGCCTCATGACAAATCAAGCTATCCCTTTCTTTCGCATAAACCACTGTAAAATTATAGAAACTCTCTCCGATACATGCCCATTGACAAATTAAACTAAGTTCATCTGTGTTCAAACTCAGACAAAGATACTAGCGAGGTTAATAGTTTTAGATATTTATTCATAACATAAACCGCGCTAGCATTTCTGTCGATTCCATTTCAGCTTAACTGGCTATCCAGAAGAATACATGCACCGTACTAACTGCTACGGCAGTTATTTTCTCCTTTGAATACTGCCCACCTGTAATAAAGATTCCGTAACGTACTCCTTGCGCTATCTTTTGACCATTTGGCAACTTTTCGCTTCCTAGCTGACACGGTACAACACTTTGGCTTACCTCACACTTACTTTACAAAGAAATGGTGTGCATTGCACATGCACTGTGCCTGACCAAAACGTTGGTCAGACAGATAGAAATACCGATGATTATCTTAGATTTAATCATTTTTATGAATCTATTTCAGCCAAATCCGATCGTTATTTTCCATAAGGAGTCTCACTTGATATGTTTATGTAGTATTTGAAAAAAAAAGACAAAAAAATAGTTACTTCAGCATGATGCCCCTTTCAAGTTGTTTTTCAAGTTGTTATTCCCTGCTTAGCGTCCAGTATTAAGAAGAATGGCAACAACCGGTTCATCCGTTGTTAATATAATGTAACCGGGCGAAAAGCTGTACTGGGTGCCTTCGGCATGGAATTTCAGGGAGGAAGCACTAAAGTCGGCATCAGATCCCACATACATTGTCTCCTGCATACACACACGCAAGCACGCATACACTACACACACGGAGGCGCGTCCTTAAATGACCTTAGCTGTTAATAGGACGTTAAAGAAAATAAAACAAACAAAACAAAATCATATATAGGAACTCCATCTTCAATATAAAGTTGTTTCGAAAGTTATGGCAGGTCACTGAGGCTAGAGACGACGTACATAATCTGCCAAGAAGATACTAACAAGGTTTCTCGATCACAGAGTGGGTGTTGACATGGGGACACTATAGGAGCGAAATTATCAAATTGGCTGGTTTTCACATCGCCAGAGATTTTATTTTTTAATAAGAAAACATCGCCTAGCTATGCTAGCTAGGCAAATTTTTATTGAATTTTAAAATTAAATTATACTTTAGGTAACAAATTGGACCCACGCTTTCCAGAATTTCTGGATCCGCCTCTGGACTATGAAGTTTTTAAAAATTAATGACCTTGGCTAACACTGAAGGCTACAAAGGTCAAAAGAGCAGGTTCGCCGCCCCTACCCCTACCACCACCACCAACAACAACATTCCACCGTCAAGCTCCTTACGCCAATGCATGGGCATGCAGCGCACATGTACTAGCCTCGTCTGTCAATACACCAAATAATCTTATATTATAGGTGTATTGGCAGACGAGGCTAGTACCTATGCAGCAAGGAAACAGAAACCCTATCCCAAACACTTATCTGTCCTGTAGTAACCTGCAAATTTAAACTCCTTGTGTATTACAGTAATTCTCCCGCCCCTGTGATTGCCCTTTCATAACCTGTCACGTGTGTCTAAATATAACACGATACGAAACACACTGTAAACAGAATCATGGCGTCGGAGTTCAAGACGGACGTGAAACACGACTTTGATTTAGAGGCCGTTCTGAACGCTTTTAAGAGCTGTCATTCACCAGATAACAACCTGGTACTTGACCAATATGTCGCTGGGTATCAAGAGCTATGCAGGTAACGTTTATATATCTTTAAAACAGGTGAAGGGAAGTTGTTCATTTACCACGCTCCGATCACGATCAGCTGATCGCGTACAGGCACTCTCTGGTACACAAATGTCATGTTCTACATTATAACACTGTGAATACAATACACATGTGTAACTGGTAGCAAGTCTAATCATACGTGAGACGATAGAGGCAGATCTCCAGGAAACACCCCAGTATGGCAATATTGTGTATTTCTACCAATTTTCTTACTTGCCGCCTACACCACAAGAGAAAATTCTAACCTCCCCCCTGCTGTACATAACGTTAAATTGTATGTATATCATTATTTTAAAGCTTACAGTGAGGGCATATTCATTGTGTAAATTTAAGATATTTAAGACTGCGAATGTATGTATGATATAGATATTCAATATCGTACAATAAACTATGTATATTCTATACCATACACATTTGGTTTTGTAACCATGATTCCTACGATTTATTCTGTATATTTTAGGCCCAGTCTATTTTAATGCTGATATTTTAAAATAAAAATGGAACGTAACGACCATCTAGTTATGTTTTATATACGAAAGGATCTGCACGAATATACATGTAGGTATAGTTATCTATAACTTTATGATTTCGCAGAAATGTCAATATGACGTCGGTTTAATTGAGCAAATCACGAGCTAAAATTATACACCTGATGGCGTGTATGTACTGTTCAGTTTACCCCAGAAGGTAGTGATTGGTTGGTTGGTAGACTCCTTTTCACGGGCGAAGCCCGTGTTCTGTCGTCTTGAGGGTGTAAGTCTCCAGCTTACCGGGCCCTCGGAGATTCAAAATGACCTTGCCCGTCCAGGTCACGCCCTTAGGTCGGTCAGCTCCTTAGATGCGGATAGGCTGTCGCAGTTACATACAGCACGTATACGGGAGCGTGAAACACGGTTACCTCTAGTTTGGATGACAAAAATTAGAATGATAAAATATTGGTTTAAATTATTCAAATCTGAAAATTGTATTATATCAACTTCCTATAGGTTTTTATTACAGTGTTGTAGTAGAAATGATTTTAACTCGGCTATAGCAGTAAGAGATGAATTAAATGATCTAGGTCTTAGTGATGTTTGGTTAGATCCATGTATCTCTCAGCAAAATTTGTTATTACCATTGATAAAACAAAGAATTTTTGATCAAGGCATACACTTCCTAAGGGCCACAGTGGAAAACTCTCCAAAATGTTTATTGTATAAACATATAATAGATTTTGGAGAAACATTACAATTTTACCTTACAAAATATATACCAAAGAAATATCGCATTTGTTTAACTCGAATAGGAACATCTACCCATTCTTTAGCTATAGAAGTTGGAAGGTATAATAATATACCTAGAGAACGTAGATATTGTAAACAGTGTAACTCCCCCTCTGAATTAGAGGACGAATTTCATTTTTTATTGGTCTGTTCTTAATTCCAAAATCTCAGATCTCGTTTTATCAAAAGCTATTATTGGAAAAAACATCTGTGTTTAAAGTCGTCCAGTTATTGAGTGTCCATAATATTAAGGAATTGTGTATAGTAGGAAAATTCATATATGAGGCAAACAAATTAAGAGTATTATAATGGAATATGATTGTTTTCATCCTCTGTACATTGTCCATCATTTGTTTAAAAAATGTTTTGTATACTGATGGGCCAATGGCCCAAAGTTTGAATAAAACTTGAAACTTGAAACACGTCCTTTAAACAGCTTCCAGAAGGTAGTGACAGAATGAATAACCTTTATAGGTGCATGGCCAGCTGTATATCAATGTGGTCAGTCAGTGGTCAATGGTCATTGTGTATATTGTTGGTCAAGATGTCTTTGCTATTCATGGCCAGTACCACGGACTTAGATAACAGGGATTCTAATCTAATTCCGTACCAGTACAAAATATATGTTATGCATAATTAGAAATAAACATCTGTTTTTAAGCTAATACACTGATTATGCACAACTAACTGAAAAGAATTAACTTTGTTAAGTGAATGTATCTACAATTCTTCATAATTAAGGAAGGCCACGATTTAAACTTTATGTAAGTACATTGCAGTGTGTTTGCTTTGCCCGTCTGTCACTGTATTTAATTGTACTTTGCGTAAGAATGTGAATTTAATCAAAATTCACATTCTTCCCTTAAACCCTGCCGAACCATATTTATATATATATATATATAACAAAACAGGAATTCTATAGCTTTGATAACTTTTTCATTTTTGAATAGTACAGGTTTTAGGCAAATATGTTGATGTCCTTTTTAAGGAACCCTATCCCACTGTACTACCGTTTTCCATATATACTGTAATACAATATCCCCCATCGTCGGAAGCCCACGTTCGATTGTACTAGCCTACGCAGAATCGAACGTGGGTTTCCGACGATAAATATCGCCTTAACTTCCGTTTGGTTAGTAGCATTTGGGCTCGTACGGTACCGGGTCAAGGAAGCTCAATCTGTTTCAGCATGGTATAACAATCTGAAGTCCAGGGTTCGAATCTCGGTCTGGCGCCGCAGAATATTTGAAACTCAAAACTCGTTTGTTGGTTATATTTTGTTTATTTCATCTCCATTATGTATGTATAAAAGTCCCGCGAAAAAGGTATACTTTTCTTTTCAAAAATGATTTATCAAAGCTATAGTTGTGCTGGAAAAATAAATTTCAAATAAATAGTATAATGTTTTGGCAGTGGAACGGCGATCCTGATGTAAAAGTCAAATTAAAAACAAGTTCCTATAGTTTGTAGCCCATTTTGAGTTCATATACCACTCTGACTTTTGAAGGTGTGTGTGCTTATTTTTGGAATCGGATGTTCCAACACGGGAAGAATTCGGGGATATTTGAGGAATGCATTTTTCATAAGAATTGAACCCGATTCGAATGTCGGAATAAATTGTGAAAAAAGCTGAAAATTACATCTGTTGTCGAAGTTCAGATTAAAGAAATAAACTTAAGGGTTGGTCACATGCCCACTGTAAGAGAGGGAAAATGTGCGGGCAGACAAGGATTCGAACCCGGGAAACTCCGAACTCTAGACGGACGCTCTACCTGACCGCCGGCGATCGATCGACCCGACCCAGTCCTTAAATGTACACAACTTGAGTGCGTATGAGGTCACCTTGGTGCCGCTGTACGCCGATTGTCTGTCCGATCAATTCACTAGAGAGTAAGGAATTGTGTCAAGTTATAAGTATGATGGACCGTATCGATTCTTTTGGACACGATCACGATGTAGAATGCAAATAAAGTGTGCGCTTGTGTATTAAAAGGGTAATGGTGTGATATATTGACTTACCTGGATCATGAAGCCAGAATACACAGCCTGAAGCTGTATTGGTTAATTAAATTATTGATTGGAAGGCGAATTGGTTGATCCGTCACACACAAAAAAGTACTTAATCAGAATGGTACAAGCATACTGTAAGTTGGATCATTATCGTGGTGATTTCTTGGGACGATTTCGCGTTGACGGTGTTCTGGACAAGTTTACACAGAAATGTTAAATTAGACTTTTTTAAGTACTGTTGAGTTTTGCCATTTATAGGTCCATGCTTCTCGCTTTCTGTCACGTGGAAGTGCTACTCTAATTCAGACAAATTTTGCGATGCCGAGTTTAACAGCTTCTTCACGATCAATCGGATGACTTCGCCCTTTTCCGTCGCATGTAAGAAATGTCACGGAAATGACCGAACGTGGTCTGATTGGTACTTTCTAAAATTACACATCTTTCAATGTTGTAGAACTAGATTTTCTACTATGCATTCACTACGTCCATCGTCAGATCACTGTCGATTGCGCGTCACTTCGGTCCTTTAGTATGCGATAATGTCTTTTTTACAGTTTAGAAAAAGTTTTCCAACATAAATTCACTAATATTTTATTCAAAGCTATATTTCCCGACGATTCCCAGGAACCGAAGCCAAATTTATATTCTGGACGTTACTCGGTAACTAAGTTAGGGAGACCATACATTGGGGATAATTTTTTCTGTGCGTTTCTCGGAAAGTATCGACGATTCCCGATTGCCCGGCAACACTGAGAACTATCTTTCCGAACGTGCATTCAGATAGATATCCAGGACCAGACTCTCTATTCGGCGTAGCTTGCGCAGGCAACAAGAGTCTGGTTGAACGAGACTAACGACTGGCCCAATCCCTACCCAGAGTTGCCGTTCCTTACACTCACTAACACGGTGTCAATCGGGAACCGTCGGCATTTTCCGTAAACGAGAAAACTCGTTTACGGAAAGTGTCAAAGGTCCCCGATTGTTATACGACGATAACCATAAGGATCCCCGTACCTACCCGGATATGTAATATGAGCCGTTTTAGGTGTTAAGATCAAGTTTTGATTAAAACACAACCTTTCAATGATGGGATGGGTTCAAATAGACCAACTGTAAAAAATTATCAGGTCCCTGTGATCAAACTGCATCGAAGGGCTAGTTCAAATATTGAATTGACTGACTATGTAAGCCAATACATTTTCCCGTGTCAAGGGGGGATGTGTGATGATAGCTGATACGGACCAACAACATCCTGTTTGAGTGTGCTCATCCATGTACAGTTTCGTGCCTAACTGGTCTATATTTACATATATATATAATATACACCCACATCCACGTTTTGTTTATTTTATAAGTTACTTATGTTTACAGAACGTTATTGATTGATTCTGTTGTGAAATAGACGCATGTAAACACTTTATATCCGGATCTGATTGGTCTGTCTTGGTGCAGGTTTTTTCAAGAGTCGTTAAAAGTTTGGCCTATTTGTCTGATACATTATTAATTAAAATTATTTCGTTTTAAGCTTGTGGCACAGGAAAAACTGGGCCTAGAATAGTTAATGATCATTGCTATTGGACCCGGAGACGACACATGTCCTCTCACATGTACTAGCCTCGTCGGTCAATATTTATATTGACACACGAGGCTAGTATACCTGAAATCCGCTGATATTTTCCTTTCCCCAATAGAAAATGTCTGAAATACCAGCCCTTATAAAACCTCATCAGAAAACCATATGTGTTAATAAATGAAATATGTGTTTCCTCGTGCCCCTCAATACCATGCAGAAAAAATACCTTACAATTCATTCTTCAGCATCAAGTCAGAGGACACATAATTTAAGGACGTGCCGTCATGTGTGTAAAATATGCTTCTTCGTGTGTACTGGATGCGGTATGTTGGTGTATTTGCCTCCTTGTGAAAGCGTGGGATTGATACAAGGATGAAGGCACCAGCAATACTCGATCACATTACACTGGCAACGGGTTTAGCAGTTGTTGCGATTACGCTAAACTTTTAGCAGGAAATAACAGATACCATTTAAAAGGCCGTGGTATATCCTGGCATGGAAACAGGTAGCCCGAGTTTCATCTGGCCCTAACACAAGACATGTATCTGTCAAAATGTCTAAGTCTTGTGTTCGGGCCAGAGGAAACTCGGGCTAGGGAACAGGACCCATTGCCTTCCCCACTCGTTTAACAGTAAGACCAAAGGTGCGGTCTTGTCAAGCAAGGCGTTACCCAACAAAGAGGTAGTAGGAAGTAGAGAGAAAATATAAAGATCCCAAGCGTTGCAATTAGTTAAGCAGATTTATCATTGTCGTTTTTGTGTCCCCAAGTAGCTAGGGCATAACTACAAATCCAAAACTCTGTAGCGGGTTTCCACATTAGTTGCCTCTTACAACTTGCAGTCGACAACAGCGAGTATATTCTTTCCTCAATCCTTGATTACAGGGTGTCGAAAACACTTAAACAAATATTGCAATTTATTATAACTGTACTGTTATCTGAGTATCTAGTATTCTTCCTAATGTCTCCCTTGACAATGCCTCACTTTTGGCCATTTGTTGAGCGTTCGCCCCTGTGAGGTAGGCTTTGGGTTCTGTCCCCTGGCCGAGACATACCAAAGTCTTTAACAATGGTAGTTTCTACTCTTGCTTAACGCTTAGCAAATTAGGAGTGGGACGACTGGTTCGCCTGTTGTCAGTATAATGTGACCGGGTGGGGCGTCCTGCTGGGTGTCTTCGGCAGCATGTCTCAGTGAGGTAGCACTATAAAGTCGGCATCAGTTCCGCGCTATCACAAGGAGACAAACACGAACATATCGCAGCCTCCCAAAATACACACACATACACTACACGCATGCATCTTGCACACAGGGGAGGCCGTCCTTAAATGACCTTAGCTGTTAATAGGACGTTAAACAAAGTCAAACAAACGAACAAACAAAAAAGTATACACTAATGTGTTCCATTAGCCAGAGTTTCCTCTGGCCCTGATACCAGACTTTGACATTTTAACAGGTAGCTGTCACGCCTGACATCTATCAAAGTCTGGTGTCAAGGCCAGAGGAAACTCGGGCTAGTGTCCGATTAACGAAGTTCTACTGAATACACACTAACATGTCCAAAATAACAATAGAAGGTAACGGTGTTTATTCAGTCATAAAAAAATATGAACACAAATTCTCGAGTACCCATGGAGTCACAAAAGTGTTCGGACTGGTGAGGTATTCGGCATCTAATGATTTATACAATGAGAATCAACTCAGCTATCTGCCCATGTCAAACACATTTAACATTTCAGATTGCTAGCGAGTATTAAAACAGAAACCGTGAAAAATGCAAATACGACTGCAAACAATGCCTTTGCTTCAAGTTTTGAAATAAATCTTTCTTGTGTATTATGTAACTGTTTATGTTTTGTTTGTTTCAGGTTTTTCAAACTGACAGGAAAACTGTTTGGTTTCGTAGCAAGCGAGTTGGAGTCAAAAATCCATATTCTGGAAACTCACCGGAAGTCGGAAAACGGAAATGCTTATGAAACGATCCAGTCCATGATTGACTTTGAAGTCACCAATGGAATAACAAAGGTATCCAGAAATCCACCGTCTGGGTCTCGGACGCTTTTGCGTCTCCACAGAGCGCTTGGATTCATAAGTGAATTCATGGACAGAATTGCAAAGAGTGACGATGACGCAAAAACATCAGATATAGCATCGGAAGTGTACAAAAAAACACTAGGGTTGTACCATCCTTGGATTATTCAAAAGATGGCTGGTCTTGCGATGTATATGCTGCCGAGCAGACGACAGCTTATTGACACAATGTGCAAACAAAACTACGAAAAAGCTATAAGTACATTACCGCTGGTGGTCGACGCCTTAAAACCCGTGTATAACATTACTCAAGAATTGTACGAAACTAACGATTTATTAAACCTGCCATGATATTTTAAATATTGTACGAAACTAACTATTTGTTAGCTGATGGATTTACTTAACCTCAAATTATGTTCAAAATGCCTTCAAAATCGTCTAAAATCATGAGTTATATTTTGAATGGTCCTTCCTCGACTCTTGTTTATCAACAAACATGAGGATATCAATATTCTAAAAATATTGGAGTAGCCTTCTATGCAATTTCTATCTTCTGTCGGAAAAAGAAGGAATTTCGCAAAAAACGTATTTGTTGGCTCCAAATCGCAGTTTTCATTCCAACATTTTTGAAACCATTTACCTGGAAATACTGTATGTGCTTGTTGTTATTTTTTTTTTTGTTCAGACAACATTGAGAAAAGAATCACTTTGATTTGTATGTTCTGAAAAGCCTTAATGTCTTTAGGATCCCTGACCTACTACACTGAAGCTCGCATATACAGTAACCTCCCTTTAACTTCCGTTTGGATATAAAAATACAGTTGACCAGGCCACTTCCGTTGACCAGGTAGCTGAATCGGTTAGAGCGATTCGATAACAACCCGAAATTCAGGGTTCGAATCCTGGTCAAGCCCCGCTGAATTTTTACACTAAGAACACTATTGTTGTGTTTTATTTTGTTCAAGTTATTTCATATAAATTATTTCTCATTAAAGTCTCCCAATGCATTGCTTTTCTTCCGGCACCAATTTGTCAAATCTACAGCCCATGCCGGAATAAAAAGTTTCCAGTATCTATAGAGATACCGTTTTTGGAAGTTGTGCTGGGATCCTTAAGAATTACTAGTATTTGGACTATTTAATCATTTTCCTGTTTATATGTCTGTCCAGTGCGCTTAAGAAAATGTACAGAAGAAGACCGATATTATATAACAGGGAAAGATTGTGTATGATATTCAGACAATTTCGGTGCTTTATAAGAAATAGTTTTCAATTTTATTTGGGAACGTTTAAGGTTAAGTGGACTACTGCATCAGTTAATCTCGAAGAAGAGTTCCACTTCAGACTTGTTTTTTCTCAACGTGGACTATGTTTCTGATCGTCCTCGATACTCCATGGGGCTACGCTCTCTTACATTATCTACACCCCTGGTATACGTCATAACCAAATTGAAGACACGAAGATAACTGTTTGAGTGGTCTCGTGTATGACCAATCGCTAGGCTGATACCTGTCCTTGAAAATTACAGAGGAGCGACATCCGACTTCTAAGCCATACGATTTTACCGTTACGCGACCCTGAGATTCTTTTGATGTACATCAAAGGATCAAACTAGTATCCTTGTCTTATCCACAGGGGACGCACACTGAGACTTGAATTTTACTATCACATTTTCTAGAGGTGCAGAGAGCTTAAGTGAGCGTAATCCCTGGAGTATTGAGGATGGCTTTTGATATGTAGAAGATGACGCAACATTAATGAGGTTTTTCTGGCATTAGGTTACTAACATTGATGTAACCTTGTCAAGGCAATATTTCATTTGGAATATGTGCATTAAGAACTGTTCGATAACAAGTTCATTCCCTGTAGCTTTTGTTTAAATTTGCTTCATGATGCACAAGTTTCGAACAACTGCAATGCAGTAAAATACTTCGTTAGATGTGATTTATATGGAACGCTTCTGTTGAAAATGACTCATTCAATTTACGTATTTCAAGATATTGGTAAACTTAACTTGATGGTATCCTTCACCTAAAATATACTCCATTTCGCTTCCTAGGTTTTGAGATTACAATTTGTTACTTAAGTTGATTTCGTTGTATTGATATTAGATATACATGTATACACGTATATTATATATATGTATATGAATTGTAAATCCAGTTGTCTCGTCCAACCAGACGCCTGATCACTTTGTAGTTCGGCGTAGCGGTAGTTTCGTTTAACTTGAATTACAAGCAATCGGGAACCGTCGGCACTTTCCGTAAACGAAAAAATACCCGTTTACGGAAAGTGCCGACGGTTCCCGATTGGAATTACATGCGCAGACAACAAGAGTTTGGTTGAACAAGGCTATATTCCGCAGCTAGTGTTCTGTGATAAACATTTCTAGGAATATTCATCATATATGTGTATTCCCATAATCATATTTGTTATGAAGTTATTTACTTATATGTAACGGGAACATTTTACATTTTTTTCAGAAACATTCTAGTCCCAGTATAAGTTGGGCAAAATTCAGCGTAGCTCATTCACAACCCAAGAGATTTTAATACATGTATTTCTTCCCAACTTAATAAAGAAATATCCGAAATCGATTTATTTTCTAAATCAATGATATTTTGAGAGGTGTTTATTTGACAACTATTTTATTCAGGCACGTTTAGTGTTTGAAACCCAAACTCGAAAATAGATGCATTCAAAAAAAGTTCCCTACTTTTAGATGTTTGTTTATCACAAATTCCTTCTGGCGAGAACTTGTGTGGTGTTAAAAGATTGAGATAGGATTATTTATGTTGTGCATATTAATTTAAAATTTATAAAAATAAGTATTCTGGAAAAATGCATTGATTTCCGTTTCGGTTGATTTATTTTTGACTAACATTATATAACATTATATACAAAGCATAATCCATGTTGATGATATTTTAATTGATAATTATCTTCCGCCCTGATCTCAAAGCTAGAAAATGACACGATCTGCCTCTGTGACCCTGCCGGCCCCTGAACACTTAGTCCTTGGGTCATATCTTTGATATGGTTAAATTAACCACCCTGTAACCAAATATGTGTTTGCCGTGCATACAAGAAGATCTCAATCATGCTAGCAGGTTAAGTCCTTGTTAGTTTTAATGAGGACTATTGTCATATTGAAATATTCAAGTTTGTGGTACAGGCCCTATGAGCCTCGTGTTCTATATATCTTTAATGACTTCTTTTTTATGTTAAATATGTAATTACATTCAATGAAAGATGTGTTGTTTATTATACTTTATTAGAGGACCGTAGTGGTTATTCCAATTCAACTCTGTTAACTTCAGGTGATTATACCCTGTCGGAGGATATTAATTAACTTATTTTAACTGATGTCCAATACTATATAAATGGTACTGAACGATGTAAGAGATTATAACATCTTATATAGATGTGTTGTATTTGTGAGGGTGTGTATGTGACATGTAGGCATGTTGGTATGCAAGTATGTATAAGCTTGAGTAGATGTTTACATATTTAATTATTATACATTACCCGAAGTAATCATTCTACTCTCTGATTATTGTTTAAAGGGGCATCACGGTGAAGTAACTTTATTTTTGTCTTTTTTTCAAATACTACATAAACATATCAAGTGAGACTTCTTATGGAAAATAACGATCGGATTTGGCTGAAATAGATTCATAAAAATGTTTAAATCTAAGAAAATCATCGGTATTTTTTACCTGTCTGACCAACGTTTTGTTCAGGGATTTCCCTCTACTGGCGCATGCACTGTACGGAATCATTATTGCAGGTGGGCAGTATTCAAAGGAGAAAATAACTGCCGTAGCAGTTAGTGCGGTGCATGTATTCTTCCGGATAGCCGGTTAAGCTGAAATGGAATCGACAGAAATGCTAGCGCTGTTTATATTATGAATAAATATCTAAAACTATTAAGCTCGCTAGTATCTTTGTCTGAGTTTGAACACAGATGAACTTAGTTTAATATGTTAATGGGCATGTATTGGAGAGAGTTTACTTTGTGTTTCTATAATTATACAGTGGTTTGTGCGAAAGGAAGGGATAAGTGACTGGTTAGTTTGATTTTTCCATGAGGCCCTCCAAGGGATAACTGTTGTGATGGCCCACGGCGTATTTTCTGGGTCACCGAGATACGTGTTATCGAAGTCCGTGGATTTACATAATTTATAATATTACCGGGTTCAATTAAATGGTATGATTTAATAATATTGCTGAATTAAACGATTATTTTTACATGCAAGATTTAAATTAGTGCAAATATGAATACCCGGCCTCCTCTGCCCCGGCAACATATACAAAAAATCAGAAAGGTTTGTCCCTTGGTGTAGGGAAGGTGTTTAGACACGTACCATCTGTACCGGCCACATTCCGGTACTAAATTCAATATATATTTAAATATATCTACTTTATGTTTATGCCTATTATCATTGTTGACATTTAATTGTAAATGTATGACGGGAGAAGGCTGTAAAAACTTGTGCCCCATCCCTTGTTTAATTTTATTGGCAACACATTTATGTTTAAAGCTAAATAAATTTAAATTCTGAATATTGGCAAGTGTGCAATTAACTTCTTATGATGAATAATTACTGTTCAATAAGTTTGAATACGGACTTAGAAATCATATAACTTGGTTTCATAGTGCGGTAAGAAGTTGCAGTTGCCTGACGGCCCCTCTCTGGGGGCCTCTTTCGAAACCGTTTCCTGCCTAGTCAGGTGACGTTATCGGCGCTATTTTTAGCAGGGCTTTCCCGAACAATTCAAGTGGTCAAACTGGACATTTGGAACGGACTATGAATATGGGGATAGCGTGGTAACATAAGTGGAAGTGCATACAATACATACATTCATTAAAAAAAAAACGCCTTTTCACGTGATGTCCCTTTAATACTACCATCAATGCTTTCATGTTAAAATCTATTTCTCTTTATATATACATTATTATCTATGATATCTATTATTTACTTTATTCACATTGACTTGTATATATGTGGTACCTATTGGAGAGGACTTATATAGGCTTGCCTGTTGTCCAATCCATTTGTTTTTTAAACAATGAAATTTGTTGAAATGAAATGAAATTAGAGGACAGGACTGTGTTTTCGTCAACAAGCTGTATTGCCGAAAGTACGTAGGAATGGTGATATGGATGTATGTTTCGCTCTGTGTCATGCATGGTAGTCGAAATAAATGTAAACAAGATGAAAATAAAATATTTTGCTATTTGACCGTATATTTTTATCAGTAACCACATCGAAAAGAAAGAATGGTATGCAAGGTTATGGGGAGTCGTATTAGTTTAAACGGAAACCTACTTGAGGAAAAACATTACATGTAGTTATTCCGTTATCTGCCTGCGTATAAACCCCCATTATATATCAACACATCCTCGATACTCCAGAGGTTACGCTCACTTTTACTCTCTGCTCCCCCGGAATATCCGACGAATGGACCACGGCGCGTTACGTAGTTGTTGAAACCACATACAGAAAGATGAGTGCATTTAGACATAGGTATACTGGAAACTATTTTCGTACTTATTACGCGTCATGATCTGGGTGAAACAGTTCTTACAAACCGGAAGCAGGAATGATAAACATTTAAGAGTATTAATTGATGATATCTTGAATTGGAGAAAGTTTTTCTCTCCTTTTTTCCCCACGCAAATTTCAAAGGAGAACATTTCAAAAGGACCACGAATCAATTTCCCTTGAATCGGTCCATACGCTTCATGGCCACCTTCATGCAGTTTATTTTTAACCCCACATATGCGTCATATTTGCTGTTATATTTATAGTACATGTGAAGTCCAAGACATACCTGACATGATATAAACTTTCTACACTTAGACGAGATAAAATCTTGTCGTCATTCCATCTATGTTCCCCAGATACTGTAAAAGTGGATTTTTTCGCGTGTGGAAATGTTCGCGTATATACTCTTTAATCGGTGTGGAAATATTTGCGTCGACAATGGTTATCCTTTTAATCTATAATCAATTAATATATATTAGCGTGTGGACATTAACGCGCTAACTTACTCAACGCGAAAAAACACGAACATTCCCACACCACGTCAATTTCAACTTTCACAGTACATTAATCGTGATATCGCTTTTAGCTCACCAGGCCCGAAGGGCGAAGCGAGCTTATGTCGTGGTGCTGCGTCCGAATAAACAGCTTCCTTTCAATAACTATTGTAAATGACCCTTGGTCATCATACTCTTTGGATATTGGCGGGATACAAGTCTTGAGAAACGGAGCAATTGCCTGAGTTTACATTATACAGTATGTCTAAATATACTTCCATAAGATAACATTACAATAACTATATATATAATAATCGCTCTTGAAATATCAATTTCATTATTATCAGACATTTTGGATGATGAAGAATACATATTTAAAGTCGATTACAGAGGTAATCGATGAATTAAGTGGACAGAACCGTTGACAATTTCAAAATTAATTGTGACCAGTCCTCTGCTCATGACCCCTTTAGAAAGAAAAACACGAACGCATTTAATATATATTTCATGCCAAGACCTTTGCGACAGAATGAAGACGGAAAATATCTTATACAAGCTCGTCAATAATTGTGAATGGTATTTTTATATATATTTTTCCGCAGAGTTTACAACAAGGGAAGTGCTGCGTTTTAGTGTAAACAAACGAAACTGCTTCGTCTGATCACAAGACATCCATCCCTATTGTAGCGTAGGACCGCCATTGTTAGAATGAACCAAGTTCATTCGACTCTCTGGATATTGGCGGGATATGGACTGAGACCACAATTAATTTTACTATATGTTTCTTTGTAACATTTAATTTCATAACAAATTCCCAATATCCGATAGCCAACTTTCCATCTAACCTGGTCAAGAGCAACATCTTGGGAGTAAAATATCAAAATTTCAACATAGCATGTTGGCCTTTTTCTTGAGATAATCGTCTGCATGTGTCACCAATGTCAAAAATAAACTTCCGGGTCAGGGGTAGTAAGGTCAACACAGGACTTTTCACACAGCACCCTGCACCAAAAAATAAATGCACAATATAAAAATTTGACACAGAAATTGTTAGATTGATATCTCCACAGTATTTTAACACCAAACTTTTACACAAACACCAAGTTCTAAGAGGCATAGTATAGTTTTTACTAAAGTACCTATATTTCTAAGGGACTTGAACCCGGAAGCATTTAATTGTGACCTCAGTCCTAATATAAGTCTTGAGAAACGGAGCAGCTGTGTGAGTTTACATTATACAGCATGTCTAAATAGACAGTACTTCCATCACAGTGCCTATATCATCGTTCTTCAAAATATCAATTTGTGTACATCTCAATTGAAGCATTTTCAATAATCAAAAATAAGTTTGAATTCAAATAAAGTGGTCGCCAGTGAATCCGCTGAATTGTTAAAATGTAATTGTGACCTGTCATCTTTTTACTGTCCCTAAAGAGGAGAAGGCTCAGAATGTTGAAACCTGCATTTTTGATAAGTTTAGGCAAACTTTATCAACAAAACCGAGCACATTTTCGGGGGGAAACTGGAAAAAAACATCATGATATTATGTATTTACACTCAGTATTACTTTCCTTCCGCATTAGTATTGCCTTTTTCTCTTCTCTTCCTGCAAACCACTTTTTGCTTCTTTTAAATTTCGAGTATCAAAAACTTTCCAACATGGCTGTCTTCTTTCTGACAAAGAGACATCTGCAAATGCATGCTCATGCATGCGCAATATCCGTGTAATCGGATTGGGGAAAATTGATTAGCTGTGAGACGTCACGCCACTTTGATTGTCATGGGGATACATTTCGGGGGCGTGGTTTGTAAAAGATATTGATTGGTTGTAGCACACATACACTGAAATTTTCAGGAATCAAAAACTACTTAGTGAAGTACAAAGTTATATATTATTCTTATAAAAAGTCTGATTGTACTTGCTAATGATAAGTCTAAAAGGAGTTCTCAGAAAACGGGAGATCGCTTCTTGGGCCAAGTAGCCTTTTTGTCCAGCTATGGTCCCTCCCATACCCTTCCCCTGCTCCGGCGCTACGCTCCTCGGACTCTCGACCCCTTGTAAGCATACACTTCGAAAACAGATTTGCTACGTCACTGGTCTGAGGTAAAAAAAAAACCACGACAATCGTAAGACTAATATTATACCTGTTCTTTGAATATAACAGAAGACCGACACACGATTTCAAAGGCAGTACATTTTACCGTTACGCGACACAAGGTGGCGCACACTGAGCCTTCGATTTCGCTATGACATATATATATTCCAAGGATGCAGAGAGCGAAAGTGAGCGCAACCCCTGGGGTATCGAGGATGTATATTTTACTGTGTTTGCATTTTCGATTAGACGCTGGAACCAGGAAAAAACTTCTTATTGGGTTGGAGAGTTTTTCCCCACTGGAACGTTAGTCTTGGAAATAAACGAACTACACATTTTAATACTTGTCTTGTATATACATTTACTGTAAAAAATACTTGAATTGTATCTGAATTGGACTGGATTGATTGCTGACGACCAGGAAGCTCAATATGATAAGAGCACCAGTCTAGATTCAGGAGGTCCTGTGTTCGAATCCCAGTCTGGCCGTGCATTTTTCGCGCCTCATATATGTTACAGTGGTGTCGTGACCAAACCTTGTTTAAGATACATGATGAATGATTGGCAAGAGGGATTATCGGACATGTAGGTTGTAATAGTATTGTCTTCGGGTGCAGAGACTTAGAAAATAGAGGAAGGAACGAAGCGAGGTGGGGGCGAGCACAGGGGCCTGAGAATTTGTTACAGCTAAGGTGTTCAGAGTAATTAATATGTGTTAGGGGTTTAGATCGACTTTCGGTAAAAATCACATCTCCAGTGAATATATACACCCAAAACCGAAAGTCGATCTATACCCCTTACACATGTTAAATTACTCACTTAGAAAACCCTTAGTTTTGGTCGAAATATAGCTAACAAATTCTCAGGTCCCTGTGGGGCGATCGAGGGGACCGAGGAAAAGCAGATTTTTGTTGTTTTATATTAAATTTATATGAGAATAAAATAATTTTCTATTTAATTTATTTCTTTTGATTTTTTCAGTTCAACACATTTACTTAATTATAGGTTCTTGAGGCAAGCAATCGAGAAAAAACGTATATAAGATTTATTTTTCTAACTTGGGCTTAACCGGTAGAGTTATCTCCCCTACTCTACTTCCGGAAAAAATCTCAACATGTGTGACCGGTTAGGCTGACAAGCTGCTATTGTTTGGTCGTTGCACGTATCCTGTCACCATGATTTACCTGCTACTTCTTGCAACAGCGTCTTCAGTTGCCATATGTGTTGTACTTTACAAATATTTGAGGTTTGTCTCCTATTCAGGCCTCTTAACATGTTGTTTAGTCGATCTATTTTCCCGCCGGTTTCTTTTAAGATTTAGCTTGATTTTGATTACTCCAACAGTGTTAGAGGTTAACACGGCGAGATACTTTTGACAGGCGCCGTGTAGAAAAAAAGGCCGACCAGCGCCCTCTTATGCTATAGGAGTAGATTTTGATATGATTTTAGATCTATACGCTTAATTTTTTACGTATGTTTTGACACATACCTATATTGCCAACCTCGAACTGGTAAAACAATGGTGTTACAATTTCTGTTTTGTCTACAAATTCAATGTATAACCACAGAATTAGATTAGTTATCTAAGTCCGTGGTATAACCAGGGACTTTTGCCAATTTTGGGATGGTAGGTCCTCATTTGACACACCTATATTGCTAACCTCAAACTGGTAAAACTATGGTGTTACAATTTCTGTTTTGTCTACAAATTCAATGTATAACCACAGAATTAGATTAGTTATCTAAGTCCGTGGTATAACCAGGGACTTTTGCCAGTTTTGGGATGATAGGTCCTCGCCGACTGTTTTTGAAAACTCACCCTATGTCATAGTATGGGATGTTTTAAAAGTGTTTCAGTACTCACCTGGGAAAAAAAATCTACAAAATCACTTTAAAGCGGTTTGGGCATAATACCTCAAAGGTAACTGTTGCAGTTTATACTTTATAGCACGGAATTAGATTATAAGTCTAAGTCCGTGTTTATAGTAATAATACTATTACTGAAGTGGGGAATAAAGTGAAATGAAAACACACTTTATGCACAAGTACTAGTCCTGTCTGTCAATACACCCATACTATTATGAGTGTATTGACAGACGAGGTTAGTACCTGTGCTTTATGTGTTATTTTTGTCCAGCTATGGTCCTTCCCATACCCTTCCCCTGCTCCGGCGCTACGCTCCTCGGACTCTCGACCCCCTGTAAGCATACACTTCGAAAAAAGATTTGCTACGTCACTGGTCTGAGGTAAAAAAAACCACAACAATCGTAAGACTAATATTATGTGTTTATAGTAATAATTTTATTACTGAAGTGGGGAATAAAGTGAAATGAAAACACACTTTATGCACAAGTACTAGTCCTGTCTGTCAATACACCCATACTATTATGAGTGTATTGATAGACGAGGTTAGTACCTGTGCTTTATGTGTTATTATTTCACTTCATCTCCCGTTTAAGCAATACAAAATTCAAGTAGAATCTTTCATATTCTAGAAGCTAGTGATATGAAATTGAAACTTTAGAAATATAGATCAACTCAAAAACCATGCTTTGCCTTGTGTACTGCCAAACTAGCATGCAATGCAGTGATATCGCTTGACTTTATAAGAGTTCCAAGCAGGAAATTGGATTGGTTAATATAAGTTTATATGTAAAGATTTATGCTTGAATTCAAATGCTCAAACCACTGACTCTAAATTTACTGTTCATGAATCAAAATTAAGTGGGTTTTTGTTGTTGTTTTTTTTACAAAATTTCACTTTAAAAAAAATCAGCTATTATTAATATGGATTCAAATTCTGAAAAATATTCACCCTAGCCAGTCAAAGGTAAATCGTAACTTGATTTGTTGTTTTTTCATTTCTTTTACAGACCCAAATTTCCTATAAAAGTCGAGTGTTGGTTTTGTGAAAAGGTGACTGTGGTTCCATACGGAAACAAGAATTGTTGGGATTGTCCTGGCTGTGACCAGTACAATGGATTTAAAGAGGTTTGATTTCTCATGCACTGATATCACAATATTGAATAATATTACATTATTTTTTTAAAGTCAGTGTTAAACAGTCCAGCTATAAAAACTGTGTTTTTAATTTGATCGAAATATATAAGTTTTCCTGTGTCAGGGCTAGACAATAAGGGTACCGTAGCCCCCTTGTCTGAGACTAGTGAAATCTCCAGCTTGACTAGTGGTTTTAAAAACTGCTAACCATTTTGACTTAACATGTTGAATAATTATTGGATTAGTACAATTTGCAAATGAAAAAAATAAAATTGAAAAATATAAGCCCAACTGACTAGTAGAGCTCTTAAAATTAATTTCTAGCCCTGTGTGTTCCTAAACTCTCATGCAATCTCATAGTAGAATGCTGAAATTGATGGAAAATGTCATTCCATGATCATTCCATAATGAACGTCAATTAGAGACCTAAAACCATGGGTTACCCAGTAACTGTTGTACCTTAGCTGCTCATGTGTTACAATATTAATTTAATATTTTTAACTTGACCTATTGATACATTTCAGGATGGCCACTACAATAAACCCATCCCGGCTCAGTACAGTGAGAGTATGAATCATCCTGTCAGCTGTAAGACTGATGAATTTATCAGTAAGGACACAGTCCTTTGTGATGAGTGTAGTCAAAACCAGCTCCTCAAGGTTCGACAACTGGCTGCTTTTGTCCCCTTCAATGAGGTAGGTTACAGACCATTTTTACCCTACAATAAACCCATAGAGCCAACATGTACACATAACCCATAGAGCCAACCTGTACGCATAATTTGGGATCACAGGGGCGAGACACAGTCTAACCCACACCCCCTATATGCTTATATAGTGTACATGTCAAGGACACTATATAAGCATATAGGGGGTGGGGTTTAGTCTGTGTCTTGCCCCAGTGTTGGATGGGCTTATTACAGGATAATGAAATGGCCGGTATTTCCAACATATGCATCTAAGAGGCAGAAATGCTTCACAAAGGAATGGACCAGAAAAACCGACTCGGCTTGTGAGTGAAACAGGTGAAAATAGGCAAGTCTAAATCGAATGCAATCAGACACTTGTAAAACTTCTAAATATAGCTGTATTTAATAATGCAGTTTCCAAGATCGAAGCAGCGAGGAGAGTCTCATAAGAACATTGAATGGTATCTTTAATGGTACAGGACCAAAATAGGCAAGACAAGAATAATCACTGCACAAAATGTTTTGGATTCCACAGAACAAATTTGACGCAGAGGTGGAAGCGTTTGAGCAGCACCTTGAGCGTGTGTACCGTCTGTGTGATGTATGTCAGGGAACAATCAACATGGAACTTGGCAAACAGGACCATGTTTTGGGAATGAAACTGGACCAAGTCGCTGCGGATGTATCAAAGTCATCGGAGACGTCGTTTGAAGAGAAGGTATGCATAAGATTCTTTTGTCAGAATAACGTGTCTCAAGGAAACGAGATTTTGTTTGTATTGTCCCACAGTCAGTCATTGTTCTTCACTTATACTTCATTTTCCATTGTGAAAAGCTAAGGTAACTCTAGTATTTACTTGGTACGTAGCACACGCATGGTCTCTTTATATACCGGGTAGGTATGGAAAGTCTGAGATTGCAGTGATATCCGTTTGACAATTATAATATATTTACATGATATAAAGAGTATAGTTCTGGGGAACTTCCATCATGTGTGGTTCCTGTTCCCTTAGGCTTACTTTGTTGGAAATCCTTTCTACCTGAAATAATTTTATATCTAAAATGAAGAAATTGGATTGAAATACATCAATTTTAAAAGTAGAATACACTTGTTCAGAATCATTGAGTTGCATTTAAAGAAAATAAGATTGTATACTTTAAAATGTTTAAAATTGAATTTTCTTACAAAAAACATGCATTTTTTCAATACATTTTTCATATTGTTCATGATAATGACTTAAATTATTTGGGGAAAAAAAACACTTTTGACTTAAGTACCTACAGTACCTGCACTTAAAGTCTAATGGAATGGGAAACACAAATATAATCTTTTTTTTTGGCCATACAAGTACACTTTACTACTTTGCATATACTGTAAAATGAAAAAAAAATCATAAGAAAGGGCCATTGGTGGCTGTATTTCATGGCACAAAACAAAACATTGTTACCCGGTTTTTTGTTCAGATAAATACACAGTTATCTGACTGGCATTATTTCTAACCGTTGCAGCCCTAGTTTAAATAGACATGCATGCAACCAAGGAGTTCACTTCTAAAAACGAGTTTTACAGTATTAGAGTGATATTTGGCAAATGTCTCTATGATATCTGACAGCTGACTTTACTGATTCAGCGGCTTAGTGAGTTGTTTTCGGTGTTACTGAGTCGAGACACCAGCCATTTACACTCTTTAATTGACGAAGAAAACAGACATTTCGAAAGCTCGCAAAATAAGTTTTCAATTCCTGTTAGTGTTGTTAAAAACAAACTTAGCATTTAGTTTAGACATTTTTTTTTTTACCAGGTTTCCTCAGGGACCAAAGTAAAGACATTTCTCTACAAAACCCCTGGTGTGCCCCTTTCTGTCGTCATGGCGACAGTGTCAAGCATGTGTGCCTCAACACTTTGTATGACACATTGTCATACTGCGCAGCAGCAGTTACAGACAACATGGCTGCCCACATCATATTTCATCCCCATCATCCACTTGGCTCTGACAAAACTTGATGTCCTTGGAGGAATTGGAATTTTGACCTGCTTCTTGGCCAAATATTTTGTTGGTAAAAACAGGTAAGATATTTTAAGTGTGACTGAATGAAATGAAAATTCTTTCAACCAAACATTTTCTTTTTAATTCACTGATTCAATACATCACTTGTAATGTGATATTTTAGTTAAAATGAATGAACAGTTTTGTATAAAATTGAACATTCAGATAAATTGACATTCTTTTGACAATTTGTTTTTTTTATTATTTGCATCCCCACCCCTAACCCCTGAATAATAGTGGCCGTCCTGTCCAATTCTTTTATATAATTTTCATGATCCTAATTATTAACAGGTTTTTCGTCAAAGTTTATTCAAAGTCAAGTATGAGAATTTATTTCAATCAGTCATAATAATACCATACTTTAGGCCAGTGTTAGCCAAACAGTTTGTCAGGTTAATAATTTCCCCTGTTTATTTCCAGACTACACATGCTGGATGCTGTGAACATCCCTCTGTGGATATTATCCCTCCTTTTGGACAGTCAGTTTGGCCAGATCGTGTTTGGTCAGGGCTGGACACCAGTTGTGAGCTGTATCCACCATGGTGTGAATGCAGTAACAGGAATATTGTGTCTGTTGGTGTCTAGGAGGAGTAGATCGCAGCCGAACATCAACATTAAAAGGTACTGGGTTACATACGCGTATCCCGGTTGAAACGGCATGTGTGGTGCAGAAACATTCCACGATTAACGAACGCACCTAGACTGTCTATAAGCAGAGCTAAAAATGCACTGTTTCGGAGAATTTAAAAAACAATGTTTCAAGAATAGTATGCCCTTCTTTCATGCATCCACTGAATTACATAATGTATCTTAAAAACTACATGTGGCTTGACATTGTTTTAGGAAGAAATAACGAAAACTAGCAATAGTCAGCGTTTTAGTTTCGGTCAGGTACGTCTGGACCCCTCAATCTACACCAGCCAAATTTTCCTGAGGTCAGCCTCAGTTCAGATCTGTGCCTGTCGTTTTCTTTACAGGTTCAACCGTTTCAACTGGATACGCGAATGTACCCCAACTTGTCTTTACCTCCCTTTGGTGGAGATCTACTAGAATACTTTGGTATCCACCTCAGATTCCTCAACTGTATATATATTATGACATGACAAAATTTAATGCTTACAAAAAGCTGTGTAATTGAATTCAAGTATAAAATCCAGACCAATCGTGAAAGGCTGATACCTGTTCTTTGAAGATTACGGAGGAGCTTCATCAAATACAGAGTCTGTCGATTTTACCGTTACGATGCGAAGCGAATCCTTTGATCTTCATCAATGACATCAGACTGGTCTGCTTGTATTATTCCATCCCAATTTCATTATCTAAAAATCTAATATACAATGTAATTGTTTCAAGCTTTGAACCCAACATCAAAATGAGAATGTTTGGGTGTACCTATATATTTGGTATTTAATGAAAATACATATTTAGATCATTGAGTATTTACACTTTTAGATTTATTTTGTAAACAATTTTCCTATTTTGTCATTTCTATTTATCTTCTCATGCATACCATCACATTTTCTGCAGACTTTCCTTGGACAATAGCCGTTCCTCTCAGGGGTCAGATAGTACCTTGACCGATAGTAGCCCCCTAAAGTCGGTGAGTGAGGCAGCATATAGCCAGGTGTATGACCCTCGTCACATGTCCAGCCAGCTGGCTCCTCATAAGAGTGACCGACTGGACGATGCACTGTCAGACCTAGGATCATTCTCCATTGGGTCAGCCAGCTTGAAAAGATCAGCTTCAGGTATATTTCTTACCTGTATAAGAATATATTCAATATTAAAAATTTTAAGAAAAATATTATGCATCCCATGACAAGTTTCATATATGTCATTTATGATAATCTGATGCATAAATTTGTGTTTTCATTCATTTTTAAAACAGATAGTTGGGTTGTTCTTAAAAAGTAGTCAGTTGAATAATAGAGACCTATATTTAGGTAAGCTGAAACGTTCTGCGGCTCAAAATCATTAATTATCAGACTGTTTTTGTTTATCTTTATATGATATTACGACTGGTATGTGACATTTTGGGTACAAAATATTATTATGAAGTTATTAAAGTTACACTAGCCGCAAGTGAAAGCTAAGGCATACTTGCCAAACTTTTGATATTTCCACAAGGGAGATAATGTGTGCTCAAAATTTTTACAAATTGTGTGTTTACTCCTGACAATCATTTTGACCAACACTGATCAAAAGTATTGTATTATTATGACTTTTTCAAGCTGTGAGAAAAAGTACTGTCCAAAGAAAAAATCTATTACATGTATTAAAATGTTTGCTGTTTACCCTCCAATCTTCTGCTGTACAGGTGTATTTGGCTGTTCTTCATTTACTACTGGTCAGCCAGTTTCAAAGACTGGATTCTCGTTTGGTCAAGCCCTGCAGGACAGAAGCAACCGTCCACTCATCAGTCCAGCCAAACTGCGGGTCAGTCACACTGGGGGATGGTCAACCCAGAATAGAGCAGGTGAGAATTACTGTTCATTGTTACCTACAAAAAACAGTTCAGTGCATCTACTCTTTCTCTATCATTTTCTCCCTTAGGTGTTGTAAAACGGTAAAATCCCCAATAAAAATATTTTCCCTTTATGTGCCTACATACTGTTAAATCATTAAAATCTATATAGGTGCAGTGGTGACTTGAGTGGTTAACCCTTTCACCCCTATGTAACTTTAGTAGACTATACTATGCATTCCTATTAGATGAGTCCATTTTGGTCTACAGTGGTGATCGAGTGTAAAGGCATCTGACATTTTGCTACCACTAGCCCTCCACCACTGGGTCGTGTGTTCACAGCCTACATGGGGCAGTCGCCATATACTGGCCACAGGTCGACAGACACTACAGCTTTCCTCCACCACCACCAAAACCTGGCATGTCCTTAATTGACCACATAGCTATTAATAGGAAATAAAACATGAACAAACAAAACCAAAAATCTGGGGCCTGTTCGTTTATGTGGAACAACCTGTTTGTCCGTTTATAAATGTAACAATCTAACAATTTTGGGTATAAATCCTGGCGGACCTGCAAATGAAAGCAGCATTAGATTACTAGGTCAGACCTTATTTCATAAACGAACAACTGTGGTCCGACCGTTTAACCATTTAAACGATATGGCCCAGTTTTCTTTCTGCGTTAATTTTGCCATGTGATTACTATGTGTATATTGTATGCTGTATATTAATATATGCAGTCATGATAAATTTTCCCCCCATTACAGATGGTGGGGAAAGGCCAATGTTAAACTACGACCAAAATTGTTGTTGCTTACCTATCCTATTGTCCTCTTTAATTTAAAATTTGATAGTTACTTAATATTTACTAATGTCCTTGATGGGCGACATGGTTGTTGTTGACAGAACTTTACCTTGGCTTTGTTATGAAATCTGAAATAATTACAGTAGGACACGTCATTGTTCAAATCTGTCCAAAATCATGTTTTTCCATTTGACACCTCAATACATTATTGTATAATATAATACAAACATTGAATTCATGCTTAACATATCTTTTACAGATAATCCTTTCTTACAAGCCAAACGAGAAACTTCCATGTTTAAAGTTGATAGCGGGCCTAGCAACTTTAACCTGGGACACGCCAACCAAACTCCGAACATTTTTGCAGATAAGACATCATTTTTCAATGATACTACTTCATTCAAGGGAGATAACCCTGGTGCATTCAATGAGAAAGGGTCATGCTTTAGTGAAAACTTTTCAACACCTGTACCAAAATCAAATTTTAATGATCATGGATCAACAGTAAGTGGGCGTTTTCCTTCTTGTGATGATTCTGTGAGAAAAAGTTGGAGTGTGCGTAACCATGCCATCAACAAAATGGAGGATTTCCATGACGACAGGGATAGTCGGTCTACAGCATCATCCATGTGTCCCGTGGACAGTACTACAAAGACAGAGATCAAGTCAAAAGGTAAGGTTGAAATTAATGATTAGGTGAAAATGTTGTCAAAGGAACACAGAATATTTATATAATGATATTTCTGGTACAGGATTTCGTATACACTACACCAGACTCAAAATATAATGATTTTTATATAAAAAAATAAAATAACGACACTTCAGTATATTGCAGGGCATGTGCTTTCAATGAAATACAAACAAAGCTTATTAATTTATTTACTACTCAGTCTCTTGATACTGTGTCTTACCTTTGTGTTAATTCAATTTCTCTTCAAATTACTCTTCCTTTTTCCCCAAACAGTTTTCTGGAGGTCCTCAGGATTCATTGGTTTCGTGCTGGGAGCCAGTTTTGTGGTGAACGTTTTTCTAACTTACAACAGCTGGAAAAAGCCTTCATGAGGGCCCATCTGGACTCAAGATTATTCTATGTATGCTCAATTAGTATTAATACAAAAGATGATGGCTTGTTTCTGACATGGACAACTTGTCCCTGTATATAAAAATTCAAGTTAATCTAGAAACAAAACTATTTTTTAGCAAGGACAAAACTAAAACATTGTAAGCATTGTTTGATTTCCATGGAACGTGTGTGTGTGTTGTAAATTTTACAACTTACAATACGAAAACATTCGAGATATTTGTATTCTTTCTGGAGCATCTCCAATGTTTTGGGGACAGTACGTTATACTGACCAAACTATTTGATGTTGTTGAATTTGAGATAAATGGTCATTATTTATCCTCACTGCTGTCTGAACTATATAATGAGGATCGGTGAGTTAATCCCTTTCGGACAGCCTTCTTAGGTGATAACACAATTTTTGTACTCCCATCAACACATTCACCCTTGAAGACACTTTTGAACTCTTCCAGTTCAAAGGTTGGAATAGTTCATTATGAAACTTCAGGGGTGAATGAGTTAATGAAATAGGATATTACAAGAAAAAGCATGTATTGTGTGTGTATTCAATGGGATTCATCAGTAATATATACACAATGTAAGTATAAAAAGTGTCGCAACGTTTCCAAGTCCCTTTGTCAAGCTCTCCATAGGCGAAACGTACCGGGTCGAGTGACATATGAAATAAACAATTTCGTCACACCGTTGTACAAGTTAATAATACAAATCGCTCACTCAGTCATAGCTTGACAAAGGACCAGCCGATCTTGAAACGTTGTGACACGTTTAATACGTACATTGTTTGTGTATAAAGTAAAACTATGATTAACTCCCCTGAAGACACATTTGAACTCTTCCAATTCAAAGGTTGGAATAGCTTATTATGAAATTTCAGGGGTGAATGAGTTTAAAGTATTAAAAGCATGTATTGTGTAATTAAGGAGACAAATATATCCTGTGTTAAAGAGGCAAGATGCATACATTTGTACCAACTGGTAGTAGTTTAGACAAATTTTCGATTTTTTTTGTGACCCGGACAACCCTTGGATCTTCTACAGTTAAGGCAATTACCATTAACCAGTCACATGGATGTCTTGTGCTGTTAAGTAGACGAACTAACTTTCTGTGAGAAGCAACATGTATAGATCTATTACCGGTACATCGTTAAGGCCACAATGTTGTGAGAGAGCAAGCATTCATATCTATTTCTTGTATCATTGTAATTACCAGATGAATAAGTTACGTGAGAAGAAGGAACCTGCATAATTATTACATTGTACTATTGAGGAGATTATTAAGTTAAGGATCACTGTCCCATTGCAGGTAAAACAGAGAGTTTTCATAATTTTCAGCAGTGGTACGGGGATCCTTAAGTGTGAGTCAGGCAGCATGTATATATATACATTCAACCCTTAGAAAATAAGTGATTTGTGAGAGAGACAACATGCTTATTTTGTATAACCGGGTATTTAAGAAATTGATAAAGTGGAGCTGTATGATGGGAGTGAACTGTACAATTCATTTAAATTGTTTAAGGACCGAATCGTTGTAAATATTCATGCAGAAAAATGTGTTGATAACTGCAGATGCTTTTTTAATAATATCACTTAGACTCACTATTTTTGATAAAATCCAACATGTCTTCATTAAATACCATCTTAAGGGAGCAACAACACTTCCTGGGATATTCCACGCATGTATTGACACTTTTTGTTTTACAACTATTGGTGTGACATCTCTAGGGACTACAACTCAGGGAGTGAAACTTTCTGTGTGTTAGTAGTTAGTACATTGTACGTGTAGTATCTTACGTGGAGTGACACTACGGCTGTCACCACTTTTTGGTACGTACACTTCGAAGTGTTAGCACCTTTGATACTAGTGCTATTTTTGTAAAGAATCTTTTGTACTGTATTTTTCATAAAACATGCCTTGTGAAGTATGATACTTTTGTACATATTTGATTTGATAAATAGGGCAGTTTTAGTAAGGACTGTTCCAGATTTGACTGCAGGGGAGAGGTACAATGTAGGAAGCACTTTTTCAGAAACCCTTCTACCCGTTACATTTTATAAGCGATTTGATATGATAAATGGTAGGCAGATCTGGTTTTTACCCCACCACCCATAATATATTAATACAGGTGCCTCCTAACTCCCCCATATGATCAATTAGGGAACAGCCCTAAAAATGTAATGTGTTACATGTATGTATTGTATGTTATTCCGAAGGTCGGTATTACATGAAGTTGTAAGTTGGTTGAATTGATAATGGACTAATTATTAAAACAGGCAACTGACATGAATCATATTAAATGCAGAATATGTACTATATATTCTGTCACTGTTCCATTGGCTGGCTGTATTAAAATGAATGATTTACCTCCTCCTCTTCAGTGTAAAATAAGGTGGACCTTTTTTGTGTATCAGGTTGTTTTTAAATGTAACATGTAAAATGTAAAGGTATATGCAGGCCTTGCAAGGCTTTGTCAAATCTCGCCTGAAAGCAGCATCAGATCCGGCCTTATTTTATAAACAAACAACTCTGGTTCAACCGTTTGGATCACGATAAAAGAATGTGACCTAGATTTTTATCGTCCATTCCCGTAACATGTACCAGTGCACAGAAATTTTCTATTTGAAATGAATCCTGCAATTCAGTGACTGGTGCATTTCCCATAACCAATTGTTGATTGGTTTGAAAACCACAAGTATTATATCATATTGGCTGTTGAACAAATATTGTGCAATATGTTGTATTAAGCAAAACATTGTTTAATTTGTATTATTAAATGTGTAAAATGTAGATATGTTTGGTAATAATACAATTTGTTTTGTCTAGAGACTGTACTGGGACAGACTGTAAAATATGGTTAACATTTTATGATTAATTTGGGGATTAATATCAGATTTGGTGTAATTTTTTTCAATGTTGTGCATAAATATTAAAAAGCATTTATTACATCGAGGCATAAAACTTTCCCACTTTCTGTAATTTTTGTAGGGTTTTTATCAGAATGTTGACTAGTCTTATTACGATGTATTTAAGAAATACGGTTGGTTCAAAAAATGTGAATTAAGAAAGAAGTCCAACAAGAAAATCAAGAGAAAAGTGTTCGAAAAAACCCTGAATTAACAATGTTTCTTTGTGTAATATTTAGGAATTTATGTTTGAGCCTTGTGCATCTAGTTAGCTTTGTTACAGCTGAAGTGGCTTGATAGTGAAACCGAGTCATGGATTATTGATTGATGGTTTGTAATAGAAAGAAAAAATGTTTAAATTTAAATTTGTCATCAAGTAGATATTTGGACAATATGATCTGTGAGCCACCAAAACACATAAGTCTGTGATTTGTGAAAAATTGAGATTGTGTAAATTATAATTGTGGTTTCGTAACGTCATTGATTTACTTCTGCATCAAAATGATTTTATTTCATTTTGTTTGTGTTCCTTTTCATTCATGTTTTTCAAATGAATTGAAATAAATGTTGTTTTTCGTAATTATATGCCTTGGTCACATTCTTTTGTAAATGTATCGGCAGTATAATCTTCCAGCCGTCAGGTGGGGAGGGGTCTTGTGTGTGTCAAAAAAGTCACTTTCTATTTTTCCTTTCTGTGTACATCTTGCCTGGACCAACCCATACTTATGAACATTAGCTATGGTCAACCTTGGTACAACCGTTTGGATCACGATAACTGAAAAGCGGCCCTCGTTCACCAGAATGGCGAATGGGCAATTTAACTATACCACCTCACATATGGATATTAAAAGAAGAAAGACTTGGAATATCAGGACAGCAGTATTAACTCATTCACCCCTAAAGACACATTTAAGCTCTTCCAGTTCAAAGGCTGGAATAGTTCATTATAAAATTTCTGGGGTGAATGAGTTAAATAAGACAAGGGGGCCAGAAGATTCGTACCTGATGTAGGTGCTCCTCTTTTTAGAATTTTGTAACACTCCATCTTGGCAAAAAACTGCCCAAATTTCATTACTCTATACAATGTAGCTTTGACGCCCCCATGTAAGTAGTATAATTTAGCAAAATTTGTAGCCCTCCATTCCAGCAACTCATCCATGTTACATTGGTATTAGCCAACAAATGTCCAAGACAAATTCACACTAGGATTTTGTTTTTGTGAATAAAAACATACGTCTCCCCTTATTAGCCAATAGACAAACTTCGGTATAAAAAATTAACAAAGGACCATATCTCTTTATATAGCGGGGCACAAAACCTGATTTTAGTGCGAGAGATTCCACCTACCCAAGATTCTTAAATATGATAAGCTTGGTCAACATAGGTGAAATAACGTGAAACTTATGCTCCGGACAAACTTCGGTTTTAAAATTAACAAAGGGCCATATCTCTTTATATACTGGGGCACATGGCCCAAATTTAGAATGCTACACTCCTACTTCCCAAGATACATTAACACTATAGCAAGTTTGGTCAATGTAGGTGAAATAACATGGAAGGTATGCCGTGGACAAACTTTGGTATTAAAAATAAACAAAGGGCCATAACTCTGTATAAAGTGGGGGCACAACACCTTCCCAAGATTACATAAATATGGTAAGTTGGTCAACGTAGGTGAGATAACATTGAACTTGTGCTCCGGACAAACTTCGGCATTAAAAATAAACAAAGGGCCATAACTCTGTTTATAGTGAAGCATGAGATCTAATTTCAGTGCACTGCACACCTTCTGTGGGTGATGCAGGTATACTTCAAGGTTGATTAAGATATCTTTAATGGTTTAGAAGTAATGCCATTGACAAACTTCGGTATTAAAAATAAACAAAGGGCCATAACTCTGTATAAAGTGGGCATAAAACCTGATTTTAGTGCGAGAGATTCCACCTTCCCAATTAAGATACATAAATATGATAAGTTTGGTCAACGTAGTTGAAATAACGTGAAACTTATGCTCCGGACAAACTTCGGTATTAACCTTCTGTGGGTGTTACAGGTATACTTTAAGTTTGATCAAGATATCTAAACTCTTGCTAAGCTCTTTGTTTAATTTTAATACCAAAGTTTGTCTTTAACAGGTTAAAATTTACGGGCCCGACAAGAATATACTGAAAATGTTGCACTTATTTGACCTTTGACCTTGAGGTGAAGGTCACAGTGACCTCATTCCAGTGCATTGCACACATTCTGTGGGCGATGCAAGCATACCTGAAGTGTCATCAAGATATCTTTAACGGTTTAAAAGTTATTGCCTGCACAAGTTGGAATGAGAAGAAGAACCATTACTAATACATTGTTTCCCTTCATTCAAAGGGGAGACATAATTACTAAAGATTTGGATTACAGACAAAACTTAACATATCTTTTGTCTACACGTTTTTGCTGTAGATTATAATGCTTACCCTGAGCATCTTATTGGTAACGGCTATTCCAGATTTTCTCACAAGACTAGTAGAGTTGACCAGTACGCGATGTTAACCCATCATGCAGATGTTCAAGAAATATTGTAAATTATTGGTATATGTACCAGCTGATCCAGATTAGGGGGGGCGGAACGATGTACTGCAGTAATCTACATGTAGATAATGTCACGACAGGAAAACTTGACATACGGTAACTGCACCAAGGACAATACTACTGTATACAGTGAAACTCTCGCCCTGTAAAATCTTTGGTGTATGCCAAGAAAATACACATTCACCCAATGTTAATTACACACTTCAAATTTGAAAACTAAGATAAAAATTGTTCTTAATTTATTCAGATGAAATAACAACATGATACTGATTTGAGTCTGACATATTTGGGACATGAAGAATATGAACATGTTTCAGTAGATTCATCAAACTATTTCACTACTCTACTACTTCTATGCTATATACTGGATGGATTAATTTTATTCAAATACCAACGGAACAAATCATGAAAACAAAAGACTATCTGAAACAATAATACTTTTATATAACACAGATCTTATTCCTTAATAAAAGTGTCCATCAATATTGCTATATTTTTTCCTAAGCAATACCGGATTTTCGGATTATCTTGTAAATATTTTTAAAATTTCTATCTAACCTACCATTGATCCTTCAGTTAAGGCTATTTGAAAAATTTCAATTTAAACCCATTTAACTTAGTTCCAGTACTCTTTGAAAATAGAATATAGATGTATATGAGAACTTTACAAAGTCAATTTGAAAAACACAAATTGGAACACATGGTAAATCATAATTTATCTTCCTTGCTTTTCAATTTCAGCTTCGCATTTTTTGTCTCTGTTTTTGATCCTTGTAGCTTTTTCAGTTTTTTCTCATCCGTTTTGTTTCTCGGTTGCCGTGACGAACTGTTCCTGGTGGCACTGGATCTTTGATGACCTAGACCTTTTAGTGACGTCATCAAACCTTCCTGGGCTTTTTCCATTTCCGCCTTCTTCATCCACAGCAAGACATTCACACCTGTCGTTAACAAAGTTCAATACAATGTAGTATTTAATCCACAGCAGAACATGAACACCTGTCGTTAACAAAGGTCAATAGTATTTAATCCACAGCAGAACATGAATACCTGTCGTTAACAAAGTTCAATAGTATTTAATCCACAGCAGAACATGAACACCTGTCGTTAACAAAGGGCAATAGTATTTAATCCACAGCAGAACATGAACACCTGTCGTTAACAAAGGTCAATAGTATTTAATCCACAGCAGAACATGAACACCTGTCGTTAACAAAGGTCAATAGTATTTAATCCACAGCAGAACATGAACACCTGTTGTTAACAAAGGTCAATAGTATTTAATCCACAGCAGAACATGAACACCTGTCGTTAACAAAGGTCAATAGTATTTAATCCACAGCAGAACATGAACACCTGTTGTTAACAAAGGTCAATAGTATTTAATCCACAGCAGAACATGAACACCTGTCGTTAACAAAGGTCAATAGTATTTAATCCACAGCAGAACATGAACACCTGTTGTTAACAAAGGTCAATAGTATTTAATCCACAGCAGAACATGAACACCTGTCGTTAACAAAGGTCAATAGTATTTAATCCACAGCAGAACATGAACACCTGTCGTTAACAAAGGTCAATAGTATTTAATCCACAGCAGAACATGAACACCTGTTGTTAACAAAGGTCAATAGTATTTAATCCACAGCAGAACATGAACACCTGTCGTTAACAAAGGTCAATAGTATTTAATCCACAGCAGAACATGAACACCTGTTGTTAACAAAGGTCAATAGTATTTAATCCACAGCAGAACATGAACACCTGTCGTTAACAAAGGTCAATAGTATTTAATCCACAGCAGAACATGAACACCTGTTGTTAACAAAGGTCAATAGTATTTAATCCACAGCAGAACATGAACACCTGTCGTTAACAAAGGTCAATAGTATTTAATCCACAGCAGAACATGAACACCTGTTGTTAACAAAGGTCAATAGTATTTAATCCACAGCAGAACATGAACACCTGTCGTTAACAAAGGTCAATAGTATTTAATCCACAGCAGAACATGAACACCTGTTGTTAACAAAGGTCAATAGTATTTAATCCACAGCAGAACATGAACACCTGTCGTTAACAAAGGTCAATAGTATTTAATCCACAGCAGAACATGAACACCTGTTGTTAACAAAGGTCAATAGTATTTAATCCACAGCAGAACATGAACACCTGTCGTTAACAAAGGTCAATAGTATTTAATCCACAGCAGAACATGAACACCTGTTGTTAACAAAGGTCAATAGTATTTAATCCACAGCAGAACATGAATACCTGTTGTTAACAAAGTTCAATAGTATTTAATCCACAGCAGAACATGAACACCTGTTGTTAACAAAGGTCAATAGTATTTAATCCACAGCAGAACATGAACACCTGTCGTTAACAAAGGTCAATAGTATTTAATCCACAGCAGAACATGAACACCTGTTGTTAACAAAGGTCAATAGTATTTTATTTACAGCAGAACATGAACACCTGTCGTTAACAAAGTTCAATAGTATTTAATCCACAGCAGAACATGAACACCGGTCGTTAACAAAGGTCAATAGTATTTAATCCACATCAGAACATGAACACCTGTTGTTAACAAAGGTCAATAGTATTTAATCCACAGCAGAACATGAATTCCTGTTGTTAACAAAGGGCAATAGTATTTAATCCACAGCAGAACATGAATCCCTGTTGTTAACAAAGGTCAATAGTATTTAATCCACAGCAGAACATGAATTCCTGTTGTTAACAAAGGGCAATAGTATTTAATCCACAGCAGAACATCAACACCTGTTGTTAACAAAGGTCAATAGTATTTAATCCACAGCAGAACATGAATTCCTGTTGTTAACAAAGGGCAATAGTATTTAATCCACAGCAGAACATGAATCCCTGTTGTTAACAAAGGTCAATAGTATTTAATCCACAGCAGAACATGAATTCCTGTTGTTAACAAAGGGCAATAGTATTTAATCCACAGCAGAACATCAACACCTGTTGTTAACAAAGGTCAATAGTATTTTATTTACAGCAGAACATGAACACCTGTCGTTAGCAAAGTTCAATAGTATTTAATCCACAGCAGAACATGAATTCCTGTTGTTAACAAAGGGCAATAGTATTTAATCCACAGCAGAACATGAATCCCTGTTGTTAACAAAGGTCAATAGTATTTAATCCACAGCAGAACATGAATCCCTGTTGTTAACAAAGGTCAATAGTATTTAATCCACAGCAGAACATGAATACCTGTCATTAACAAAGGGAAATAGTATTTAATCCACAGCAGAACATGAATACCCGTCGTTAACAAAGTTCAATAGTATTTAATCCACAGCAGAACATGAACACCTGTTGTTAACAAAGTTCAATAGTATTTAAAGTCAATACTGTATACTGGGAAACTTTTTTCAGAACAAATATAAATTTTATTTATTTTACAACAATTCTGATTTACCAGGTTTATTAATCACTCTTGTTATATAAATATAAATTTTATTTAACAACAATTATGAAACAAGCTATTTCAACTTATATTAATCACTCTTGTTGGCCTGGATGTTAGCGCGTGGGGGGTCTTTGTGTGGGAGGAACCAGAGTACCCGGAGAAAACCCACGTGGTCGGGCAGGTGACCCCAACCTTTTCACGTCCAATTGGTGAACAGAACCCCAGCCGCCTTGGTGAAAGGCAAGTGCGCTATCAACTGCACCACCCGACCACTCTAAATCACTCTTGTTGGCCCAGATGTAAGCGCGCGAGGGTCTTAATGTGGGAGGAAACAGGAATACCTGGAGAAAACCCACGAGGTCGTGCAGGTGAACCAATACCTTTTCACGTCAAATATTTGCCCTTCACAGGTAAAATTCATTTTTGCCAAGTGTTATTTTTGCTCTGATATTGTTATAACTATATAGGGTATGTTGTTTACCTATATTCCCTGTTATGATCAATTCTCCCTCATTGCGAAGGGCGGAATTTTCCCAGTATAAGGAAGAGTTGTGAAAATAGATAACAATGATATACTCTAAAATGCAGAATGGAAATGTTAACATTGTGACATTTTATACAGATGGCAATGACATGGGGCAAGGAAGTTTGGTTAGGTTTTATTTTGTTTAACGTCTTATCAACAGCTAAGGTCATTTAGGGACGTGCCTCCATGTGTGTTGTGTATGCGGGCTTGTGTGTATGTGTGATGGAGGCAGGGTATTTTGGTGTATGTGCTTCCTTGCGAAAGCGCAGATGCCAACTTTTAGAGTGCAACCTCACTAAAATCCCATGCCGAAGGCATCCAGCATAGTATTCCATAATATCGCATTATACTGACAATGGGTGAACCAGTTGTTACGATAACCCTAAATGCTGAACGATAAGCAGAGAATAACAACTATCCTTTTTAAGGACTTTGGTACGTAACGGCCATACAACAGAACCCATTGCTTGCCCAACTTGGCGAATGCTCAACACTATGGCCATAAGTGAGGTATTGCACCAAGGAAGTAATACAAATAGTGCAGACATGAGGTTGTCAAACTTTCTATAATAGGATATACAAATGTATAACTAATATTTAAAAACAATAAACCCTTCAGCTAGAGAAGCCGAAAGCTGAAACATATGTTAGTAAAGATTCAGTAGAATATGGGATATTACCAATGATAATACTTCTATACTCCATGTGATCTATATATAGGATCTTACATGGGTTTCCATTTCATACGACATTTATGATACGAGTCTAAGAATTTTTCAATTTAGCTAGCCTCTGGCGAGCTAAAATGAAAATTTGTGACGAGTTTCATAAATTTTATATGAAATGAAAACGAGTGTAAGATCCTTTTTATCACATAATCAAGATTTATGGCATTTATTCGTGTAAAACGACAATTTCCCAGCACCCTTGAAATGTAAAAAGCCGGCATTTTGATTCCAGTGTGTAATTAAGTCTGTGACGTCATGTACTTGTCCTAGGCATGACATCACAATTGAAACTTACAACCAATCACAGGGCTGATAGGTCATATTACATGGGTTAATACGCAAACAAATATGACATGGGTATATATTCACTGGATAACAGTACATTATGTCCAGTTATGTCCTCATTGCAATAAGCTGTAAATTTGTAGCAACTTTATAGATTCTATTCCATTTAGAACATTAAAATACATCATATACACCATGACTTGTAAGGTAAGTACCTATATCATATTGTGTCATTAGGAGGTTCTCGAGGTCAGTGTAAACAAATTATTTTATCTAAGTTCTTCGATATAAGTCAATGTAACCTTACCCATCCCAGAGGCCAGCAAGGTCCCATCATTGTTGAATTTATTCACCTAAACAAATAGAAACAAGACATTGTTATAACAAGATGAAACAAATGATAAAGCAAAGCTTGTAACTATTAATTTTAAACTTGATTTAACACTAGAGAAAGCCAACAAAGCTCTCATAATACTGTGTTACAGGAAAAAGAATAGTTTGCTTCCACCGGGGATCAAATTCTCTATCTCCAGGTTCCTAGTCAGACGCACTACCACTGTGCTAAAGGGTAATTCCCTCTAGCCCGAAGCTAGAAGGCGGACGTAATCCTACGTACAATTAAAATCTGCTACACTACTCGGCTCCCTACTTGTTAAATGTTTTCGCAGGGGGAACACTACAATCCATGTTCCAACTCCCTGTCACCACAGGGAGGGCCATTGACACCATTTGTAACAAGAAAGAGAATAGTATGCTTCCACTGGGGATCAAACCCTCAATCTCCAGGTTCCTAGTCGGGACGCTCAGAGCTAAAGGGAAGTTCCCTCTAGACATGGACAATGCCTTGAGGAACTGAATCATGGGGTCCTTGGTGCTTGATTCTCAGACCCACCAAACTTTGGGTATACCCAGAACCAGGCACTTTTCAGAACTGCTTCTCATTTGCCAAGAATACTCTAAAGAAGGCTCTCCTCAAATCAAAAGATAAGCAGAATGTTTTCTGTTAAGTTTCACATGTTTGGATCAATGTGTTATGTATCTTGTTTAACACAGACATGAGGCCTGTTCGTTGATGCAGAAAAAACGGTACGGCCTTTTCTAAATGTAACATTTTCGGGTATAAACCCTGGTGGACCTGCAAAAGTTTATTTATTCAGGCCTTGCAAGGCTCAGTCAGGGCTCGCCTGAAAGCACCATCAGATTACTGGGTCCGACCATATTTCATAAACGAACAACTCTGGTCCAACTTGTTCCACAGTTTGGACAGTGATAAACGAAAACTGCCATTAAGTATTGCTATCTCTGTCCTTGATGCAGCGTACTTACACACACAATGCCCGGAGCACTGGGATCATGTAAACTTGACACTGTGTTCCCGGTGTTGGCATCAACCACGTCAATGGTTCTCAGCTCTCCTGAGTGGTACCCGGGGAAATTTGGATCGGGATACCGCCCTACTACTGCCAAATCCTGAAGTGGATGCCATGTCGCCTGCAGGGAGAATAACACTTCCTTTTCAAATGGACAATCTCAAGTTATTTTTCTGTTAATTTTGTATGCTCATACCATGAAAGTTAAATAACCAATGCCATGTGCACAGATGATAAGCTTCTGTTTTTATACTCAAGGAGACCAGTGTCTGAACCCTTAAAGCATTGTTATGAAAAAGAAAATGGTTATGAATTTCTTTCTTTCCTATAACCCCCTAAACAGTAAAATGGCAAGCAACTCAAACTCTGAAAAATTCAAAACATATTGGAACTCTTTATTCTTTAGAGATAACACAGAGCACTAGGACTCTTTAACTTTTGACATGAAAACCAATCTCTATCAAGCACTTTACTAGGTATTAAACTTAAGGAAGATAAAACCCATGCATTCGTAATGTTGTTTAACTGAAATTAATTTTTAACTTGCAGTAAAGGTGGCCACGAGGACTGTATCATTAATCTCAAGCCAACAAGCAACATCTGTTCATGCCTGGCATGAAAACCTTACATGAAGTGTGAATTTGATGGACCAAAGAGAAAATTATTCTGCATTACAACAACACCCATCTGGTCACTAACACCCCAAATCTCAATAGTATACACGATCATGATCTCCTGACTAATCTGCTACACAGCTTAAACACTGCACCTTTATTGGGGTTATGTGCTGGAAGAAGCGGTGAGGGTGAAGGATGGTTCTCTCAAGAGTCCAGGCTGGGGCTCGGTACACTCGTACTTGGTTTTGTTGGTCAGTGGTCAGCAATCGACAGCCATCGGTCTTACTGAAGTGAGCTGAAACAGTTTTATGATAAGTAGAGTAATTAACATGATGAATACCAAACATTTTTTGCTGCAGTTTTATTTTTTGCCTGTTTTTTCGGGCGAATTTATCATTTCGACGAACATTAGTCAGCAATTAAATTTGACTCGGCAAAATAAAAACTGAGCGAATGAGTGTTTTACAGGCGAAGGGCGAAAATTTGACTCGGCAAAAATTCCCAGTAAACAGTAGTACATTTTAACATGTACATTTGAAATGCCAAATTTTAAAATACTACAGTTTGACATGTACAGGGTCAGGACGAAATAACTGAAATACTTTTTAACATGTACAGAACAAGGGCCAAAGAACTGATATACTGCAGATTGACATTTACACTGTAAGGCCCAAATAATAAACACACATCAGTCTAACATGTACAGTGTATACTGTATACATGTACTGTGAAATTTTTGCTTTGCTAAGTCAATTTTTCGCCCTATGTCTATGATGGTAAAAATCCATTTTTGCCAAATGTTAAATTCACCCTTCAGGGTATCACATGATGTTTACAAATGTTCGCCATAATGATAACTTTGTCTTCGTTATGGAGGGAAAAAGAAAAAAATTTCACTGCAGAGAAAATATCCCACTAAAAATATCATATAATTACACTGTACCATCAATCAAAACACTGCTGTTTTGACATGTACATGGCAAGGGCAAAGTAATAAGCCTATTGCAATTTAACATATACAGATTGCGGGCCAAAAAGTTAACAAAATCTTGATCATCTGATTGATATGTTACCAACACTAAAATTGTGTTTGAACAGATTGAGCCTGTTACGATGGTGTGAAGTGTCATAATTACCAGAGTTCACAGGTCGTTCATGTTTGAGCATGTGCAGTACACTTTTCCTGTCGGCCATCATACGAATATCCCAGAACATGACGGTTTGGTCGGTGGAGGAAGTACACAGAAGCCACTCCTCCCGTGGTGAAAACTCTATGTGGGTCACTTTGCTTTTGTGTAGGCGGAAATCAAACACCTGTCAAAAAGATACACATGTACTAGGGTTACAACGATACGCAAACCTCACCATACGATACGTATTGCAGTACAATGCTTACGATACAATTATCTGCTTACTAGGGTTACAACGATACGCAAACCTCACCATACGATATGTATCGCAGTACAATGCTTACCATACAATTATCTGCTTAAAAGGTTAACTTCATTGGAATTGAGTGCAGGATTGTTTTGAGTTTCGTCACAGACTTCAATAGTAAATACTATGGAAATATATTTTTGTTTAATTTCTAGTACTTTTGAGTATGACTGCACAGTGGACCACATCTTTACTGAAGGATTCAAAAGATATAAGTACACTTTTTAGAGTCTGTTAAATATTGATTGATTATTTAAGTACTGTTAGTGTATTGCGAACTGACTAATTTTCCAAATGCATGTACTTATGAATAAATTATTTTTGAAAGTGTTAGCGATTGTCATCACAGAAGAAATATAGTTACTGTCAATGTTTTACACAGACACAGCATTCATCACTTGATTTAACTAGAATGTTTATCCGTGGCCAGAGGCCTATAACCCAGCCTGACCCCCATAATATAATACTTACCAATTATAATGTCTCCGTCTCACTATACTTATCCTTACAAATAGTGTTTGAAGAAAATATTTAAGCATATTAACAGTCATCATTTGATAGCAATATAAGGTAAGATATCAATACTGCATTTCTCATAATGACCGTAAACACGAAGTATCAATAGCCGATGTTTTATGAAAATAAAGAATTTTCAACCCTCAGAAGAAGATTTTGAGAACTCTACAAATACATTTGATTTGGTTTGGTTTGTGTTTTACGTCATACCAACAGCTATGGTCATATAAATATAAGGATGTGCCAGGTTTTGTTTTTTGAGGAAAGCCGGAGTTTCTGGAGAAAAACCACCGAACAACGGCCAGTATCTGGCGACTATCCCACGTAGGTCTCGAACTCGTGAACCAGCAGTGGAGGGCTAGTGGTAGCAGAATGACAGACGCCTTAACCACTTCATTTTGTCTTCTACCTTTTGATAGTGAGTTCCCTTTTTTTTCAACCCTCAGAATAAGATTTTTGAGTGTCGTGAACTCAACAAAGCCTCATTTTGACTACCGTACTACCTTTTGATAATAAGTTATATTACCTTTTGTCCCTCGCTTGACAACATTTGAACATTGCCTGTGTTGTCGCCCGCCACTACCAGCTTCCTTTCTGCGTGGACATCCAGACTGCAGTACCAGTAACTGTAACACACACGGACATGGGATCATCATCCACTGATTAGCTGGATCATCACATTTACATCACAATACAGTGGGGGTTTTTTTGGTGTGTTTTTTTGGAGGAAGGGGGCTTTTTTTGGGCCAACAATGGGCCCCATTCCGAACTGAAACTATTTCTTTATGCCTTATTTCCAAAATTTCAAGTTTACTCCTGAAAATATCCTTCCCAATTGGTATATTTTCTTCCCAAATGAAACAAAAGGGCTCCATCCCAAATTAACGGGAAAATACCCCACTGCAATATTTACTGTAAGGCAGGTTATTTCACAGGGATAATGCTATCTCAATATGGTAATGGCCGCAATTGTGATTATTTGAAATATATTGTATATTTTACGACAGGTCTAAAACACAGAGACCAGTTAACAGGTGATACTTGGATTATATCAACTCCTTCAACCCTAACAGTTTAAACTGGACTTGCCCAGTCTTTGATATGGCAAGGTTCAAATATGACTTAAGGAGTGAATGGGTTAATAAACTGAGAAACAGTTCAATAACTTATACAAATACTGTTTTCCTTTTTTGTTTAACTAAATATCATGATATTATATATAAAAGACAACAAGGGGGTGGTGGCGATGGGGGCAATATTCATTATCTGTATAAAAACAAGGATACTCTCATACATTGTATTAACATGTACAGAATCTGAAGTTTTAATCTGTGTCAAATTAATGTCCTCAATTCAAGTAAAAATTGTCAAAATCTTGGCTGGCTATAATGTTCCCTGAAATAAGAGTAATACACCTCAGCATCACAGTGTTTAGAATCACTAATGAATGATATGTATACGTATTAATTTTTAAGTTATTGATGGAAATACAAATCAAAATAATTTTTCCTTATGTTTCGGTTCAATTCATCACCATTTCAAGCCATGAAAATTAAAACAGTCAAAAGGAAAAACAAAATCCCTGCTCATTCATGATCATTAGTACACACATATTATATCATTTCAGTATACGTACCATGTATGTTACACAGTACACATAAAGCATCTAAAAAGACTTATGCTACTTTGAAGGTACCTGCAGACAAGTATATGGTTAAGTGTATACTCTCAAATAATGATGATGACTAGAAAACATTTAAAAATCATACACATCGGACCCTAGCTAGCTTGGCTGAGCTAAACGAAATTCCTATCAAAGATATATGGATCTAAAGGCCAAGTTTAACCATACTCAGCAAAACAGAAAATGCAGATCACAGTGCCATAAAACTTGTTATACTGCCACCATTTGTCAATAGATATTTCAGCATTATAAAGGGGTGTGACGATAAATTGAGGGAAATGCATAAAAGTTTTCTTAAGAAAATAACAAAAAGGGAAATTAAAATAGGTTGGTGGTAAATTAAATGAGGTGGTGCATGTAACGAGGGACATTTTATCAAGATTATTGTGTATTGATACATGTATGTCGGTATATTACCCTTGAAGCCATATTCATGTAATGTAATAAGCTTGATGACTATTGGATTTCTAGTTGTAGAGAAATATATAATATAAACTTTATTTATTTTACAACAATTATGAAACAAATTATTTCCACTTATATACTACTATTTTGCTAAGGATCACCTATATTTTGCAAAAAAAATCAAAATGTTAGAAAGGATATTATATTTTCCTTCCGTACTGTTTTGGGCGAATATGTAAGCCTTCCAAATCGTCCTGTGTGGGTGTGTTCAGTCAACCATAAAAGCGCATGCATGCTTTTCCACGTGTACACCCCTTTCAAAAGCTAAGCTAGGCTAAGTAAGGCGTTGTTCAAATTGTTAAAGAAATCAATTGGATGAATATTCTTTGCATGTTTTTGTTTTAATATGGCACAAAGAAGAACCAGAAAATGATTAAATGACGGTGAAATGAATAGGGGCATCGGAATGCTGCAAGCTAGCATGTCTCAACTTCAGGATGCAGCAGACCTTGGGGTGTCTCAAATGGCAGTGGCAAGAATGTGGATTTGCTCATACAGGCACGGCGTCACAGGTTCCCGACTGCCACAGCTTTACGAAATGACCTCCCAAATGCTTCTGGTACCCTGGTAGCCACTCAGACAGTTAGGAACCGTCTTCATGATGCTGGTTTAAGGTCACGTAGATCAACAATATGAGTTTCCTTAACTGCCCGCCATGTTGGGAACCAATTATATTGGGCCCAAGCTCACAGCACTTGGACTCTTCAGGAATGGGAACTGGTTCTTATAACTGACGAGTCCAGATTCTGTCTCGACTTCACCAACAGGCGCGTTAAGAGTATAGAGACAACCTGGGGAGAGGTTCCAGGCAGGAAATGTTGTGGAACATGACCGATATGGCGAAGGTTCAGTGATGGTGCCGCGAGGCATAAGCCTTCGTGGGAAAACTGACCTCCATGTCTTCCATAATGGTACTGTTACGGCACAGATTTACTGCGATGAAATCCTTGATGCCTATGTCAAACCCTACGCTGGCGCTATCGGCCCTAACTTCATCCTTATGGACGATAATGCTAGGCCACATAGAGCAAGGGTGACTGAGCAGTAGCTACAGCAACAGACTATTCAACGAATGGATTGGCCAGCCCGCTCGCCGGATCTAAATCCCATCCAGCATGTGTGGGCCATGCTGCAGACAGCTCTCTCTGCCAGATATGTTCAGCCAAGAACGCTCCAGGAGCTGGAAACAGCTTTGGTAGCTGAGTGGAACGCTATCCCACAAAACAGGATATGCGATCTCATACGGGGCATTCACAGACGTTGTGAAGCTGTAATTGATGCTCATGGGCGTCACATTCGATACTTAAGCAGTTTCTGTTTACTTAGGATGAGGTTTGGTCATTTTTTTTTGTTTAGTGAATACATTGTTGTTACCAATTTTAAGGGTAACCCTTTTCCTGTGGCTCAGTTCCAGACTGTAACTACGATTTTTGGAATTTTTGCATAATGATGAATTAAAAGAACTATCAATTTTTCAAAAGTAATCTCAGTATAAATCGAATAAAATATTTATTTTCACATATGCCCAAAAATGAAAGTTATCATTAGCAAAATGTGAGTATCATATACTTATCACTCTTGTTGGTCGGTATTAGCGTGAATGGTCTTATTGTGTCAGGAAACTACAGTGCCCAGAGGAAACTCAAATGGTTGGGCAGGTTGCCCCATACCTTTTCAAGCCCGATCCGGGAATTGAACTCTGGTCGCATTGGTGAAAGGTGAGTGTGTTATCCACAATACCACCGAACCACCCTTTAGAGTAATGGAGCTGAACACAAGTCAAACCAACATGCCACACAGATAGGGGCATACAACTCCCCTGTGTGCAAGATGCATGCATGTGTGTTTTGGGAGGCTGCAGTATGTTCATGTTTGTCTCCTTGTGATAGCGCGGAATTGATGCCGACTTTATAGTGCTACCTCACTGAAACAAACTGCCGAAGACACCAGCAGGACACCCCATCCGGTCACATTATACTGACAATGGGCGAACAAGTCGTCCCCGTCCTAAAATGCTGAGCGTTAAGCAGTAGTAGAAACTACCATTTTTACAGACTCTGGTATGTCTCGGCCAGGGGACAGAACCCAAAGCCTTCCTCACAGGGCGAATGCTCAACCAAAGGCCAAAAGGGAGGCATTGTAAACGACATTAGAAAGAAGAAAGTTGTTTAGAAAGATAAGATCCCAAATTTAGTCGCCTCTTAAGATAAAGCAATGGGGGCAGCAGGTACAATTTTTTATGTCCTACCTGCAGGGACCAGAGAGTGAATGCAACTTTTATATATTTTAGAAGAAATAGAAATGTTATGACAGTTTAATTTAGACAATGACTGATAATTCACAGTGAGTTTCTATTAATCATGGATCAGCTTAACATCAATACAACACAGATAATTGAACTCACTCATAAAAATTGTGAGTGTCTGCCAAGATATTGGGTTGTCTGCCCTTGAAATCATGCACGGTCACCCTTCCGTCCAGAGCCGCAAATACCACCTTGTTGCTGTCCCAGGGCCAGAACTTAATTGCCTGAATGTTACCGCCAGGACCAACCTTAAAATTAAGCAGACACTGGTGAAAATTTTAACTTACTGATAGGCATCCATTGTGTCCGACAGCACCTTCGACTGGTGACCTTCAAGGTCATGTAATGTGACCCGAGCATCTACTGCAGCAGACAACACCTTATTATTGTCGTACGGCCAGAACTTCAGCGTGTTGATAATTCCTCCTGCTCCAATCTTTCAGAAATTATAAATTATAACAACACACAGGATGAAAAAAAATGGTTGTTACTCCATTTGATCACATATGGTTTAACTTGCTGTCTTTTTAACTAAAAGTTTTATCAAAGGCATATTTTATGAAAGTAACCTTGCAAGTAGCAACCCTTACTTCTTCTACCAGAGTTTTGAAACAAAATTCATTTATTTTTCTCATTATCAACATCTATTATGAGTTTGATGATCTTTTTACTGTTAAATTAGAAATGAACATTAGTTTTTATTTTTCCTTATCAAAACCAAGGCAATTAACCTTTACGGTCGGAATCAGGATGGGACTGAAATGGGTACAATATATGCCCCCTCTAATAAAAAGATTGGGGATAAAAATACATACTCTGAGGGTTAATGCACAACCTTTCCCCACTGTAGACCATAATAGACTCATCCAGATGAATGTATGGTAGTCTACTCAAGTTATCTAGGGTTGAAAGGGTTAATCCCTTGGCCTGTAAATACAGAGAGTATGCATGCTTACCCCTTGGACAAATTTCTCATTGTTTAGTTTTTTAGTGTCCCACAACATGATGTCTCCCCCCTTTGATCCCACAGCTACCACATGTGGTTTGGTGGGGTGCCACTCCATGGCGGTCACACGCCGGTCAAAGGGGCTGGCTGTCCGACAGAGCTGCATGTCAGAAATCTGACTGACCACGGGCTGTGACAAACTCTGGATGAAGAAAATGAAATGAAGAAAAAGTGTTTATCAACAAATCAATGTTCATATCAAAATCAAGGCTTAATTATAACGCACAGTACAGTAAAACCTTGTTATACTGCCACCATTTGTCCAGATAATTGATTTAGATGTGTTTGGCGATGGTTTGAGGGAACTATATGAAGGCATTCCTAAGAAAACAAGGGACATTGAGATACAGTAATGTTGGCAAATGAAATGACAGTTATGATAGATAGAGGTTTCACTGCATATATGAGAATATATTTGGAATATAGTATATACATGTACATGTATATATATTTTTATAAATAAGCAGATATTGTTAGTATATAAATATCAGGGGTGTTTCAAGAACATCTGGGTTAAAAAGAGATAATACATCTACAGGACAGAATGGGGGAACTAAAACGAGTGGAGATCTAGACTGAGTGGGTTTTGAACGACTGGGTCTGAGGGATTGAACTTCAAATAAAGTAGCAAAAAATTAAAAACAAGTAGGAATTATCTTACAACATTACGCCGCATGAATATCAGAAAGTTCAACAGTTATAAATTATGTGGAAATCTACTTGAGAAAGTTTTACACAGAAAATCCACTCCAGCAATAAGCTCAGGGGGGCATCACATCATCTCCCACTCAACGTAAGGGGTGGGCTTATAACAGCACAATGGGATAGCATTTGTTTGAATTTGACTGATCATCATGAACTGCAACATTTTGGATGGGCTTTGGGCTTATTGTTGGGTATGGGCTCATTGTTGGGTGTGGGCTCATTGTTGGGTGTGGACTTATTGTTGGGTATGGGCTCATTGTTGGGTATGGGCTCATTGTTGGGTGTGGACTTATTGTTGGGTGTGGGTTCATTGTTGGGTATGGGCTCATTGTTGGATGTGGGCTCATTGTTGGGTATGGGGTCATTGTTGGGTGTGGACTTATTGTTGGGTGTGGGCTCATGGTTGGGTGTGGACTTATTGTTGGGTATGGGCTCATTGTTGGGTGTGGGCTTATTGTTGGGTGTGGACTTATTGTTGGGTGTGGACTTATTGTTGGGCATGGGCTTATTGATAGATAAATATAATAATACTGCACCTGTTAGGAACCGAACTTACCTGTGCCAATGTTGGGTTGCACTTATTTCCCCAGGTGTATTGTTGGAGGCAATGGACAATGTTCTGGCTCCTACTTGCCATTGGTGTAAACGTCCGGATCTGTGGGGCATGTTGTCTTGGCTTGAAATCAAACAGTGCATCTCTCCCTTCTTCACACAGACGACTCTTTAATGTCACCACGTTGCTTTCACAATCCACAGTCTTATTATTTGAACTGGAAGGTACATTTTCCTTTTGATCAGTTTCTATTAGGAGATTCTTTTGTTGCTTGAGATCATCGTCAATCTTTGATTTCTTCAAACGCTTGGAAAGACGTTTAGCATATGTTTCTGGCTCACAAACAATATTTTTGTTTCCATCAACAGACTTTTCTTTCTGAGATCTGAGTCTCCTTTTGGGAGCCATTTTTTCCTTGTGCTGATGAGAGAAAGACAATGCAGTCATGTACAAACAACAATTAACTCAAGCTCTGAATTAATATCGCTAAATGGGGGAAAATGAAAAGGAGATTGAAGCAAGAATTCTATCAATATACAGGATATTCCTGGTAGCTTATTATACTTATAATAATTTGAGGTTCTTATATAACGCTTTATCACAACTTATGTCGTAGGACATCTCAAAGAGGTTCACAAATTATTATCTGTGGTTAATGAGCCTTTGCAACCAGTCAATATCTTTCTCAACTCCCTGGGGAGTATACAGCCGGTGCTGTCATTTCGGCACTCAAAGCTTACATTCAACCAGTCTAGCACTGCCCAAACACATGCACGAACTCATTTAATTTACAGCTGAGTAGATTGGAACAAGCAGAGTAAAGTATCTTCAAAGATACCCAGTGCCATGACGTGACTCAAACCTGGCCCGCAACCCTTCGGTCACGAGCCCTGCGTCCTACAACTAGACTACTGTGCCTCCTTATACCAATCTGCTCCTCATTATACTACCGTTGTACTATCGTATGATAGTAGAACGGTAGTATATTCTCTGGCCCTGATATGTATACGTATGGACCATGCACATGTACACTAGACATAGATCTGTCAAAAAGTCTTCTGTAAGTCTAATGTCAGGGCCAAAGGAAACTCCGGCTAGTATGTACATGTATAATACAGGCCTAATGCACATAATAATGTTTTCACCCAAAATTTCTAGCTGTTTTATTCCATTCTTTTTTGTATCATTACTTACACTTTCCACAGAATAAGATTAGATCTAAGTTCATGCAATTTGAAATAAAACTAAAATGAAAAAACGAATCTGTTCCCATTATTGACTTATCAATAAGTCATGAAATATAACCTGATACAATGGCGGCGCGGAAATGTATAACGCACTGAAACCTATGACGAGACGTTACAATTGTTTAAATTAATTCTGCCCGATATCTCTGCACAATATTTAAGAAACGCCATCCTGTCTCCGGAGATTTAAATCTGATCTAATTAAGGCGAACTGGTTTAACAAATTGTGTGCGGAAGGTCTGTAGATCTATATGCGATTTGAAACCGGAGCGAGTAAACCAACACTGGCATCATTCTGAGTACATTTGTTGAAAAAACACAGCCATCTTTAAATCTATGATGACATCCAACAGAATTTGTTAAATTATCTTTACACTTATGTACGAAACACCAAAACTTACCAGAACTGGCAAATGTAGAATGTCGGGTTTATTTTGTAGCGATTTCAATGTTTACCTCTCGGCCCACATGTCAGTGTTATGAAACTTTCGCGGGATATGCGTGGAATCATGGGTAATATGCTATTCGTGACGCCTCGTCTTTTTTCCCTTCGGTTTTGGTATGCACAAGGTTATAACTATTGCCAGTGTAATCCCTCCCTATGTGTCATTCCTCCCTCTGTATGTAATCCCTCCTGTGTAAGCCCTCCCCTTCACTTGTTATAACTATTGCCAGTATAAAGTTGTAAAGCATGGTTAGTTTTTGATATGATTTTAAAATGTGTTTCTTATAAATGTATAATTTGCAAACAAAATATTATTGAAATCGTCGTGCATATTGATTATTCACTAGTGATGTGATAATGTTCAAATCCAATTATATGCATATATAACAATTGCGAAAATAATATCTTAAATTTAATCAGGGACAGTATATACGTCCCTGATTTAATCGTATATATATACGATAGACGTATATATATATATAGACGTATATATATGGGGCAAAGAAGTAATTCCAACAGTGTGGACAAGTTTAGGTTGTCAAATTTACATATACATCATATGCTATTATATAAAAACCGATAGTCTCCTCGGCTAAAGACAGCTGAATGCAGCAATTGAGAGCATCGCGGACAAGGAACGCTTCTTTGCCCCACATCTTATATATATAATATATAGACGTATATATATGGGGCAAAGAAGTAATTCCAACAGTGTGGACAAGTTTAGGTTGTCAAATTTTCGGAGCGATCCGCTCCTTTATCAAGGCACAGTGAAACAGAACAGTTACATGTACATATACATCATATTACAAGAAGATAGAACTGCTATACTATAATTGAAAATATAGCAATTATATATACGTCTCTGATGACTAAGTTTTAAAAATTTACAAATCTTGAAAATTGTATTCAAAATCACAATTTTAACTATAGGTTGTTTCAGAGACGTATATACGACTGGCTTTACACGTCTCTGGTTGTTTACAGTTCAAAAAAGCACAACCACTGGAATGCTTTTTAACTGTCTTTATAAATAAAATAATTTATTTCTAAAATGTACAAATATTGAACCAGATTTCATACGGCATTCATCTTTTACTGATTTCATTTGTTCTTTCGTAATGGATACTACGGTGGCTGATTGAGGACATCTAAATAATATTTCATCAAGTAATTACTACCTCGTTATATAACGAGATACTGAGAGATGCCATCTCGTTACAAGGAGATAATTTTTTGGTCCTCAATCAGAAATGGTATACGAAAATAGTGGAATACTAAGTTACACTAGAAACAATTCATATTTTTTTTTCAACCGAAGCATAAGATTTACGAACTTTACCTTGAACAGATATCGAGTTACTACTGTCTTTACCGTTTCTTCACCCGGACCCGTGGCGGATCCAGAGAGTTTTTGGGGGCTTCATGACCCCCTCCCCCCACTGAGTCAAATTAGTACTAGACGTGTGTGTATAGCATACATTAAAAGAAAAGAACATTATACATCACCACAAGCTACCAGCTAGCTTATAACGATGTCATCTGAGGGAAACTGAGAATTTTCTTTAAAAATCATGTATTTTCACAATTTTCTTCAATTTTCCCCACATGGACAAAAAAGTGTGGCGGTGTTACCCCTGGAAATTTGGACCACCTCCGATAGCTAGGTCTCTGGATCCGCCACTGCAGTTTGATCATATGATGGCAGTTTTACACGACTGAGTGTGACGTTAATCACTGTAATAAAATCAATGTTTCGATTCTGCAGCATTGTAAAATAACCAAGTGTCACTCCTCGAAATCATAATGGGCTTGGTCCGAACTCTAGCTAGCTGGGTCGAGTCAAATGCAGTACATGAGGGGAAACTGCTTGTGTCGTGTACACAAGCATAGTAGCATCGCAAAAGATTTACCGCATATAAATATGCTACACTTTTTGGTAAAAATGCCACCCCTACGATGGTATATATTTAGGTACAAATATAGCCATAACACATTCTCAGATCCACGTTTTTGGTGTTCGTTTAAAAATGTTCATGTCAATTCCGCTATGTTCTGATCAGCATTCTGGTCTTCCGTATGGCCCTTATATTCCGAAAGAAGCAAGATGGTGCCTTCTAAACTGTGTTCGTCTGTTTTTCGTCAAAAGTTAGTATGACGACTAGTTTGACTACGACTCGGAGATTATACCGCTGTGGAGGTAATTGAATAGTTAGACTAATGATAATATTTATTCCAATTATACATTATGACACACTGTTTCAGAGCTGTCGAACAGACACAAACCGTCCGTTTTTGCACAGGGGTTCGTTAGATGATATTTATTGATAGAGGTTCCCAGCGAGTCATGGTTTGTTATGTTTATTAAACTCGAGTTAGTTAATTTTCAAATTGTATAAAAACAGGAGGCTTACTAGTGTCTTTTACAATTTTAAAATTAAGTAACTAGAGTTAGATAAACATGTATGATGTAGCCCGAGTTTCCTCTGGCCCGACACTACTCACACAGAGTTAGTACTGTAGAGGTCTATACAGCGCGATACTTTTGACAGGCGCGGTCGCAGTCGGCAAAGTCATATCCGATAGAAACTAGAAAATGTCTAAGACATAAATGCCCCCCCCCATGGGATGGGACGGGACGAGACAGGACGCGACACGACAGACATGGGCAACACCATATGCCCCCCCATTTTATGGCGGGGGCATAAAAATACATATTGAACCACATTGCATTTGTAGNACCCTGAAACATGCACACACACAAGGTACTAGACACTTAAAGTTGATAAGTTGATTTTAATATTCATGTTTTTTTCCGTATGTTATAACCATCTCCATAACATGTTGAATGAAGTTGCTAAGTGTTTAAATTGAATCAGTTGATGATTTTCTATATATAGCAACAGTGACCTTGGCCTTGACCTTGGAACCCTGAAACACAACAATGTCCGAAGTATGCTCATACTTGACCTTTTCATAAAGTTTGACCAAAATCCATGAAAGAATGAAGTTGCTAAATGTTTAAATTGAATCATTTGATGATTTTCTATATATAGCAAGTGTGACCTTGACCTTGGGTCCCTGAAACACAATGATGTCTGAAGTATGCTCATACTTGACCTTTGTATAAAGTTTGACCAAAATCTGTCTAAGAATGAAGGTGTTAAGTGTTTACATTGAATCGGGAAGGGGCGAGATGGGACGCACATGGGCAACACTACATGCCCCCCCCCCCCCATTTTATGGAGGGTTGTACCTTTGTATAAAGTTTGACTAAAATCTTTCAAAGAATGAGCTAAGTGTTTACATTGAATCGGGAAACGACGGGACACGACGGATGGGTGTTAACATTGAATCGGGACGGGACGGACATGGGCAACACTATATGCCCCCCCATTTTATGGCGGGGACATAAAAAAGGCCGACCAGCGGCCTCTTATGTTATAGGAGTAGCCCTGACACCACACTTAACCAGACAACTATTTGTCAAAATGTGTAAGTCTGGTGTCGGGGCCAGAGGAAACTCGGGCTAGATAAACATGATAACCTACCATCATGAGTTTGGGGTTCTTTTTTCCCCATAAAGCTCATATTTTATCTGGAAAGCCATATTTTTCACTTGAAAATACACTTCGTCAGCTTCCGATGGGGGAAACCATTGTCATGAATCATGACGTCACAATGAAACTTCATTTGACATTTTACAGTAGAAGTAGACATGTTGGCCTATTGTGTTTTGGTTAAAGGTCAGCTTCGAGCACTGGCCAAGGTCAATGTCAGCTTCGAGCACTGGCCAAGGTCAAGGTCAGCTTCGAGCGCTTGTCAAGGTCAACAGTTAATATGGGGTATACATGGGATAGTTCTTATATTCCTATTCTTAAGTTCCCGATGCTCTACGGTCCTGATATTTGGCTTATAGCCTTGACAGCAGGGATAATCCATGAGGGGGCCATGCATGGGGCCATTGACCCCTCAAAACTGAAATTGACACCTCCATGTTCCAATTTTCTTTTAATTTTACAAAGAATGGCCCCTCTTAATTTTGTTCTTGACCAAAAATTCCTGAAAGTGGTCCACTGCTCTCAAATTACTGAATTTTCCCTGTAACAGAGTGCTATTAGTTTCTTAATATAATTCAATGACATTGACCTGAGTTCAAGGGAGCAGGGGTCAAATCTGTGAATGCTAGATGTTTTGTTACCTGGTTGTTTGGGTATCGAAGAATAAGATGGTAAGCCAAAAACTCTGAAGAATCTTGAAATATAAATTCAGCAACACACAGGCCAATGCCCTTTGTGTGGCTGAATAAATAAGTTACGTTTTAAGATTCTTAAGGAAAAAAAAGCAAGCAAAGTTGAAAGCAAAAGTCTTAAATGCTGAAAATCTAATTAGATATTGAATCGACCATTGGGAAGTACCGTACTAGCATATATACAGGTACGAAACATCTTGATACAGAAATGTCTGTAACCCAAATACTTGTATGTTAATAAACTTAAATAACATAGTGTATTTTAAACAATCATGAGGTCTAGAGCCATTAACCTGGGATGTGTTATGTTCACCAACAGTGCAAATAATTTCTTTTTTGTTGTTGTTGTAGGTCAAAGGTCAGCTTTGACTAAAGGCTAGGGTCGAATGCTGGATAGGCTGCAGCGAACTCATCATATACCAGAGAGGAAATGAACAAGAACATGTACACGTATGACATCTTTAAAAACACAAATTACTAAGTGGGGATTTTTTGTGTGTGAATATATCAAATTTATCCAGTGAAATATTTCAGTACCTACATTGTGTGTGTGTATCATTCAGATTTGGAAAATTTCGACAAAGTCGTATAATTTCACAATGACGTCAGTGGTACTTCATTTAAAAAACTCCTGTATGTTAGATTACGAAAGGACAGGAACAGGGAAAAAGGCATACAAGTGCAACATTTGTGGTAAACTGTTCAGTCGTACCAGTGATCTACACAATCATACCAGAATACACACAGGAGAGAAACCATTTAAGTGTCACATCTGCGGCATGGCATTTAAACAAGTCAACAGCATAACGCCACATCTTCGAACCCATACAGGAGAGAAACCGTTCAAGTGTGATGTCTGTGGTAAGAATTTTGCTAGATCAACTGACCTACGCAGACACTCCAGGTCACATACAGGAGAGAAGCCATACAAGTGTGATGTCTGTGGGAAGGATTTTACTGTGGTACGAAATCTTATCATCCATAATAGGACTCATACTGGAGAAAAGCCATACACGTGTAGCGTCTGCGGAAAGTCCTTAAATTCAGCAATTAGCCTGGAGGCACATGCAAGTTTACATACAGGTGCAAAGCTGTTCAAATGTGATGTCTGTGGAAAGGAATATGGTATGGCACAAAGCCTAAAGAGACATTGTAAGACTCATTCGGAGCAGAGAGAATGTGAGGTTTGCGGTGAAACTTTTACTGGTTCAGATAAGCTGAAAGAACACTTCATTGTACATGATGGAGAAAGACCCTTCAAGTGTGATATATGTGGCGATGGATTTACACAATCAAGATATCTTCGGATACATTCCAAGATACACACAGGGCAAGTTTCCAAGTCGTCAAGCCAGTCAAAGAGTGAAACCACTGGTCAGATACCTGAAAGCCTACAGTCGCATATCAAGGCACATGACACAGGGGAATACCAACCACTACACTTTGAGACACACTTCATGGAAGAAATGATAAGTGAATCAAGAGCAACGACACAGGTGACTGGAGACATGTACACAGCAAAGAATCCACCTGAACACCTTGACACAGCTATTACAGACAGGCTACCGCCAAATCTTGAGGCTCAAAACACAGAAGAAGAGACACAGGATACAGGAGATAACCCATTGCCAAATCTGAAGACAATTGAGACACATCATGTGACAGGAAACAGCCTACGCCCACCACTCCTTGAGACATGTGATAAAGGAGGAGACATGATACAGGAGAAATTATTGTCAAACCTGGAGACATTTGAGACACATTGTTTGACAGGAGACGGCCTACGCCCACCACATCTTGAGACACATGATACGGGAGATAAAACTCGGGGGAATTTATCGTCAAAGCTCGGGACACTTGAGACACATCATGTGATAATCAGCCTACCTTCACACTTCAAGACACATATTACTGGAGACAGCCTACCGACACTGCTGGAGACACATGTGATAGGGAACAGCCTACTCTCCAACCTCGACATCCACAACACGGCAGACGAGACACAAGATACAACAGAAAACCTAACAGCAAACTTCGAGACATATGATATAGGGACTAGCCTAGGCCTACACTCACATGTACATGTTGAGACTCGCATAGAAGAGGATAACCTTCTGCAACACCTTGAGACACACGAAACAGGAGAGAGCTTGAGCATGCTTGCCTCACCTTGAGATGTACGATACAGGAGAGTCACAGCTTATTGCCTCACCTTGATACACATTTTACAGACGAGAGCTTGAGCATGCTTGCCTCACCTGGAGACATGATACGATACTGGAGAGAGTTCAAGCTTATTGCCTCACCTTGAGACATATTGTACAGGAACGGGCTCTAGTCTGTAGGCAAAAGCCATGGGACACACGCTAGAGGAGAGTACTCAAGCGTATCGGCACACCTTGGGACATGCAATACAAGAGAAACCTTGAGTCTATTGCCACATCAGGAGAGAGCTTGTCCAAACACCTGGTATATGGGTTAGTCTATCAAGACAACTTGGGACTCGCAATGCAGGATAAAGTCTAATGCAGCACAGAAACACATTTCAGGTTACAGGATACAGTATACCTGAGATACGAAACAGGATGTGTGTTTCTATTGGCTAGTCTAGAAAAATCTATTCTCAACGTATGATCTCGGATCAAATAAATCTGAATAAATGAATATCATAATGTTACAATACACATGGCTCTGTGTGACATTATTTTAAAATTAAATTTAAACTGTACAGTGAAATCTCATTATACTGTTAGCTTTTATCCAGTGAAATTCTTGTGTTATAATTAGGGGTGTCGCAATATGCCTAGAGTGTATCACAATATATTGTATATTGCGATACCTGATGTACTGTTATAGGAAGGATGTGCTCATTTTTATAATAAGTTGTCAGAATGTTATCAAACTTAATCATATATAATATGGATTACAAAGTTTTAAGATTTTTGTCAAACCAACCATGGATTACAAAATTTGAACTATTAAAAACCTACTTTATGCTTATTGGCATAAAACACCAAGCAGATACATGAAAATATGCTTTTGAAAAATATCACGATACAGCAATATTTCATCTCTGTATTGTGGTACAATACAATTTACCTGTGTATTGTTATATACCTGTTTTCTGATATATTGTGACAGCCCTAGTTATAACAGTGTTTGCTATCAATACATTGAGGGGGAGAGACAAGTAGATGAATTGATAAAAAAGGTAAAGGTAAACTTCACGTATTTTGGGAAACTTAGTTGGCAGATAAAACGAGGGACATTCTATCAAGGTTTTACTGTACTCGATTCTCAAAATAAGATGGATATATAGGAAAATGTACTAAATGGCTAAGCTAAGCGGGTGGTGCAGTGGATAGCGCACTTTCCTTTCACCAAGGCGGCCCGAGTTGGATCCTCCGATCCGACGTGAAAAGGTATGGGGGTCGCCTGCCCGACCACTAGGGTTTTCTCCAGGTACTCTGGTTTCCTCACACAAAGACTCCTCGCGCACTATAATCTGGGCCAACAAGAGTGATTAATATAAGTTGAAATAACTTGTTTCATAATTGTTGTAAAATATATTAAGTTTATATATATCTTTTTTAAATGACTGAGCTTCATCAACTACTGTGTACAGTTGATTGTACACATATGCTTCTTCACCCCTTCTGGTAAAATTAAACTATATATATCATTGTCATTGACGTTATTGTGAAATAGTTTAAGTCCGTTTCAAAAAGAAGTATTCCTTAAAAACCACGTTACAATATATTTTAAGGGTCTAAGGAAATCATTCATGCGTTTCTTTATGATCCCTCCGGTATACGTAATGTCTGAAAAATAACAGCAACAAACTTGCAATGTTTAAAAAAAAAGCCTTTTACCTGCTCTTAGATTTCCCGATCAGTCCCAAATTCGATGTGTATAACTAATCACAACGGGAACAATAATGTGAAAATTGAAAAGATCAGTTGTGTAACTTATGAAAAATAGCGCTAACAAATTTGAACTCTCAAAATTCAAGTGGTCGTCCTTCGGCCTTCTTGGTTTTCCGATGAGTCCCGAAGTTCGATATGCCAAGCAAAGGACCATCGGGAACCTACATGTAATATTTGAGAAATGTATCTCCAATATTTTATGAGAAAGAGTGTTAAAAAATCTGAACTCTCAATATCAGAGCAGTTCTTAAATTCAATATGCATAACTATAAACCATGAGGAACTCGCACATAAAATTGAAAAAGAACTTTCTAAGAAATAGCGCGAACAAACTTCAACTATCATCATTCAAGATGGCCACCTGTTGGGTTTCCGATAGGTCCCAACAGTTTTTATGCATAACATGGGACAATGGGGTAACATTCACGTGAAATTGGGAAACATCCATCCAGTATTTTTAAGAAACTGACAAACTTCAACTCTCAAAATTCAGCATGTCTGCCATTCAGCCATTTTGTTTTCCGCTCAGTCCAAAATTCGATATACGTAGCTAAGGATCATGGAAAACCTTCCTGTGAAAACTTAAGAAATATCCTATCAGCACTTCCGGAGAAATAGCGCTAGCAAATTTTAAAGTTTTCGTAAAATACATGGTGGCCGCCTGTACGGACGGACCACAGACAACCATCTGATCATGGTGAACTAAAACAATGCTATGGTTGCAACTAGCTCTAGAGATGGGAGTGGCAATGGCGATGACGGTCGTTTTAGTTGTGTTGATGTTGATGACGATCGAGATGATGATGTACAATTTTGCACATATGCCAACGATTTACAACGCATTGATTAAGATTCACATATTATTGATGAGGATTTTTAGATGTTTAACGCAAAGAGATTGTATGTGTGTGGTATTTCAAAACGTGATTTTTCACACAAATTCAAAGTATTCTCATGTGACATGAAATTCCAGTGCAGAATGAAGATAACATGCGTTCATAAGTCTCGCTTCTCGTTCAACACAAGACTGTCCTTTTCCCCATCTCTAGTTTTACTTTGGTAAACGCAATTGGTGAACTACATCTCGTGTGATACACAGAGACATCTTCTCTGCAACCTCAGAATATGCCATGACAAAATCGAAGGCTCTTTACGCGACACCTTGCCGACGCTACAAGTAGACAAGTCTAATGTCTTTGACGAAGATCGCTTGATTTTCAAGTTGACGTTTGTCTTTATCTTTTTCGTTCGTTTGATGTCTCTTCTTTTAACATGTTTTATCATCTTTTAATGGGCTCCAATGACCCCTTTCGTTTTGATGGGCCGCTCACAATCTAATAATTGAAGAACTCTGGATATTGAGCGGTAGCATAACGGTAATATCGACAGACTTGAAGGTTGTTGTTGTTTCTCTGTTATGTATTCAAAGTACATGTATCTTCAAAGTACAGGGTTCATCCCTTTAATCCAAAACCTATCAAATAGCTAGTCGCGTGCCTCAATTTTGCTATGACATATCCTAGGGGTGCAGGGAGCGAAAGTGAGCATAACCCCTGGAGGATCCAGGATGGCTGATGTGTATCCCGAGGGAAATTCTCGTCGTTCGATTTATTTTAAATTGAGAAGCCTTCGGTTTGGTAAAAAGTCTCACTCTTGCACTTGAAATCTGGGTTTGTCCACTGTCCGTCTTCATTGCACATGATTGGTTCGGCAACACTGATGTATTATTTGGTTAAATTGTCATTACAGCTGTAGTCAATTACGGCTGTGTTCAGTTTGAGTTTGGCATTAACCACTTTTGGCGGTGAACCACAAGGGGAGGTAACGCAAGTTTTCCGCTTGATAAAGTGACACAAATATTGCCGGCAATAGAATTGAAATCGCTTGCACTGTCCATAATTTCCTCACGTTTTCGAAAAACAACTTTCTCACGTGAGCCCATTGATTTACCAGTTAATGTTCCTAGGTGCATATAGCAAGATAAATTACTAACGTGAATTATCGACACCGCGACAGTCTTGTGAAGCCAGTTACGTCTGTGGGGGCTGTTGGTGATTCATAAATCAAACTGATAAAAATTATTAGACTAGCCAATAACAGAACTAATTTAGCAACCGTACTTGATAGTGAGGTCCTTCGACTTGAAAACTGTACAAGCGTTAACAAAAACACCAGCTTTATCTCTAATGCGTTGATATCCAAGCCTTCGAAGAAACACAAGCTATATCTCTGTGGCGTAGATATCCAAGTCGTTGACAAAAACGCAACCTGTATCTCTATAGCGTAGTCCGAATTATTCTGACGTTTTATCGACTTCGTTAATCGACGACAGACCGATATGAAAAAAGTCGATAAAACGTCAGAATAATTCGGACTACTCTATAGCGTTGATATCCAAGCCTTTGCAAAACACCAGCGATATCTCTGTGGCGTTGATATCCAAGCTTTAATCGTGTAGTACCTAACTAATTCACCTTTGAGTCTACCAACACAACTTGGACAAACTTCAAAGTGTGGCTAGATCACCAACACAGATCGAAGACTTGTGGGTAATTTGCCAAGATGAAGCTCTCTATAGTACGAAAACTGTTACCCGTGCACTAACAACGCTGGGATGCTAGTCACGGACGGTCTGTGGGATTTCTCTGTGTGCTTCTTGATTATCATACATGCGAGAATATGTATACAAAACATGAAATATTGCAGACAATCATGCTTAATGCCTTCGGTTCATACCTTGCGTTTGCACGTTATCGTTTCTATCTACCTGTATTTGTTTCTTTGTTTTTTTTGCATTTTATGATTTCTTTTATTATCTATCAATTAGTTAAATAATTGTCCAACTCCGAATGGTGTGTGATAGCAATAAAGTACAGATATGGTATCAAATTTCAACTCCTAAGTCTCGTTGGTTATCACCAATTCCATATCAAACGCAATAACCCACTGAAAAGGCAGATACGGTGAACGAATATGCAATTGCAACTGAACAATAGGTTGATAAACCCGTATCAGTCATATACAAATTCACGCTCGAAGTCATCAAATATTGAAACGAAAAAGTCAGCAATTGATTGATGTAAAATATATGATCAACTGGATTCTATACAGAAGCAATTTAAGTCATAACATGGTATCGCAATAACACAACAACGGGTATCGGAGCGATAGATCGTCCCTCAGGACCGTATCTAGATACAGTGATGTACTTGTATCGAGGGTCACACGTTAAATGAACAGTTGTGTGTGTATTGTTGAAACAACATATCATGGTATGCATGCAGTACTGCATTAATGAAGCCAAGGGGAATATGTCTATTAATTATGATCAGATAATTGTGATTACACTCACTCCACTGACTTAGAGGGAATAACCAGGTCGTAAATTAGAGTCGGACAATGGTGGTTATCCAAATTGTCGTAGCGGCCATGGTAATTAACCTTCATATACAGTTTGACGTTTATCAGCTGATAATTCTTCGAGACATCCAGCGGAAGAACTGCTTCAGCAATTGAACAAAGTGGAATAACTCTGTAAATTTCTCTGTCGGATAACGGTGGTAATCGCACTCGTCCGAGCATTCATAGTTGTCAACCTTCCTTTGAAGTTTGACGATAAACCGTTGAAAGTTCTTCGTGATATATATGCAGCCGACATTATTTCAGCAATTGAATGAAGAAGTACAACTCTGTAAATTACTGTCGAATAACGGTGGTTATGGCACTTTGTTCGAGCGTTCATGGAACGTATTCTTCCTATGAAGTTTGAAGTTAATCTGTAGAAGATTACTCGAGATATTCAGCGGACACCGTTCGCGCCGGCCCGCCCACGTGATAACATGCTTTCGACGGGCGTATTGAAATCTGTGGAAACCCGACCTCCTACTTCGTCCATATTAACCTAAATAACGTCGAAACATGCAAAAAAAAAAAAAAAAAAAAAATACATTTCATTATTAACTTGTATCAGGTAAATATGACAATTTAGTTGACCCTTCGACCCAAGGATGCAAATATATGTTGTTTGGATGAAGATGACATTCGGAAAAATTTAGCCAATTCCACTACTTTTGATTCTGTTCTTCAGCCTACGAGAGGGCACAATTGGAAAGGAAAGTACAGCCACATTATAGCTGAAATCTATCTTGTAGTTTAAAAAATGGTGTTGAAAACGAATGAACCACAGTCCCTTTATATTTATTGATTGTGACCCTGTATGTGCTTGGGATGTTGAATCACAATTTGGTTGAAATTTACTAAGTAGTTTGAGAAGAGATGTCTTATAAAGTCAGCCATTTTAACACCGATCCTTCGTCCCCAGGAGGATCAGCGGCTTTACTTGGATACATTCAGTTCCTATTTGTTAAGGATGCTACCGACAAAATTTGGCCGTAACCTGTCCAGTGGTTTAGGAAATATCATGGAAAACAAATTCCCTTTCTGACCACGCCACTCATCCCGCAGAAAGGTCAACCCCTTTATCATCTTCAAAGTCGAATGATTCTGCTCTAAATATAGCATCTTCTTTACATACTTATTGTGGCAATAAGTTCTCTACTTACATATTATTGCAATATTGAAGGCTCATGGATAGCTACATGTATTTCATTGGTTACAGACATAAGAAGAGGCCTAGAGGGCTTGTGTTACTCACCAGGGCCCGCATTCATGAAATCCTTTGATAGACGCCGAAAGATTATGTCGGTCGCCTAAAGGAAAAGATGACTGGCTTTGAAGTCGGGTGTCGCTCCTCTGTAATCTTCGAAGGAAAGGCATCAGCTAAGCGATTGATCAGGTTTATTTACCCGAGAAAAAGCGAGCGTAACTCCTGGAGTATGGAGAATCCTCACCTGTATATAGAAGTCATCGTGGTAAAATACTCTCATCAAAACAAATACACTTGTATTGAAAATACTTTCCCATGGGTAGAGCCAGATCCCAGCCAGGGGTAGGGCAGACCCCAGAAACTCTGGTTTTAGAGTGGGGATTTCAAACATTTCCATGTTTTGACCTGATGACTTAACTGGTCAGTCTTACCATTTGTACAGTTTTGAATCACCACCATATGAAAATGCTGCAACCAACATACGGTTTTTATCCATGATGTCATAGGCCAACACCTCCCCCATAAATAGGACAGTCCCTCAAATGTGTTTCTTATATAACAATTATAACACAATTTTTCCAACTGAAATTAAGAACTCGTGTTGGTCTGATGGAAGTGGAAGCGCGGTTCTTCATATTGGACGCAACCATTTTACGTTATTTGAAGCAATATGACCAAACTATCCATTTTGGCCCTCCCTTCAGCCCATCCGTTTGTACAGTTTTCATCCCCACCACCTGAGAGGCTGAGAATATTTGGCGTCTTACCAAATACAGTTGATGTCCATGTCAGTTCCAGATCAAAAGTCGTTCAAAGCAATGTGGCCTCATGACCCTTTTTTTTGGCCCCCACCAAATGCAATATGACCAAATGATCCCTGTTGTCCCCTTAGCCGAAAATCCGAACGTTCTGGGGGATATGATCCCGGCCTTTCAGTGTTTACAGCGCGTTTATACGATGAACCATAACCGAATCTTGCCGAAAAAAACATGCCCTTACCACCGCACTCGAAACCTATAAATGTCTAACTTCCGTTGCCATTGAACATGGTAGGTTAGGAATCACTGATATACCTTTTTTGCATTCATTTATATAACAGCTGTAGACGATAACAGTTGTGTTAAGTTTGATTCCGGTCAGTCTCCACTTCTGGTGGCGGATCACAAGGGGAGGTAACAAATGCAAGTTTTCCGCTTGCTAAGTGCATATATCCTCAAGTTTAATTAAGCACTAATTGTTCCTTGACGCATAAAGTAAAATATATTACCGACGCCATGCGACAGACACCGCATTTTGTCACACTGTATAGGTCCGATGGGGAGGATAGGTGTGTAGCCAGAAACATTCATGGAGTCTATTGTAACAGGCAGTCTATAACACAAACTGACAAAGGTAATTTTTTCCGCCACTAATAGAACTAATTTCACATCCATAACGTTTTCTCCGTGGCCCGGCAACTGTACTAGCGTTGCCTAAAGCTATATATGACGTTTAGGTCCATGCTTCAACCGTTTAGAACTTTTAAGTTGATCATCAAAAGCGGACAAACTTTGACATTTAACACCTTGTGGCTGGACCACCAACATAGATCCAAAACTTGTGCACAGTTTGCAATATGGGTCTCTCTTTAATATACACAAAAATAACTAAGAAGGTTTGACATATATCTACACACCAACAACGCTGGGAGGCGTGTCACGGATTGTTTGCGCGGATTCCTTGTCTGCCTTTGGTATATCATACATCCAAGACGATGCGTGAAAACATGAAAGATTGTAGACATATATGGTAACTTCATTTGAAAGTAGCCAGTATTTGTTTTTGTAATTTTCGTTTCTAAGTTCACAACGCATTTTTAAATTAGAATTTCACGGTGTATGTTCAAGAGGTGCAACAGCCCATGGAATTGCTCATGGAATGTTGTCTCGTTACTTTAAAAATATAGTTCGTGGAAATAAACACAAACATATCACAACTATTTCCATAATTTAATCAATCATTATATTCAATTCACATTTTATAATAGTCTTACATAAAATGGTGAACATTATTGAATCAAGGTGAGTTTTTGCTTTTCCGCTTGCTAGTGCGGAGGTAAATAACTATCTGTTAGTTAGTCGGTCCCGTGGAGATATCACTACGCCTGTGTTATATGGTCTCATAACACGGAATTGGCTTTGGTAGTGTTACATTGTGGCAATGCAGAGCAAATGTAAATATTTTTGAATCACCAACATCTGAGAATGTTTCCAATCGAATATGGTTCATATCCATGTGAAGTAATGATAATAATCACTTAAAATAAGACCATGGACAATGACCTATCGAGGGAAGGATGTATGGACGACGAACTACAGATGAAGGGTCATTTGAACAGCCCATCATCTGATAACTTAGGGCTAAAAATATAGAATTTGTTTAGCAAGTAACAGTTTGATATTTACACATATAGATACAAAATAAATATAGCAGCCAACCATTTGATGATGCTGGGATAAATATGTGTTTTTTTTTAAATGGAATTTTCAAGCAGTAACAGTATATACAGATGAAAAATATGTATTATGGAATATTGTTACCACTTCAAAACCATCACTGGTTGAATGTTGACATAAACTGATGGATATGTGATGGAAACTGTACAGGAGGTCTCAATGTGGGAGGAAACGGTAATACCCAGAGAATACCCACTTGGTCGGGCAGGTGGTCCCATACCTTTTCACGTCTGATTGAGAAATCAAACCCCGGCCATCTGGGTGAAGGGCGAGTGTGCTGTCCCGTGCACCACCTGACCATGCAATGTCTTTACCAGAAACAGTTTAAGATTACCATAAACACATAGAAATATGTACAAATGGTTTTTGAAAAGTCATCAATATTACTTACTATTATCATCTTAACAGACCAAAGCTTTTTGCCTTAAGGTAAATGGTACCTAAAGTTAAACTATATTATTTCCACAGTCAGTAAAGTGAAATATTTGTTTAAGACCTTTTCAAAAGAAATATTCATAAAATTCACATGTTGCTATGCATTCGACAAAATTGTTGTTGATTGAAATTCAAATGTTTAAAAATAGTAATTATAAAGAAAAAAAAAATCAGCAGGGATCAAACTCAGCACCTTGACATTAAAACCCCTACACTTAACCAATTTTGCTATAAAGGATTTATTCATTCTGAGCATCAATTGTTATGGTTATTGTATTGTTTAACGGATCATCGACAATTTGGGTCATTTAGGGCCAAACAACAATGTAAAAAATAGACATTCACAAAAAATGAATACAGGAAAACCAGAAAGAAAAGGTAAAAATGTGTAAAAGATGTCAAAATATATCAATAGCAAACGAATAGTTTATATAAATATACCATATCTTATTATAGAGATTAATTGAATGTAAATAATCATAGATTGATTGCACAGAAACTGTATCAAATAAATGTTTCATAGAGGGTACATTGTAAAATCTGTCACATATTTGTTTGAAATCAGCGCATTTAATCATAAAGTGTTTGACTGTAAATGGTTGATCACATGCATGACAATAAGGCTGGTCTTCCTTGTGTAAAATGTAACTTTGTGTGATGTAGGTATGGCCTATGCGTAGTCGCGAGAGGACAACTTCCTCTCTGCGGTCTGCTCTACCTTTTGCACATGAATCTACATTAGGTTGAACTGAAAATAACTTATTGTTTGTTTCTTCAGACCATTTTTTTGCCAAAATCGGTTTAATAAAATTCAGTATTGAAGGTTTAAAATCAGAATAAGGCAGTTTAATATTTTTCGTATTGCAGAGCATCAAAATGAGTATCCAAATTAAGGGTCACAACGCATGTAAATCTTGACAAGGGAAGTTACTCCAAGCCAGAAAAACTACTTTTGGCTACTTCATCTTATATATCAAAGGGAGATTACTCCAAGTTCGAAAAAAGTCTATCAGTGGAACTCTTCTTTGTGATTATTACTGATGCATTGGTACCCTTGACCTTTAATGTCATATATAAGCAATAAGAATACAGAGGAATTATGATTTTGCCAACTAATAATTAGGTTTTATTGGTTTACATGGGATTTATGGAGGCTCTACTCTTTCTCAATTAACTAGAAATATTCATTGAAACCCCAAAAGCTGGAGTTTTGTCATTTTCAGAATTTTCCATTTTAGGGGACTTTTTGAATCAAATAATTTCTTTAAAATAGGAAGAAATTAATCAATTCCAAAACCATTGAATGTTATAGTATTTAAACAAATATTACTCAAGGCAGTGTTTTTGTTTCCTAGCTTTGCTTTAAAAACTTGGGTCAATTTTTATAAAAAGGGGGAATACATGGATATAATATTTTGGGGTAATTACACCATCATTGGTTATAAAATCAGCTTGTACAATTGCCTGGTTTCAAAACCCTCAACCCTGGATATTCACAGTAGACAGTACAATTCATTGATTTGGAAAAGTCCATGTGAGACTTTAGGGGTAAATGGGTTAAAAACCCTTGGTCTCTTGATCTGCCACTGTGCAAGTACACTTGTTTTAAGGGCTTGTTTTACTGATAATCCCGTTACAACACATATGTCAGGCATGGATGTTTTTTTCTTTCGTATGTAACCTGAGATGTCTCTTGAGGAGTTTAAATTCTGTATAGCCCTTATTACAGATATCACATTTGTATGGCATTTCTCCCGTGTGATGCATGCGATGTGTTTTTAGCGAGTGTGCTGTTCGTAATCCCTTACCACAGACATCACACTTGTACGGTTTCTCGCCCGAGTGTGTCCCATGGTGCGCCAGTAAGTTACTCGAGGTGGTAAACCCCTTAAGACATATTTCACATTTGTATGGCCTCTCTCCTGTGTGAGTCCTACTGTGTCTAATAAGGCATTGAGCTGTACTGAATTCCTTCCCACAGACATCACACTTGTGTTGCTTCTCTTGATCTGCAGAATGTGTCGATTGTTAGGGCGTTGTTAGGGCGTATTTTGAACGTATGCTCTTATGACATATGTCACATTTGTACGGCTTTTCTCCAGTGTGTGTCATTTGGTGTCTCGTCAGTGCCCCCTTCTCCACAAACTGCCTTCCACAGACATCGCACTTATGAGGCTTCTCTCCCGAGTGTCTCAACATGTGTGGCTGAAGGGTACTAGCACGGCTAAACCCCTTGTGACATATTTCACACTTGAATGGTTTCTCCCCTGTGTGTATCCGGAGGTGTCTGTACAAAGAATCAGCTGTGCTATACTTCTTATCACATACATCACACTTATACTGATTCTCGCCAGTATGTATCTTGGTGTGTTTAATAACATTCCTTTTAGATATGAAGCCTTTCCCACAGACATCACACTTGAATGGCCTTTCTCCAGTATGCATTGCAGAATGTTCTTTTAAAGTATTTGAACAACGGAAATCCTTGCCGCAGACACCACATTTGTATAGCTTCTCTGTATGCGAGAGGATGTGTCTTCTTAAGTTACCATTAATTTCCTTATCACAGATATCACACTTGAACAGCTTCTCTCCTTTGTGTGTACGAATGTGTCTAGATAGATTACCTTTACAGCTGAAACTCTTACCACACAGATCACACCTGCATGTGTTCTCTCCAGAATGCTGCTTGCAGTGTATCTTCAGGCTCTCTGCCTTACTAAATTCCATCTCACAGATATCACATTTGTATGCCTTCTCACAGGTATGTGTTCTGAGATGGGTATGTAGGTCACTTGCCTGGTCAAATCCCTCACGACAGATATCACACGTAAAATTATTCCTGCCTTTATGTGATCTACAGTGTCGGAGTAATTCACAATTCCGTCGAAATCCCATTCCACAGTCATCACACTTGTATGGACCTTCCTTGCTATGCAACTTGAGATGTTGTTTCAGATTGGGCATACGTGTAAACCCCTGTCCACAGACTTCACACTTAAAGGGCCTCTCTCCTTTATGTCTCATCAGGTGCATCCTTAAGTTACATTGCAGAAGAAATCTCTTGTTACACAAACCACACTTGTGTGGCTTCTCGCCATTATGTCTCTGGATGTGCCTGGACATGTTACTTCTACAGTTAAAACTGCGACTGCAAATGTCACATTTATATTGCTTTTCTCCAGTATGCGTCTTCATGTGTTCCTTACGACCCCATGTACTAGAAAAACATTTATCACAGACTTTACACTTGTAGGGTTTCTCTCCTGTATGAGTTCTCTGGTGTCTCTTCAGATATTGCGTGCTAGAAAATTGCCTACAACAAATCTCACATTTGTAAGGCTTCTCTCCTGAATGAGTCCTGAGGTGTCTCTTCAGAAGTTGTGTGCCAGAAAATTGTCTACTGCAAATCTCACATTTGTATGGCTTCTCTCCTGTATGTGTTCCGAGGTGTAGCTTGAAGATTCCCAGGTCAACATACCCTTTGTTACAGAAATGACATTTGTATTTATAGGGCTTCTCCGCTGCATGTGTCATTTGATGTTTTCGAAGGTTAGGTGCCTTTTTGAATTCCTTGCCACATACATCACATTTGTACGGATTATCTTTATCCTTGTTAACACAATCCAACTTTCTGGGACTTTTTTTAACCATCTTGGACATTGCAATGAAATTTAATCTCTCCCAGATATGCAGTGTATACGACAATATGCCATTGGATTCTTTTGTTTCCGTCTGCTTTTTTTAACTTCAGATTGAGTCCTCCTTTTTAAGTTGTACTCATACAATTTTTTTTTACAAATGTTTGTTTCCAATCAAAATTAATTTCTTCAAATATGAATTTCGTTTGCTGAAAGTGAAAAAGCCTTGTAACTCTTTTCCAGTCAAATCAATGTCTTCAGATAAGAATTTACAGGGTGGGCGAGTACATCTGACAAATCAGCAATTATTTCACAACAGACATCTTGGAATCGCCAGTACGTTTTTATCCAGGTCTATGTCTCCATACGTATATCTCATATCAGCACTTTTTATCATTTTCATCCCGGGATTAAGTTGTTGTTCCAATGTTGATGACGGAGCAGGAACCTTGTGCTCTGTTCTTTACTATACAGTTTCTGAACTGAAAAATTTAAAAAAAACTGAAACATAACAACAGAAATAATTGTGTTATAGCTGTTTGCAATAAATTGAAATAGTGAAACCTTCCTAATCTGACATCCTTTGGAATTCCAGAAATTTGCTGAATCCATTGTTTTTTGGAATACCTTTCTTCGGATTCTACCTTGTTTTAGATACACGCATTGCTATACAGGGGTTAAGCTCACTTTCGATCCCTACACCCTGGAATATGTTATAGCTAAATCAAAGGCTCAGTGTGCAGCACCTTGTGGACGAGACGATCCTGTGAGGTACATCAAAAGAATCTTGAGGTCGTGTAACCGTCAAACTTACTGGTTTTGAAGTCGGGCAACGCTCCTCTGTAATCTTTAAAGGACAAGTAGCAGTCTAGTGATGGTCAGGTTCTTTTACCAGACACCAATCAAATAGCTTGCCGCGTGCCTTCAATTTTGCTATGACATATTCCATAGGTGCAGAGAGTGAAAGTAAGCATAACCCCTTTATATCAAGGATACACTTCACTTGAGAGGGGGGGCATTTATAATTCCAGTACACACCAAAAACCTGTGAGTTGCACAATATGCAAAAAAGAACTGGTGTGCGGTTCCAGACTGCATATTTAACAACAGAGCACATGTCAGTATCTATCTCTTTCTTGAAGGATGTGAAAAATCTGTCATTTTTCATCCAAATTTACCAATGTTTTACTTTGACGAAATTGGTTTCTTCTGATTTGCATTTACACCAGAAATATGCATGACCCCTTAATATACAACGTGACCGCCAAATCACATGACTATTTTCAAGAAATTGTAGGATGTCCGCGCATGCAGTTTTATTTATCTTTTATTAAAAAAATTGGGCAAAAGTTTTGTGTATTTACAACACGCATAAAATAGAATTATAACCAAACATTTTTCTTTGTTGAAACAGCTAGTTACTTCCCTTGCAAGTGCCAAATTTGGGGTCGTTTAACATTTTGAGCGTTACTGTCATAAATGTGCTGTCAGAATTAATTTCGTAAATGATGTATCTTTTTTTTCATATTGTAGACAAATATCATAGGCTGGTGGTATTTGGAAATATAAAAAATGTAACAAAAGTTTGGAATATAACTTGAATATAATCATATAGGTGGGGATAGGGGATAGTTGGACATCGAGTAAGCTTCCTTTTTTATAATTTCCATATCCCCCATACTATAGCGGCAAGACGATTTACCCAAAAAGACCCAAAAACACCTCACCAATAGCTTTCAGCTGAAGAAACAGTTAAGGTAATAGGATTGTGTCACCATTTCTCAGTAGAATTTCTTCAAAATTTGTAGTTATATTGCTTTAAAGTAAAGAAAATTTTCTGCCGCAAAAAAAATATAGGTTGTCAGAGTTTTAAGGATTTTAAATGGAAATTTATGTAGAAAGGAGTGAATTTTGAAAAAAAAATGAAAGACACAATATTTTTACAAAATAATGTCAATAAAAATGATACTGACATATATAAGTATTGCATTAATGTATATCAATTTAATAAATGCTGAAATTGTGTAAAATTAATTCTCTATACACGATATAAAAATTGACATTTTATAATAAAACCATATACACATAGTAATTGCAGGTAAGAGTTATCGTTCTTGAAAAACTTCACAGTAGTGAAATAGGTAGCCGG